CCACACAGACTAGCGCCTCCCAGAATTGCTGACTCCTAGAAGCCACCTAGAACCTGTTCTAGGTGGCTTTGCACAGACGCACGCATGGACGGACGGAAGCAAGAACGAATGGACGGACGGATGCTTCGTCCCACTCTCCATCATTCACCCCGTGGATATGCTGCCATTAAACTGCGGTTGTGCCTGAGCGTTGTTCAGGGCGCTTATATTTGACGCATGGAGCGAGTTTGGCCGAGACTAATTGTAATCCTCGACAGTATAGACGAAAGGCATTGTCCATGTGTAGTAAGGTTGATGCTTCCAGCTGTCTTGAACGGCAGTTAACGTGAACGCGGCCTCGCCTTGCTACACGTGTTGATCGTGCGGTCAGCAAAAAAAAAAGTTTGGACACTTGCTAGGCAAGTTTGGTGGTAGGACACAGCTATACAGTGTATTGATTCCTTCCTTCTTCGACTACTAGGTATTCAGTGTTTGTCGGCTCCAGCAGGCGAGGAGACACGGACAGTGTGAAAGGAAATTTTCTTTTAAAAAAAAACGTGTGGGGATACTCTTTCGCTGATCTCTTCTAGGAATACGGTGTCTTGGCCGGTGCGAAGACGAGTAGTTGGTGAATGGCATCTCTGGTGACCCTGGTGCATGCCGCTGGCTCCTTGACAGCACCCGTCGCACCAGGGCGGGACAGGGCCGGTCTGACGAGGAGCTTTATTTTTCCTCAACTGCTCAGGAATGCAGCTTTAGGAGTCTCCGAAAAGCGTAGGACCAGGACTGGCGTGGGTGGTCAGGGCTGGCTGACAGTCTATAAAGAGTGTTGAGCGGCGGAGGATTCTGCAGGGGTCGGCGAGGTCACGTCTTTTCCGCAGAGAACGAAAAAAGCTTGATTGCTCGCCCTTCTACGGCGAAACTACAGTTTTCCACGAGTTTTTGATTATTCTTCGCCGGCGGGAGCCGCGTTCCCTCGAAAAAATCATCAAAACAACGCGAAGCTGCCGATGAACTTCCGCCGGGGTCGCGGCCGGCCCGAATCTTGTCCGCCCATCTTGTCAGCTTCTCCGTTTCTGATAGCGATAAGTTGTCTGCCGGTGTATCTATACCCTTATTATGTCCCTAGATCTTCCCCTCTTCTTTCTTACTCCTTTTCTGTTTGTTTTCGTTCTATTATTTCCCCTTTCTTCGCACCCCTAGTGTAGGGCAGCCAACTGCGCCAAGATTGGTCTCGTCGGGTAACGCTCGTTTTCGGTAGCCATGTTCTCCCCAGCTATTTTTTTTTTTTCGGCGCCCTGTGAAAGAACGGCGGATTTTCGCTAAAAGTTGCGTGGCTCGTGTACTTAAACGTACGTGACTTTGTGAACGTTCCAAGTTGGGGAGAAAATGGCGGCAGACGCCGGCTGCGCTTGAGGGAGGTACGGGATATAGGCAGTTATCCAGTACTCGGGGTACCGACCGCCAGGGATACTACGAAAATGAAACGCTCGCTTAACACAGTGACACGCTGAAATGGCAGTGCCCTTTTTGGCACGTTTTCAAAGAACGCCTCCTGGGCGCTTACATAATCAGCCGATACCCCCCTTCTTTGCTCACAACTAAGAAATAAAATGATATGCACGTGCAAGTCCGATTTTGGTGCGTCTACTCGCTAGGCTATGCATTGGAAGACTCGGTTTTGATTGATATGTGGGGTTTAACTTCCCCAAACCACCATATGATTACGAGAGACGCCGTAGTGGAGGGCTCCGGAAATTTCGACCACGTGGGGTTCTTTAACGTGCACCCAGTCTGAGCTCACGGGCCTACAACATTTTCGTCTCCATCGGAAATGCAGCCGCCGCAGCCGGTATTCGAGCCCGCGACCTGCAGGCGGGTCAGCAGCCGAGTACCTTAGCCACTAGACCACAGCGGCGGGGCAAAACTTGGTTCTGCATCGCCTACTTGCTAGGCTGTTTATTCTGGCGCTATACCATCAGATCTCGTAAACTGAATTGCCGGGTGGCCCATAGAGACTTGAGCTACCCCTAGCCGTGGTTGAAACATTCCGTGCGACACTCTTATTTCGCTCAGTCCCTGCGTCATGTCATGTGCAAGATGCTGAAAGATAACGCCGTTTTGTTTAGTCAAAAGTGGCAAACTTTAGCGAGAAGTTAATCAACTCGAGCCAGAATCTACGGGAGGCTTAGCTGCAGCGTTTGATGGCCTCGCCACGTGGCTGCCAAGGCAACACACTTGCGGGCGAAGACCACTTCGCCAACTCCATTCCTCCTCTTTGCAGTTTAATGTAGGTAGCGCCGTCTACCCATCAATCATTCCGGCTCCACGCAGGAAACGAGCCGCTTGCCAATAGATACTTAAACGCTTTGATCGCTTATGTGTATAGCGCGCTGCTGGCGTGTTTTTTCGCTTCACTTCAAAAGCGGCCGCTTTTTTTCCCCCTTAGTTTCTCCCGTTATTTTCTGTCCTTGTTTTTGTGTTTTGTTTTGAAACTCTCGCGAACTTGTTTACAAGTTCCAGAAAAAGCTACCGCGACGAGCGGCGGTCTGTTTTTTTTTTTTTTTTTTTATGAAAGAAAGAGCCTCGGCATGCCCTAAGCCTTACACTTAGCGAGCAGTGTACGCTTTAGAACGTCGCCGATGTGTTGTGGTCAAAACAGCCTGAATTTTTTTTTTTTTTCGCCTCGGGCCAACCTGTGTTTCTTCGGGAGCACCGTCGTCGATTTCCGGCGGCACAACCTCTTTCTTTGCATGGCTGCGTATGGCGGCACGTCTTTGAGGTGATGATGATGATGGCGAAGCTATGGACCACCTCGGGAGGTGCAATCTTCTTCCTCTTTTGTCTTTGTAACTCGTTTTCTAAAAACGACGCAGCGGTTGCGACGAAGGCCGGTGTTCCTTAATCAATGGGCGGCCGAAGTGTGCCTTGCTTTGGGAAAGAAGAAAGCGCCAGCAACTTCCTGCCGTTCTCGGAAAGAACGCCACGTTGCTTTTACTATGGTATGCGGTTACGCGTCTTACCCCCCCCCCCCCTCTTTTTTTGTCTTGTTTTTTCATTTTTTTGTCCCCGGTCGCTTCAGGTTTCAGGAAATAACAACAATAAAAGTACTTCGCAGTATAGTGCCGCGTCTGGCCAAACTTCGCTTGTAATGCGACGTGCATGTAGTGTTGGACAGAGGCACACGGTCGGCGTTGTGGCGCAGGGTATACCGGTTCTACTGCCGGCGGTGCATGCAAATGCTATAGGAGTTTTATTTGAACGGCTGCCAACTTGCGGTGCTACGCGAACTACAGGAGCGACGGCGCGTTATGAATGTGCAAGAAGCCGCTGCGCACAGTTGTGCGTTTGTAGTTTAGGCGTATACCGTTTACGTACTTATCGTAACTTGCTGTGGTTAGTTTACTACGTCCAATATCATTATCCTGGGGGGCCGGTGAACTTCAATGAACTCCGTGGGTGCACTGGGGAGAATAATCAGAGAACAGCCTAACGGATTTGCGGTGTGGTGTCTCTGTTATACGGCCAGGAATTTGAATCAAAGTGAGAACCAAGCGAATGTCACAACGCTTAGGCAAAATTATTTGTACTGCCAGTGAAATCGCTTTTCTTTTGTTTTTCCTGGCGCAATCATTTGATTGACTGTGTACGTCTGGTAGTAACTTGTTTGCTTATGTAAAGTAAAACATGTTACACGCCTGATACGTACACGCATATGTCTTTGACGCAATGTTTGGAATAGAACTGCGGATTCAAGATGGCACCGCCAGTTTTTTCTTGGCCAATTATTTGTTCGTGTATGTTACCAGACCCGTGTTCTTTTTTTTTTTCTTGTCACGGCGCGTTCGCAATGTACAAAATATTCTTTTTTATCGATAAAACGGGAAGACGACGGAACATCGGTTGCCATGCCTCCGTAGACTGTCGAAATAGGCGTTTTTGTAAATTAAAAAAAAAAAGCGTATCTCCGAACTCCCACGTGTGATAATTGAAGGACAATTATTGAGCCGCAACGGCCTGATAACTTGATACCGATAACTTAACACTGGATGCTTCCCAAGTACAAGCGTGATAAGCTGGGGAGTTTGGCTGTGGTTGATTGACAGTTACTGATCGTTAATAGACAACGCTTCTCTGCGTGTGTGTGTGTCTTTCCCCTTTTTGGTGTTGTCTTTTTTTTTTTGTTCGCTGTCCCGTAATGAACTTCCCACAGCGTTCTGTTAAACACGTGTGGTTTGAAGTTTGACCGACCAAGTTGGTGCGTGACAGATCGAGTACCACGCATAAAGCGGTACAAGGCACTGCTTAGAAAACAAAAAAAAAACAAAAAAACTACGAGATATGCGAGAGGAGACTGCGGCTGTAGGCCTCGTTCTCACAGCCGTCAAGTGACCCGTCGCGTTATGTCACGTAAAAAAAATACGAAAAACAAGACGTAGATATTACGCGACGCAGCCTGTGTATGGACAGACGACGGTGGTTGCAAGGCCGACACATTTTTGTACACGATAATCCCTTTCTACATGACCATGCAAACACCCAGTCGTTCTATCCACGCGTTCTTTTGTGCTTTCAGCGATTTCTTCTGTTCGTCAGGCAAATTTGGTGCATTGCTTGCTCTACGTCACCGTTACCCCGTTTGCATGGCATAACATTTGCATGGCGTAACATTGCTCGCACGGCCGCTCCATTGATGCATGTAGCAATCTCTCGCAGACGTGTAGTGGTCGGACGTCGCGGCGAGAAACGTCACAGGCTGCGGGAGAGAGAGTTTAAGTTGAGAAAGAGAGAAATGTGGAGAGGACGCACCGCCGTTTCTTCCTTCCACGAAAAGATGGGACGGCGGAGCACGTGTCACGAGAGGGACAGCCAAAGGAAAGCCTCGCTTGGGTGTGACGTTGACGCGACGTCATCGATTCGGGCGCCGACGTATGGCGAACGAGAGAGCGGGTGAAAGTGGGGGGGAGGAATCCGCCGCTGTTCTTGAAAAGCAACGCGGCCGCTGGCTGCTGTCAGTCGACTGTATGCTCTTCCGTGCGTCGAGATGCTTACGTGCGGCATGAACGGGTCGTGGCCCACCTCATCTGTGGAGTTCATGGAAGACGACGAGTTGCTCTTCTACGGCGACGGATACTCGAAGAACGATTATCCGAGCGGCGGCGGCCACGACACTCCTAGTGTCGTGATTGACAGGATCAACGTGAGTCATCCCGTTGATTTTTGTTTTTTCTTAGCCACGCCAAGAGAACCAACCGCGCCGTTTGGGCGTAGGTGTGTTTGCGAACGGTAAACAAGCGGTTCTGGCCTCCAGGAGGCTAATCACCGAGCGTGTGTGTTGCAGCCGGGGGTTGAAACTTCCCGCCGAAGCCTCGGTTCGGTTTGTGTGTTATTCCGCACGTATGTTTTTCGAGTTGCTACGCGTCGCGCGCACGGGAGTTTCACCTACCGCTGCTATAGTTCGGCGCGTGGCATTGCGTCACTTTCCGCTGTGCCTCGCCGGTCTGTCGTCGCGGTTGGGGGTTGCCTTCAACGCCGGGGAGGTCTTCCTCAGAACTGCGCCGGCGTTGCCAAAGTCGTAGCGCTTCGGATCGAGCCCTGCACTGTTTCTCCGTGGAGTCCGGAGTCCTACCCCTAGATATAAGTCCTCGCCAGCTAGCCGCCGACGTTCAGCCTTCGTTATTTAGTTTGCGTGCTCGCCGAAAGTGTCCCGCGTGCAGCATCTCCGAGAACTGCAGTTGTGGTCCAATGTTTAGGAGGGGGGCACCAGTTATGCGTGATGTACTTTTAGGGTACTCATTTCTCGAGAAAGTGGTATTTCTCCTATTTTTTTTTTTGAACCCCTGCCTGCTCTAAGCCGTAATCCCTTGGGAGTTGCGGAAATATGCTGTGACGGGCGTGTGTATAAGTTAGTACATTCGCGACACCGTGTAGTGTGTGTTGCAGTCGTATAGCAACGACTTTTGACTTTATAGAAACGACTATCGACTTTATAGAAACTACTATACGACTGTTGCAGTCGTATAGTGTTTGTTGCAGTGTAGTGTGTGTAGCAGTCGTATAGAAATAGGCGCCCTTATTATTCTCAAACCATTATGTCTACTTTCTTGGAAAGATTTTCAGCTTGGCGCCAGCCGATGTCTTCAACCGGTTTTTTTTTTTTTTTAAGGGACCAAGCTTCTTATGGTCTAGGGCAGTCCCTCGTCCTTCCGGCGTACCCAGTAGCGTTTCCCTTATCGTACGATAGACGACGCTGTGCAATCGAGATGGACGGATGGACGCTTCGCCGCACTCATCATCATTCACTTTGAAAATACGCTGTTATTTCTTTTCGTTCTCTTTTTTCATTCCCAAAGTAGTGTCATTCACCATGGTGAATCGCGCAGTTTTCCTCCTGCCATAACGTGATTTTTTTCCTCTTTTTTCGTCTTCCTTTTTTATCTCGTATTTTTTTTTTCATATTTTTCCTATTACCTTATTTTGCTTCACTCTCACTTACCCTTCAACCTCGTTACCCCGCTGGTGTATCAATAGAGGTGTACTCACTTGAAACAGTGATCGGGCACTTCACACCCCAATTTCTGACCTTTCCAACTTTCCCTAAAGAAAAAAAAAAGATCACCCTCCCCCTCTTCTCCGGTTGACTTCTCGTGCGCATAATTTCGTTGTACAGAGGTTAATAGATGGCTCAATCCTAGGGCCCCTTCATATTGCCAACGACATTCTTGGTACCTATTGTATAAACCTTCTCACCGGAGAAAAAGTTGACATGCTGGGCTGGGGCACGGTGTGTACGAAGGCCTGACGTCAATGCCCCGCCAGTGCATTTTGCGCGGATCACGCCTGATTTGGAGCACAGAGGATTATGGCGGCCCCCAGGGAGCCGTATTCACGGAAGGCTCCCTGGACTATGTCAAATCGACATGGCTCAGTGAAAAAAAATGCACTTCCAAGACACTGACGTCGCCCTTTGTACTCCCCAGCCCAGCTTGGTGGTGTTTTTTTCTCTTCTACGAAAAGGCTTATGAAACATGGCAATTTCCAGAGCGCGACCTTCTCTATAATCGTTTTCCAGTGCGTGCTGAAGTGAAAAGTCCCGGATCCTTGGAATTCGCAGAGCAAGGGGTAGGAGGGGGGGGTTATCGACCGCCTCCTTCCCATTGCTTTTGAATTGCCAATTGCGGCATTAGCCTACATATCTTCGCGTTCCGAAGTTCTTGTGGTCGCTGTTTGCGGTTCCGCTCGGGCGGCGTTTGCATTGTGCAGTTGCTTGTTATTGTAATACGGATGCCTAGTGGAATGAATGGCCACAAGGGATTGCAGGGATCGGAAATTGACGGATCACAGTCGCGCTTGGGTTAAATATTAGAAATCGTCGGGAGAGGCCATCGTCCGGCAGAGGGCGATTGATGTTGAATTAAGGTAGGCTAGATGGCGCATGCTGTCACCCTGATTCAAAGGGGAGGCCTTTAATCATCATCATCATGGTAGAGGCGCCTTCTCTCAAGCCATATCGTGTCTAACTAAGCACGTTTCTCCTCGTCGCGATTGGTCGTCTCCACGACGTACGGAGCGAGGGTCGTCGATCCCTGCGTTTGGCGCGGACGATGTCGAAATTTGCGGTGGCGGCCAACCTCGCGCAGGGCGGACGACGCCCTCCTATAATGATCTAACACCCACGCCTGGGTACGGTGTCTGGGCATGCGTGCCTGCCACTTTTGGGGGCTAGGATTTTTAATACGACCTCTCGAGTGGTTCGGCCGTCAACAGCGCCCTTGAAATATATAAAGCCGTGTTCTCATTCCCCCGCTCGGGTGTCTGGCGGCAACCGGTGGGTGGTCTCGCGTCCGTCGCTGTTCGGAATCGTGTGCGTGCGTCGGAGACTTTCGCTTGAACGCTTTTCGCGACGTGTCGCGCGAGCCCGCCAAGGTCGCTTGCACCGCACGTCTCTGCTGTCCGTCCTCTTGTTTTTTTTATTTGATTCCTTGTTTCATTCGCCCTGTTTCGTCATTCCCTTTGTCTCGATGCACCTGCGTAGTGTACGCGACCATTTCTCTTTTTAATTCTCCGTTGTTTCGGACGCGCTGTTACTACCCGCATTTTCGAATGCGCCGATTCGAAAAAAAGTTCAAACGCAGTTGCTGTGCTACATCGCTCCCGGGGAGATAAATTCCTCGTGACGTAGGGGCTCCCCTGCCGTAGGGTAACGGGACGGAAAATAACGTGCACTTTGGAATGTCTTTGTCGCATCGCGTTATCTTTCTCCTTGTTGTTTGTTCGACGCTATGATTGGCTTAAATGAAGTAGGCGCGTTTGCAGCGTGTGTATTTGGTCGCTGTGTAGTAGGAACTCGGCTGGAGTACTGTGTGTGCTGCTGGAACAACGCAGTTTAGACCTTCTCCCAATCTGTGAACGTTTTTCCGCAAAACTTCCGCGGACGTCACAGTGGGAACAAATAATCGGTTGGGAGATATGATCCCGATCGCGCATATCTTGTATGACATGCGTACTATGGATGGCGATTTGTCTGTTGTTTTCTCATTAGGAGGAAATTTATCTCACAAGCGCCGTTTTAAAACTTATTTCATAGATCTCGCTGCCCGTTTCATTTCGGGAGCTTTGCTGGCGTCGGTTTATCATTTTGGTACCTTTTTCCGAACAAATTACTGTAGTGGTGTCATGGTCAGAGAAACTTGGATTTTCGGCAGGTAGCTGCGAAAAAGACAATCGACCATTTGCGCCCCCCCCCCCCCCATTTCATCCCATTTCATCAAAAGCCGATGAGGCTTTCAGCCTAACTACGCGCTGTGCATAGTTGCAGCTCGGTTGTGCGCTAGCGCCACCTGCAGTTATTTTTCGCAAGACAAACTTCCTCGATCTCGGCGGGGCGCGGTTAACTTCTACGTGTGCAGGCATGTATGTGCATACAACCTGCGCCTCTCGCTCGAAGTATGTAGTTTTGTATGCGGATCACGGCGTCGTTTGACGCTGTCGTTAAAACGCAAGTGAGCGTATACCCAGTATCTGCGCTGTCGTCGGCATATACGTTTTAGCCGCCGCTACACACTTTTCCTTTCTTCCTCCACTGGGCGGCTTTTCTACACTGAATAGAAAGAACTGCAAAAAAAAAAAGTGGTTTCGAAACAACAGCGGCGCAGGTTGCTGCGAAGAATGAGTTTGGCCTCCAAACTGGATTCGCGCCGAAGAAGCTGTCTGCGAGTGGCCCGACGGCTGGCGCGTTTGCCAAGGCTTCAGTTTCACCGAAACAAAAACCCCGTGCTTGGAGGAGGTGTTGCTGGCCGCGCGAATAAGTTACGTACAGCTGTCGTATTAGTCGTGGCAAGTGGTTTATATCGTCACTCAGTGTAGCCATTTTGATTGGGCAAGTTTCTTAGCGGGCTTGCAGCGTTAGATCCCATAGTATACGTTGACCTTCCAGGTGCCTCATGGCCCGCTATCGTCAAGGGACATTCCCCCCCCCCCCCCCCCCCTCTCGTGCTGCAACACAGTTTCGTAGCGCCGCAGACAAACCCCCCTCCGAACAAAATGCTGTCAAATAGGTGGAAATCCGTTTGTGTCACACACATTAATCACCAGTTTCATATGTAGCTCGAATTGAAGGGGGGGAAATGTAGTATTGTTCAGTGATAAGTTCGCAGCATTGTGCGTGTATAGTGCAGCCATGGTTAGAGGAAACCAGACACTTTGAAAACCGAAACTATGCGTTTCGTACCACCTAAAGTTGACGGGAAGATGACGGCCGCACCGACATCGTTATCGCTTTCTCCGTTAGTCCGCACGCGAACCAGGCGAGTCTGCAACTGTTCCACGGCTACGAAAAAAGATAACAGCCCGTATCAGTAGTTAAGTGGCATGGACCCAAGGGGGCTTGCTTTTATGTGTACTCTTGTTGGATGTGGCTGTGGAAAAAATAGAAAGCGGGTACATGTACAATAAAACGCGGGGACGTAACGGCTTCGGCTACCCGGCACTAAACCGCTCAATTTTATGATTTGCTGTACTTTTCGGTGTACTGTCTTCAGCCAACCTCAATCGGCTGTTGCAAATAGAAACACTTCGGTGGCACCAATGGGTATAGAAAGAGAGCTTCCTTTCGTTAACCCTTTCACCGAAGGCGCGGTACCACTTACAATGGAGCTGTCAGCAGCGGTGATTGGTACACGTAGAAAAGTTGATTGGGGTGGGTGCGGGCGGCAAATGAATAGAGGCTTACAGTAAAGAACCAAGAGTGGTAGTCACGTGCACTGGGTTTCCTTGTCCTTCGCCCGCACAGGGGTTGGTATCATTGTTGCGAAGGGCGCTTCAGCTGTCGCACGGTGACGCCTACATTGCTACACTGTCCGGGGAGGCCCTTCCAGGTCTGCGGCACGTGTTTCGCACTGTCATGCATTTGGACATGTGACGCAGGTTCGGGGTGTCTGAGTGTTACATCACCATTGAAATTGATAGATAGATAGATACAGATGGATATAGATACAGATGGATATAGATACAGATGGATATAGATACAGATGGATATAGATAGATAGATAGAAGTGTTTTCTTTGCGCCCCCCCCCCTTAAGAAAAGTTTGTAAATGCGCATGTACTCGCACGTGCACACACGTACATCGGTAGATTTTGGAACTCAATAACAATGCTTGCAGACAGTTCTGCATGATGAAAAAATTGCAGCAGTAATGTTTTTTTTTCTGGTCATTTACAAAGAAACAAAATAACCCTGCTAAATGCCATTTAACCGTGACATAACTGGTACAGCAATTAATTAATGAAATCGCATAACCAAATCTGTCACTGAAACTTTATTACAGGCTTAAAGCGTTGTTTTCAGAAGCAAGGGGGACATTGCCCTTTGTGTCGGAGTGAGTGGGCGTTGTATGCGGACCCGAAATCGCGTAGGTTACCGTTTATACGGTTTCATTCTAGTACGAAACACTATACGACCCCCCAGTTCGTCGCCGGAAGTTGGTTCGAGTCAAACCGACCGGAGCTGCGGTTTATGTCGCGCACTGGATCCATATCGGTGCTCACGCCTAGCTGCCGAAGTTTAACAGCGGATGCTTATCAAGCTTGTTTTACTGTTTTTTTTTTAGGGGGGGGGGGTCTGACATGCCATGCTACTAAAGCTAAAGCAGTTATTTTTTTATTTTATTTTTAAGCTTCACTTCGCCAGTGATTAAAACGCTCGCTACCGAACAGCAGTCATTTCCGCGTGTTATCTCGATGGCGACCTGCCTTGGATCCAACCAGCCGACAGGCGGCGCTAGAAACGGTAACGCCACAAAGTATGGTATATTCTGGCTGCTACACCATTGGGGGGGCTGCTCAAAAACTTCATTGATAACCCTTCCATCATTGGCTGCGGATAACATGAAATAATTTCAGACAAGTTGGCGCCTCGTTGTGCTACGGGCACTCAATTCATATCGCGAAAAAGTGAACTGCGGTGGCACAGGTCAGCTCTATCGTGACGACAGTTCCATATATCTACGTAATACCTCTCGTAGTGTCGTTTGAGTCTTGTTGCTGGTCTCCTCCTTTGCGCTGTTGTTAAAGCACCATGCATTTCAACTTACTCGCTTAGTCTGCCATCCTACATCAGAATATGAAGTTCACTGATGTCTTGAGAGGCCCAATGTCATTCTACGCGCGTCTCACCTTGGCGTCAGTCGTCTTGACAATCAAAACAGCTGGCCTTCACCCGCATGTAAAACAATGCAAAGTAAACTCGGATAATATACACAACACTAGCGCAGTCTGTGTTTGACCGTGGACGCAATATACGCAGGACTTTAGTGCTGTGCCGACTGTCTGTGTCTACTTGTCCTTGTTTACTTTGCATTGTTCTACCTATGGATACGTACCGACTGGCTCTCGGTCACGGGCTGTTATGGTCTTTCACTGCCACTATCGTTACCTTTTCACTATCCTAACTTCGTCCCATAAACAAGTGTGTACTGCGGGCCACGACATACACTGCTTGCTTATGAAAGAGGCATTTACTGCTGTACTCGCCGGCGTTCGTATAGTGTAGTGGCAGGAACAACGTTTCCGTATTTCGTGTGTAGAGTTCGCCTCCTCCGCCCCTGCACATTTCGCCGAGACCGACCATCTCGACTGGGGAGAAAAAAAAAAAGCCTGCATCTACTGGCAAGGCGAAATGCGGGGGAAGCGAATCGGAAAACGAGGTCTGGCGTTGGTACGTTTCCGCGTCGTTCTTAACGTCCCTGGTGGCGAAGGAAAAAAAAAAAACGAGGGTTTTCCGCCGTTTCGGTGGGGGGTGAGGGGGGTCGCCCGAGGGCCGCCGGACGGTCGGCCGTGTGCGTCGTACGTAGCAGACTGCGGGCGCACCCTTGACCCGATTTGTGTACGTGGTTGGCGGTGCCTGGTCGCGACGCGCCCCCCTCCCTCGCAGTGTGGTGTTTACGTGCAAACGGCCACTGCCGTGCTTTGCCGGCGTGGAAATCTACGGTGTGTACGGGCACGCTTTTTCCGCTGGCCCTGTTGAGTCTGGGGGTGCAAGAGCGACACCTAGGTGCTTTCGTTGCTGCGGGCCAGCACACGGCCCGGACGGCCATTTCCGTTTGGCATTGCCTTGGAAACTGTGCTAGGGATAGGCGTGCGTGCGCAAGAAGAGGGGTAGCCCCGCCCCCTTTCCTCGACTATTATTTGGGGGTTGGGGGGGGGGGGGGGGGCTAAAGTCTGCTTTTACTGGTACCTATTGCTTGGACCAGTCTTCGGCTGCATTTCCGATGGAGGCGGGAATGTTGTAGGCCCGTGTGCTCAGATTTGGGTGCACGTTAAAGAACCCCAGGTGGTCTAAATTTCCGGAGCCCTCCACTACGGCGTCTCTGATAATCATATAGTGGTTTTGGGACGTTAAACCCCACATATCAATCTATCAATTGGACCAGTCTTGTTGAAAGAACGGAATTGTGGCTACGCCCGTTTTTTTTTTTTTTTTATGCTCACGGTGGGGTCCCTCGTGCAGAATTCCAAGATGTGTTCGCTTCCCGTCTTACTCTCCCCGTAAAAAAAAAAAAAAAAAAGCCACGGATCATCATCAGGCCTTTGTGAGCAGCAGAACGCCGCTTGAATTTTAATATTTTCATCCATTGGGACCTACGGAGGGAAAAAGGTTCAGTGATGCTTCCCCCCCCCCCTTTTTTTTCTTTTTATGGGGAACCTCGCGCATGCATGACGCCCCCTGACACACGTACTTGCACGCCTATAGGTGAGGGCAACAAACATCTTCCGGAAAAGCGTTCACGCGGAAATGACGCAAGGTGCCGCTCGTTGCGTTTTCACCTCGGGAGGACTTGAAACACGCTCACGGCAAAGTTCCTGTGCTACAGTAGTTTCTCGCATCTACTTTTCGAACGTGGAGGGTGTTCTGTCACACACAGCAGGCAGCGCTCATTATTCCTATCTCCTCTGGGCGTTGTAACTCTACATAAGCACCCCCCCCCCCCCCTTCCGCAAAAAAAAAAAAAAAAAAATTGCGCTGCCGGACCGGATTCGATTTTGCTGCTTCATCTCGCTAGACTGTGTTCCGGCATTGTACTTCCGTGTCTCGAAACCCTCCACAACGGCTAAGGCCTTTAACAGTGGTGGGCGAACAGCGCCACGGCGGCTTCGAATTGAAACACGGGCCGCCGTGCACGCGTCTCTCCCACATTCGCTGCATGTGGGCCAAGATTAAACGGTCGTGAGGCAAGGCCGTCCGATCGATCAGAGGCGCGCCGCATTTCCCACGAAAATGAATCCTCGTCGTTTTCTCAGAAAATGCCCGAACGTTTTTTTTTTTTACCCGGAAAAAGAACGCGAAAGGCCGGCCGGCCGCCCAGTGTTCATCAAGCGACGCGACAGTCGGCCTCCGCGCTGTCGCGCCGTTCGCCCAATCGATGGCGCCACAAGTCGGGGGCGCCGTCGTTGTGGAAAGGGAGCGCGCCAGCTGTGATTATACACCTTCCAAAAACCCCGGGGTCGTGTGCCCTCTTCGTCGGTGACGGGTAGGAAAATTCGTGACCGCTTTGCTAGACTCTGATGCATCGGACAACGTTCGGGTGTTGAGAGACCCCACATCCCCTCTCCCCCCCCCCCCCCCAAAAAAAAAAATCAATTTCGCACGTGTATGTACATATAGGTATACATACAAACGCAGGCATGAACGTACATAAAGTAGTATTGAGCCTCCGAAAAAAAAAAATGGCTGGCTACTTCATCCCCTGCTTCTGGGAGCGGTGTTGGTGTTTATAATGATAATAGCCACTTAAAGAAAGCGCGCCATTTCGTTCGCAAGTGCCAAATTTAACATAATCATATTTTCTTACTTATTTTATTTGATGTTCTCTTTAGTGGACCAAGTTTTTTAGTGATTGAAAACTAAGCTTCTAAAGGCATATATGAGTTGGAGCATATCAATATATATTCATCCATGTTTTGCAATGGTCACACTGATTTCAAGATAATCTGCAGGAAAAACAATGTTCTGGAGCCTATTTCTTTCACAACACTTAGTCATTCCCAGGTGAACTTTGTCATCCAGGTGGCATTTCGGCCAAATGCCCGATCACACTGTCTCTCGCCATTGGCTGTAAATATTGTAGCCCATCGATTCCGTTGCTGGATTGACAATGCACGTTTTTCTGTGTTTCTGATCTTTCTGTTTGTGCAGTGTGTCTAAAGTTTTGTTGTTGGCTTTGTCTTGCAGTATTCCTCCTTTTCGGGTGTCACTGGGATCCCCACGCGCACGACTGCCACACTAACTCCTACCACCCTGAAGAACATAGAGGAGACGTTCCTGGAGTACCAGAGGTTCCCCCCGGCACCAGTGGAGCATGTACACCAGGCCGGCTTTGTGCCTCCCGTAGTCAACATTGCTCCGTACCAGCAGCAGCAACAGGTTAGTCTCGACTCATTGTCGCACAGTTGTGAGTGAATCATAACTTGAAAAAAATATCGCAGCATATCTACAGAGTGAATGATCATGAGCGAGGTGAAGGTTCGGTCCGTGCATGCGTCCGATCGCGTTCAAGAATGCAGATGACGTGCGGTTAACACTGGGGAGACGCGAGCCAAAGAAGCCAAGCATAGGCGTCTTCGACGCACCCGCCGCTCTGTCTTGTCCGTGCCCCACTAAAGATCCAAGTATGACTATCCAGGAGACTGAGTGAGACACTCGGGCAAAGCGCGCGCAGCAGCCAGTCGGAGAGTAGCGGCAGAGTAACGGAAATGAGACGAGAAAGGGTCATCCATTTTTTTTTGCCTTTTCTTTCTCGTCTTATCTGCTCTCGGTTATACATGACAAGTGACAAGGTTCGACTAAGGGAGCTTCGTCCCTAAAAAAAAATGCAATGCTTAAAATGTTCCCACCCATAGTCCAGAAGCAAAGTCATCTGCATCTTATTATGCTCCGCGTTATCTTTGCAACATCAGTTTGATGGTATAATTTTAATTTGAAGAGGTACTGGCACAAGTTTTCGGTTGTCATTTCCTTGCGCCACGTGAAATACCAAGCCTTTGAGAGCCTAAAAAATGTGCGGGTAAGCCTGAGTGTGCCTGGGGAAATAATTACGTCATGTTTTAAAAGCTAGTTTCAACTGCCACTGTGCCCTAATGTCACAACGCGTACGGTATGAGCTCGTCACGTTGATATTCCTCGGCCACTCATTGGTGATGCACCAGCGGGCAATATTCATGTTTTGGTACCTGGCATTACAACTAGCCTTACTGGTGTGTGAAGTCACCAGAATTTAGCTTATAGCCTGTTTAATCTAGCGTCAGTGTAAGTAGGTGTGCGATGCCAAAAATCACTAATCAGAATACACTCACACCTCTTTATAAGTTGCATCCTGTATAAAAATAAGTTTGTTGTATCTGATAATTTGTTATCAAGGTATATTCCTAACACTATATTGCAAGGCTATTTTTCATTCACTTTAATATAAATGATATTTCATTATATCCGGGCTTTTTATATCAATGTTTGAGTGTGGCAGCATTTTCTGAGCTTCTGCTTTGCTCAGAACCATTTCTGTATACTGGAGACTTGTATGGCAGCGTAAACTAAACTTTGAACATTTGTGTCAATATCCCTTTAATATGGCACACATGTTCTCTGCTTGTCATCCCAATGCTATAACTGTAATGTGTGGGCTGTGAAGCTAAATTCATTACCTGTAATAACCAGCCAGCTGTCTTATTGACCCATCAATGCATGACAGTGTTAACAGTGGCGCCGTCGTCCTCCACGGTGTGTTGTGCTCAAGCCGATCAGGCTTCCCCTTTCTGGTCACAGCAGCAGCAGCCCGGGATGGTGGCGATCAAGCAGGAGGTGGACGACGACTGGCTTCCCCCCAGCACTACCCCAGCAGCAGCTGGAGCAGCAAATGCAGCAAATTTCTCGGGAGATTAACAACGCACCCACACCATCCCCACCGCTGCCTCCCAAGCCAGCCCGCACCGGTGGGGGCAGGAGGCCCAACAGGAATGAAAAGGTGAGCTTTGCGCATGCTGCCCAAGGTACACAAAGCGTGGCCTTGCACTCTCTTCAGCTAGTTGCTTTACTCATGAGGGCATCATCTGGCCTTTTTTAGCACTAGCTTTTACATACAAATCAATTTACATACAAATCAATCAATTATAGTTTATGATCAATGAACTGCTTCGTTTGTGCTGTCATGCAGCTGCTGCTTGCTCGCAATCCTACAAATATACACTCGAACCTCATTGTAACAAACTTGCATCTTACATGAAAACAAGTTCGTTATATTCAAAAATTTTTAAGATTTATTCTTAACACTAAATCTATTCTGAGACTATCTTTCATTTACTTCATTATAACTGATATTTTGTTATATCCGGATTCGTTATAACGAGGTTTGAGTGCACAACAATCTGTTCAAAAGTGTATAAAGTAACACTGTTTCGGCGGAGCAGTCAAGTCTTTGAAGGGGAATTTCGATGGTATCATAATCTTTTTTCCCTCAAAGGAATACTGAACAAAAGTACAGTTTTTAACTGCAGACCATTGCTACTTATCTAAGCATTTGCTAATAATTGCTATTTTTGTCTGCTCACAGCTCAGCCCTGAAGAGGAAGAGCGACGACGGATCAGGAGGGAGCGAAACAAATTGGCAGCAGCACGTTGTCGGAAGCGGCGGATGGACCACACAAACAGCCTCATAAAGGTCAGTATCAGGACATGTTCACGCACTAAAGGGCAAACTTTTGTGCATTGATAAAACGCATATTGGCTGCCTTGCTTGCGTGACTTTGGCTGTCGTGTTCAATATGGAAATTCCCGCACAGAACATGATGTGACGCTTGTATTTTCACAGGAAACGGAAGAACTCGAAGAAGCCAAGAACAAACTTCAACAAGAGATGGCTGCTCTGCGAAGCGAAAAGGAGAACCTAGAGTTCCTCCTCGAAGCCCACAAGGCAAGCTGCAAGATTCCGCATGTGAAGTGCGCTACCACCACCGCTTCGACAATGAGCACACTCCCGCAGCAGCGCCCTCAGCATCTTCCCATCGTCACCTCTGCCGATTCGGGCCACGTCCGCAACAACCACAAGCTGCCAAATGCTCCCAGCCGAGCCCCCAAGTTCTCGCGGCCCAACTCGCTCGCGGTTACCTCAGTGTTTACAAACTCGGTTGGGGGCAATGCCCTGAACAACGGCAGCAGTGTTCCGGCGTCGTGTCCCTCACTGTTGACCGAAGTCGCCGGTGTGCCAATCCAGACCCCTTCGGACGGCATTTTCAGTTTTGACTCCATCGTCGAAGGCACCGGGGCTACGCCCACTGGAACGACGCCGCTCACGTTCTCAGCCAGTGACCTGTGCCGGACAGCAACGCAACAGTAATGGGGACCTGTCCAGCCCCGAAACCATGAACCCCCCCAAACTGGTGTCGCTCTGACCCCAACAGCATTAAGCACTGTGCGTCTCTGGGAGAGTTGTGACCTAGCTTCTCGTTGTGGCAGTGTGGCACCACTGGTTCTCTCTCTCCAAGTGATTTCGCCCAGAACTGGTCATGGTGCAACATGTGCCGTGCGCGCAACATTGTCATTCTCGCATGCTGGGACGTGTTGTCCTCTATGTTCATTTGCTACGAGCAGGACACGTTTGATGTGATGCACCTATGGGGAACTGGCTGCTCTGTTTGATTTCTTCTCTAGGCACTTAACGATGACAGTGTTTATTGCCTTCATTTGTACCAGATTAAAAAAAGTATTGCTGGCTCCCGGAGCATAACTTGCTGCTGCATTTCTCGGCAACAGAAGATTGCCTCGCTGTCACACACTGCCTGTGCCTTAAAAAGCAGTTTCCGCCTTTATTTCTTTTGTCAGCCTGAAGTGATTTCTATCTTTGAGGTTGCTTACTGAGATTGTATCTTGCGTATAATTAACTGTTTCTTTCCATGCCTGAGTGACATTACAGACTTCCAACCGAGAATTTTTTTTCTGTGCAATGTTTCATTTGGAGATGTGTGTATATTCTGAACCTTTTTACAGTACGGAGTCAATTGCTCACTTCACTGTCCAAGCCTTTCTGGATCATCAAATTCTCTCTGCCAATACAGTTCCGCACCATATGCAAGAGTGTCAAGTACAGGGCTGCGTGCACACATGCCACACTCTCTCAAGCATAGATTGTTTTTCGGTGCTTTGCCGTGGCATTTTGCCAGCACCTTCGAACATTGCTTCCTCATAGAGCGGTTAGTTCCCTTGTGCTAGCCTGTGGGGCAGTATAATTCTCAGCAGATTTTTTGAAATGTTTGTTGGCAGTGCATTGTTAGACCAAGCTGTTGCTGTAAAAGGGAGTCTGTACAGTTGCTCCAGTCAAACACCATTCCTCAAGTGTCGTATGTTGGCACAGGTCACCCTGAGTTGGACTGGTTGTGAAGTTTGGGGATTGGGGTACACTCAAACCTCAATATAATGAATCTGGATATAACGAAATTTTGATTATAATGAAGTAGTCTCAGTAGATTTAGTGTTGAGAATAAACCTTTATAACGAATTTTGGGATACAACAAAGTTATTTTTATGTAATATGCAAGTTTGTTATACTGACGTTCGAGTGTACTACGAGTTTCAAACAGCTGTGGAGTTCAAGTGTGATTATTTTTTCGAAGCCATTTAGGAACTGTACGCTAGGCTGCAAGTTTTGAATTTGCTCAACAAGTGTATTCTTGTCGTCCCCTCAAATGTGCCATGCTAGAGTGGTCTCGTCACTGTTGGGTTTCGGAAGATAATCTCATTTTTGGCATGTTATGAAGGCTGCTTCCAGTTTGTCAGTTGCTTGTAGCATGCTTGGGCAGTTACAGCTGAACTACAGTAGTAGTATTCTGCAACAATGCGAAGAGTTGCCAACAAGTTTTGAGCTGTAGCTAAGGACATTGGGCGTCGAAAGTTTATGGGCATTGACATTGGTACCATTTGGTAGGGCTTGCTCTGACTGCGCAGACTAAACGTCGGCTGCTGTGCACATGTCGACACTGTTTCGACGCTATGCAAAAATGAAAAAGATGTGCACGCTTTTGTCTTTCACTATTTCAACTTCGACTGTGAGAGAATGCAGGAGAACGTAGTGCGGCTGCTACCTGAAATGAATGAATATGAGAAGGTTTTATTCGTAAAGCCTATGAAAGAAGGTTGTTAGCAATGGAAAAAAACAAGGTTTCCAGATAATATCGCGAGTCGCGCCAGCAGCTGTAGTCTCGGCATGGCATGTGCGAGTGTTGCGTCCAATGCATAATGCCAAAACATATTCACATAATCGCAGCCACAGGTTGAGCATTTCGAATCATTTGTGCGATGCGATGTGATTCTATCGCCAAGCACCTAGTCTTGTTTTTAGTGCAGTTCATTGTGCGAGTGAATGGGTGTGTACTCATCACCATTTCACATTTGTGAATGCAAGCAATTGAATATTTTTAGATGAGCACGATTCTCAACATCGGTAGGGAAACCTGTCTAACGTGGATGCAATAAAAAAGTAAGCTGTGTAAAACCAATTGAGTGTCTGGTACGATAGGTCACCTAATGAAATGTTTCCCGTGAAGTTCTGGTGCAAGCCAACTGAGGCCACATGTTGCACTGATTAGGCAACCAGAAAGCGATTGTCTATGTTAAACAGGTTTCGTTGTACTTAACATTTCTTGAGAACATTGCGCTTCTTTGTTTACTTATACTAGCATATGTGATGAATGAGATCCATTGTACGAGCATCTGTGAGTGCATGTGATGACTGGGTTTCCAGGGACTGATCTTCAGGGGGGGACGGGGGGGGGGGGGATAGGGATTAATTTTATTGTGGTGTCATATTACTGGCTTTTAAGTGCATTATTGTTTCATGCGATATCATGTGCATTTCTGCTCGCGCAGTGGGTGCTGCAAGCGGTTCTGTTTCTACACGACACCCCCGTGAATCTCGTAAAGTGTTGAGTATCCGGCCATGTTGGTGGCCCAGTCTGTCGAGGTGTTTCTTAAGATTGTACGCAGCTTGTATGCATAATGGAGGTTGCCTATGCATGCATTCTTGCATGTGTGTTACGCCCATGAATGAAGATTATAGCAGCAAATCCTTGGACTTGCATGCTTACATAGCCAATGCAAGTACCATTCGTCTAAAAGTGCCAGATGCTTGTGCATGGTCGTATAGTCTATATTTTCTATACAAAACTTATATTAATGATTACAATAATATATTATAACATGTATAGCTATTTTAGATGACACAGCAATAATGTCGTTTTATAACTGCACAACAGCGAATGTGATGCGTGTTTGTAGTTCTCCGTCACTGCAGAACACAATGCTCACAACTCTCAAATTATGCACTTTGGTGAGAATGTTGATGAAGGTGTGTTTCGCCTGCTTGTATCTGCAGCTCTGATTGTACCAAAGACTGCTTGTGCCGACCGGAACCATTCATTTGCCTTTTGTTTTGTTTGAGTTGTTACATCCGGAGTCATTCACTCCGCTGTGTTTTAGTTAGTTTTTTGTTATAGGTTATTTATTAGCCCCAGAACTGATGTTCTCGGCTGCCTTGTTTCTTTCGTTGAGCTTAGACTTTTTTTTTCATGGTTCTGAAATGGCACACAGCAATGGAGTGTTTGAGGATCATGTTCTGCCATACATTTTATTGTTTTAGTTACATATTGTCTTTCATGTTGCATTTAAAAGTGAAGAGATTCATGGTGTGTGTGTGTGTGTGCCCGCTTTATCGCTTATAAAGCCGAAATAAAAAATGTTTCATATTTTTATACCTGCAACATAGCGTACGAATTTTTCAATGTGAAACTGAAACGAAACTCGTAAATGCGACTGTATTGGCACATGTCCAGTGCGATACAGACGCAACTCGTGGGTATCGTATAAGGGCCTGCCCGACATTTGCACTTTTGGGCAGGGAGTTTTTGTTGTTTGGGTGACGGCCAGAGTTCGCAGTACTGCACAAATTGGCAGTTTCGGCTTCCTTCACTTCAACAAACAACTGAAAAGTCTTCACGTGACCAGAGTCAGTTGTTAATCCTTTGATTGAATGCATTAATCCAATTGCCACATTTATTATACATCAAGGTCACAATGCTTTTTTGGCCGCTTGCCAAACAAGGATCAGGAAATGCTTACAGCTTGGGCAATTGAACCAACATTCAGGAAAGCAAATTATTCAAAATGGAATCTGGAGGCAATTCTAGCGTAGTTACTAGAAGTTGCACTGGGATGCTAATATATTATTCAGCTGCGCTAGTCGAGAGGAATTCGCATATCTTAAGTGCAACCGCTGTATATGTTTACGATTTCTTACTTAATCTTGAAGAGGACTTCAAAGTGACATTACTTTCAAAGCAAGATCGTTAGTGCAATTCAGGCTTGTCCTGCATTACTGCAGCCGTAATATTTTAATTTTGGGGATTTTAATTCATCTGTCTACCTCATTGACTATATTAAACTTTCCTGTTCTGCGAGAAACTGTTGCTGGACTACTCGTCAGGTAAGTAGTGATTATAGAAACTCTCGCAGATAAAATTAACGCTGTTCCATTTTTCATACTCTAGTGCTATCGTGCACCGTAGGCCATAGCGTACGGTTCGTTGTAAATATATTAATAAATGTTTACCGCCACCACAGTGCTGATATGGCGTACAATGTGCAAAGCGATCGCAAGCAATGCACCTGTGCCTTAACATCTCCGCATTCGGGGTTAGCGAATGAGCTCCAGATTGTTGGACTGTGTGTCAGCGACTGTTCTTTATCCGAATAACAGGCACGATCGTGCTTTGTGATGAATCGCTGCACATAATGTTGCGAACAAATGACACCCCTGCTTGGCGCCCGAACTTGGCATCACTGTCAACGTCGCATTCGACCTATCGGTTTGGAAAAGAAGGAAAAAAAAACAGTTAAAACCGAGGAAATGCAATCGTGCTCTTCGCTCTAGAAGTGCTACAGGGCACCACATAACCGCATTCAATCAAGGGCTTCTGAGAGCCAGCGCTGCCTAGAGTAGGTGTTTTCTGACTAAACCACAGAACACAGTTTGCTTTTACTATTGTACGCAAGATGACGCCACAGTGCAGTGAAGTGAGAAAAGGCGGAACGGATTGGTTCACAAGTTCGGTACTGTTAGCCAACAGTTGAGAATGCGATATCAGCGTGCGTTAAAGAAAAACTGAGTTGTTCCTTGCTGAAGCTGAAGTGTTGCCATATGGAGAGAAACTGTATCTCTCACGAGTCACTGCCACCAGTCGCCGCTCTATGGTGGCTCCTTACACGGCCTTTGAGATTGGCTGTCGTTTTTTTTGTTGCATGATGGCAGACGAGAGTGGGTGCATTATCGTTATGCTCGAGACGGTAATAAATGCGATCGTATTGGGCAGATCCTATAACTATAACTTATGATTGTACCGCTGCGTAGGCTGTCGAGTTGCAGCTTATTCTGCCACCAAAAGTATTGCCTTCGAGATTTGTTTGTAAGCATCCCATGGTGAATTCAGGTTTTAACAGTAAAAGTATAAATGGTACTTTTTTTAGTTTACTTTGCATAAAAATTCTTTAGGTAAAGCTTATTTTGAAGGTTATTAGTTCAAATTACGTCATAAACGCCATGTTTAAAATAATTAACTTGGCTTGGCTATTCTAAACTGGGTTTGTGCTTGGCTCGCCGTGAATATACGCAAACGCGCAGAATCGACGCCTTCCTCATAATATATTTTGCGCCGAACGCGCCTAAGCGACGCGGGTTTCAAGTTTTAACGCGGAAGCTCGGCGTTTTCGGCGAAGTTGGCGCATTTACATTGCTGCAGAAGAGAGGACGATGGATTTCACCGAAGTTTGGAACAACACTCGGTCTACGGTGAGCGTCGCGATAGCGTGTTCGGACGTGGTGGCTTTGAAGGAATTGATTGTCAGCGGCAAACCCGTTGATGTGCAAGACAACCGCGGTTGGCGGCCACTTCACGACGCTGTCGAAGCGGGATGCAGCGTCGAAGTGCTTGACCTCCTGCTTGCCCACGGTCAGTTTTTAAAGACGATAGTTAAGTTTTCACTTTAATATGTACCAACTAGCCCAACATAGCGTACTGTAAAGACGATACTATTTCTTGGGGACCTTCGAAGAAAAAAAAATTTGGTCTGTCTGTCTGTACGTTTGTCTGTCCGCCTTAACGATACCTCGAACTGCCAACCCTATCCGCAGCGCCCACCAATATTGCTCAAGGTTTAGCATTCATAATTGTGCGATTGTCAATTAAAAAAGCAAATATTGCGCATATCTGAGGCGCCATAACAACATGTCTATGTTTTGTATGTCTGCCTTGATACTAGAAGAGGCACACGCAAGTAACTAAGGACTGTAGCGTTTAACGCGCTACGCTGACAGTGCAACGTGATGCTCAAGAAGGTGTTTCCAACGCTTTGCTACGACGTCATGGTGGTGGCACCTGCCCGTCGCTTTGCATTCTACACCTTATCACCTCCGTGACTGGCGCGCATCTTTCTCCGCGGTCGCGCACGCATTCGTTTTTGAAGATAACTGCCAGATGGCGCTCGTGTCTAACGTGCCTTAAGGTCCATAGATGAAACAAGGTAGCGTCACTCATTGTTCTCGAGCCGTCCTCCTCACTCTCTCGATTACTCCTCTTTTTCTCTGCCATCCGCGTCTGTAATTGGTGCATTACTTGCACGTGATCTTGCAAATGGCTGGTGGTGTTATTTATTATTATGCAAAAGGTTCAAAACGAGTACGCATGCGCATATGGCTCCAGCCGGATTCTCGTCGTGACCAAAGACAAAATCGTAGCCAGAACATAAACTGAAGAGGAGGAGCGTTTCGGTGTGCGCTAAGTCGACCAAGATTGTTTCGCCATGCTCGTTCAATGCAACATCTGCGTTTTTCAGCAATGCTGCGTTGCCGTAAACAACAGAAAATGGTTTCGCTCTCTTCAACTTACCTCGTGCTTTCCGAGATGAAGCGCACCATGAAGTGCAACTATGAACCATTTCCCGTGAATGCTTTCGTGCAACTCCGTCCACGTATGTCGACGCGGATCTGCGAAGCGAGTTCACTTGTCGGTTTTTATTGAAACACCAGGCGCGCGTCTAATGCGTGTCTAGTGCATGCCTGTTGGTACAAATACATGTGGGTATGCACGTATACAGAGCAGCTGTAGGAGGTTGTAATCAACGCACCTTCAGAAACATTTCACTCTTGACCAGTTCCCGCTTGAGCCGAAACGCGCTGCTTCGAGGCACCTCACCAGTAGAACTCTCACTTTTCAGGAAGTTCCCAGCACCGCATCAGAATCACTTGGCATCACGATTGTCCAAATGGGCACATTAAAAAAAAAAACGTCATCGCAGTGCTGCTGGACGAGTGTTCGTACCAGTCTGGTCGTAGTTTTTTTTCTTGCGTGTGCACAAGCCGGTTGTAATCAATCGTCACAACGTCACGCCCTGTGGCCACTTACAGGATCCAGCAAGAAGCACGTTCACTGTGTCACAGCACGAACAAAACACAATCGGGGAAGTGGACTAGTTAGAACTGGACGAAATACCGCGGCCGTGGAACTAAAATGTACTACGCGAGACGCCATGGCTAGTGGTGTAAAGTATAGAACTGCACAACGTTGCCGGTTGAGTAACGCACATCCCGCTTGCTCTTGTGTTGTGCCGTTTATGTTCATAAAGGTAACTGTTTATTCTACGTCTTATTTCGTTCCATTTTGTTTCATTTACATCTATTCACCGTAGCAACAGAACCCAAACATTCGCTTTTGGATGAAAGTTTTAAACCTTCTAGGGGGCGCTTCAGGCAAATAAGCGAGGAGGAAAAGGGAGGGTGTCACTACCTTGGAAACTTGTTTCATCTAGGGACCTTAACGTGCCTAGATGTGCTTGTTCACCTCCGTTACACGTGTGGCGGCTTGGGCTAGTTCTTCATGTCCTTCGTCTCCTTCTTGTCTCTGTGGCGTCGTTTTGTTCTCGCGCTATGACTATCGTCCGTTACACACTCGAGGCACTCTAACGCAGCGCCTTCAAAATACCATTCACAGATTTTCTTACGCAGAACATCAAATGAACGTTTCGTTCACTCTCTCCAGACGCAAGACTATTGTCTTTCGACGACATTTGCAGTGTAACATGTAGATTCGGGCCAATTTTTTTCTGGCGGACACTATCGAACATTCTTCATTACTTCTCGGATCGTGAACTGCATGAGAAATAATGATAGAGGACGAGGAGAATGGATTTGTTGTCATGCTGATCACGTTAAATAAAAAAGCATATATACATTATTAGGCCAGGCGTAGCTTGCACTAGTAGCGCAATGTTGAAGGCACATCGGAGCTGATGATGGGTTCATAGCTGAACCTAGTCTTACGAAGTGAAATGCTAAGTTCCAGTCGCGTCTTGCACTGTCGCCTCTCGCCGTTAGGGCCATACTACTTCGTAGACTACACATGTCGAGTCCAGCAGTCTAGCTTGGCAGTGTGCCATGATTCCTTCTAAACGGCTTCTTTATCGGCAGTGCGAACCTTCAACGTTCTGCCCCCTCCCCCCTTCACGTCAATGTCTGGCGCCCACCAGAACGGAGGGGCGCATGCGCAGTTGGCCGTGACGTCATGCATGGCGCGACTGAGCGGTTGCGCGCAGTGTCCAGGCAGGCGTCTGGTGGAGGAGTAGTGGATGGGCTATCGAAGCATGCGCACAGCTGTGCATCCGGTTGCTACACTCGGCAACAACTTTTCTTAGCATTGAAGCGAAGGCTACAGAGCCAAATCATGTGCATTCTTCAACCATTGAATATAGTTTCACGATGACATCCGGACTTTCGATGTGAAATATAAAAGTTCCTCCTTTAGGGGAAACTATTTGAGACAGGACGTAGCACACTCCAGATTTATTTAACTTTACAGCGTTTCGGATGCTCAAGTCCCGCCTTTTTACATTCACCTCAAATGCTAAGCGGCATCTGCGTCTGCATGAAATGCTGATAGTGTGCCTCTGTCACTTTCCACAGCGTTACGAGACACATGCCAAATCGGACTACTTCGCTTAGGGCTACATCTGCAGGAGCTCTGCTCCGGTAGCTTTCCCTTCAATTCCAAGTTTTCGCGGAGTATGCATTGCGGCGCAGAGTTCTTTCATTTTATTCGTGTTGGACAGATTTCGTCCAGCTTAACCAGCAGTGTTCAAAGCTTTGTTAAAGTTTCGATGTGGTTAGCTTATGTCTAGCGTTATGTGCCTTCCTATCCACTCTGTTCACCAGTAGAATGTTTTTACAGTATTCACGGTGAGTATGGCTGTGTCCATCACTGAGGGTTTGGAATGGTAAAATGATCCTGAAGGCGGCACACAAGTTGTGTAGTCAGTGTTTGGTTGTGCTTACTCCTTGCTTGCCAGGAATCGTTTGCTTTGCAGTTGTTTGTAGTGGTCTTTAATCCCTTTCGGTCCTGGCGGTGTCAATTGACACCACCGCACAATATTTCCTCTAGTATCTTGGAAACGTAACCAATACTGCTCATTCTTGGGGCCATAGTTCTTCAATGATCCCCACTGCAATTGACATCAATATTGCGGCACGTTTGTGGAGGTAGCATCCACAAAGAAGAAGAAGCGCGACCGAGGTCTTCCGTGAAGCCGAGGCGCGTAAGTTGAGGCGGGTAAGTGCCATTTTCGGGACGACGTACCGAAGCTCTTTCAGTGAGTGTTAGGCTGAAAAGTAAGACGTAGGTTTTCATTTTGTGTACACTATTGTTTGGCAGAAAAAAAGAAGCAACTTTTTTCATTTCCCAATCACTGGGCTCTAATTACATAATTTGATGTTATGTTAATTAATCAGTGACTCAATTTTAATTAACCAGTGGCTCAATTTTTTGTTTGTGGTCTTCTGAGGTCCTAACTATGAGGAAAGTACTGCACAAGAGGTGTATCCGACCAAAGTAAAGAACCCAGGGCTGAAAGGGTTAAGTAATAATTTTGTAAGCTTCATTCAGCATTCTATTCTTTCAACCAGACATTCTGACTTACTGTCCAAATGTTTGCACTTAAGACTTATTTTACTGCCTTGTTTCAATGCAAGCGGACACGGATGTCAACTGGTGCACCTTTGAAGGCGAGACAGCACTGCTGCTTGCATGTAAACGGCTGAAAGGAAAGACACTGCTGGACATTGTCAACAAACTACTCGGAAGTGGTGCAGACGCCAACATTGCTGATCACGAAGGCGACTCACCGCTGCTAGCAGGTGAGTGTTTGCAGTGTCAACTGCTTACTAGGGCTGATAAACCTTATTCAAGCAGAAACTCAGCAGAATAATCTGATGCTCTCTCATTTATCATCCAACATTTCTGCAGAACAGGCGCTTGAGTGTGCCCGTACTCGTCGTCATTTTGCAATGTTCCCTTTCATACTCACTGAAAGATTTTGTTGCTGAGCTAGTTGGTTCATAATGATAAACTGCGAAGTGTAAATCAGGTATGGACAAAGACAAACACACACACCCCTGTACAAATGCTAACTACTTCTGTGCATTTGTCCTGTGCTGTGTGTTCTTTTATGCCCTGTGTGCACTTTACCGTACTCACCAGGGTTCGCATACTTTGAAACTTTGTTCCACCTGCACTTTTTCGGTGTGCACTCATTCTTGTGTTCATTCCTGCCAACTAGCATTTGCCCACATGCGTACTCCTAAGAGGAAAACCATCACCCTCTATTTTGTGGTATAAAGTGTTGTAGCAGGTCAATAATCAATACGAATTGCGCAGCAGCTGCAAGTGTGGGCTTCTGTTGTCAAAATTTTACCCTTATGCTGCTATCTACTACACTCGGCGACAACTTATCTTGACCTTGAAGCGAAGGCTGCAGAGGTAGGGCTTCTGCGCATTCGTGGTGCTTCGCAAGTACTATCGGCAGCTTGCGGTTGGTTTCGGTTTTCCTCCTCTTATATCGTTAAGGTGTTTAAAGAACGAGCACTACAAAATTATGAACGTGATAAACATTTTCATTGTTCACTTGTACATTTTAGTGACCTATTATGAGCACATTTTTCTTGGAGAACCAAACAGTGTGTTGCGGCTGGGCACTGACATCACGTATGATGAGAGGGGATCGGCCCAGAGGTCGGTTACTTTGGACGACGGGCGGGCAGGAAAAGTGGTGCTGTCTAGGAAATAAAAACAAGAGAAAAACATTCTTGTAACTTGCAAGGTGAAAGGTGGCTGTATTTTACCTCTAACTTGCAGCAATTGTTTCAGTCTTATGATAAGTAAAGCAGTATTTATTTCAGCAATGCAAATGAGAAAATGGTCAGTAAACTTGAGTACAATTGTTTTGGCCCATTAGCAAACGTACGCTTTGGTTCCATAGCTTCCACAGGACTGTTAAGAAAAGTTGTCAAGTAAAGTTGTCGCCGAGTATTGTCTCCCGTTTAGCTTATGTTAGAGCAACAGCCCTAGAAAGGCGTCGGTTCTGGGTTGAAAAGTTCTGAACCAGGATGAATTTTTCTTCCACTCCTGTTTTGGGATTCAAAACAGGAGTATTAAACAAATCCTTGAACAGGGAATGTAACTGGAGCCAATTTTTAATTTATTGCCCCGACAAAGATGAGTCTACTTGTAAAAACTTTGGCTCCAGCGACTGTCAGAGTTCAAGGATTTTTCCATCTCTCCAAACCAACTTCAAGCAATGTAGGAAATTATTCTCGAGGATCAGTTATCAGTATCTCTAACTTACTTGCATAAATTAATTAGGTGTACTTCAGTATGTTTTCTGTTTGTTATTAATCGTGGTATTTTGTAGACCACCATGCTGTTGTGTTCTGGACTTAATTTGTCATTTTATTTTTGACTCTGGACCAAAAACTAGTCTTTCTCAATTATTGGTCGTGACATATTTCAAACCATGATTATGTGAACAAAAAGGAAGCACTTAGGCATGCAGAAAAAATATACGAAGAGAAAGAACAAAGAAGCCAGTTTTTGTGCCATGAAAACCATCAGACGACAAAACTGTAAGTGTGCGACTGTATGTGATCGAGCATCATCATCATTGCGAGCATCACCACCATTTAGCATAATATTGCAACAGGTATGAGCCGAGCAAGAAGTAGAGGAAGAGGACATGAGTTGGGCAGCCTGCCTATGCCATCATTGCCTGGAGTTCCACCTCGCCCTGTAAATAAACACCATTCAACTTCAACCGTAACAGTTTTGTGGTGGAGGTGCTGGGTAGTAAACGCGATATTCCGGATGCCGATTAGTGATAGCCACACGAGTGCGTCAATCATATGTCAAGTTGTCTGGAAAAGTCAAGTCGTTTCGGGCTAAGAACGTCGTTGCTGTCACTGCTGATCGGATCGATATTCCGCACCACCAGACACGGTCGACTGTGAGGACACAGCCGATGCAGGCTCATGAGGTTGGTTAAAATCGCAATCATGCCGCTCGACACCTATCAATGTGATGTGTCAGCCGAGCTCCTCGCGGACAAATTGCCTTACAGTTGCTGCAAGGTCTAATTGAAAACTGTAGCTGTCTTCAACACTTGCCACCGTTGCGACGTTCGCTTACCTTCCAAACTTTGGCATGACGTGGCGCAGCTTCCTCAGCAATACCTTTCAGCAAGTGCACAACTTTGTCCTCTTCGGACATTTGGGGATTCACAGTCCTGCATAACTTAAAGATTGTCTCTATGCACATTGTACAGGTCTCATCAGGCACTTGAGCAAGCTGAAGCAAAGTCTGCTCCGCTCTCTTCCTTTTCATAGAGGAATCTTCGCAGCACTGCGTGATTTCCATAGCGAAGTGGTCCCAGGTTGTTGATGGTTCTTTGTGGTTCTCGAACCACACCAGTGCAGGGTCAGTCAGAAAGAGAGCGACATGCTCTATCTGAGCCGCGGTGTTCCAGGCGTTGCACTTACTGATGTGCTTGCAGTGGCCGAGCCGCTCCTCCACGTTCTCGCCAGGTTTTTCTGAGAATGGGCATGGCTTCATATGATGGATCCAGGCACTGCTTGTGTACGACAGAGGAGTTGTAGATGGCTGTTGGTCGCCGTTGTTAAACATAGGGAACTCCGGTACTGTTGGAGGCAGTAAGTGAGGCGTCGACTTCGGCAGCGGCTCCGTCATTTTGGTCGAACTACCCAGTGCCTCTGCCACCCACAAAACTGTTACGGTTGCAGTTGAATGAGATTTATTTACAGGGCGAGGTTGACCTCCAGGCAATGATTGCGTTGGCAGGCTGCCCAACTGACGTCCTGTCCTTCTACTTCTTGCTTGGCTCATACCTGTTGCATTCGTAAAAATATCATCATCATTTAACTTTATTTCTCACTAGTCCTCTAGTCACACGACCTGACTGAGGACTATTACTACTATTACTGTTACTACTAATACTACTACTATGATGACGACACCGGCACAGGGTAGACTATACTCCACCTCAGAAGTTTCCTTCAGCACTGTGGATGCTACTGGGCCCCTCCGCCAATAGAAAGGGCGATTAGACTCTTCACGTGTATTCATCCCCACTGCGTCATCTGCTTAGTGTGTCCCTGGAACTCACACGTTCAGCGAGCAGACAGCAGCACCCTAAAGGATAGAACATGGCTGCATACCACAACGCTGGTGCCCTCTTGCTCGAGTTTATCACTTCGCCGTTGTGCACTCTGTGGCCAAGTTCTAAAGAGACGCTTGATATGTCATGGTGCTTGATATATGTAATGGCGAATACATTGCCTGGCAGCAATATATTCGTGACTATATTGGGCTATTTCCATGAACAGCTATCAAATTCTTGGCGCATTAGGCTTAGCAGGCGTGAAAAAAAAAAACTTATCTAATCAACAGAGACCGAGCCTACTTGATACTTTGTTCTGGTCATGAGATGGCACTAAGAGATAGCACTAGCTTATTATGTCATTCATTTTTGCTGTAAGCGTCAAGGGCAAGTTCGGGTCAAAGTAGACAGTGGGTGAACATGGGCACTACCGTGGTGATTTTTTACCTCAGTTACTGACGCTTATTGATACAACACTTGGGAAATGCAATGTAAATGCGATGAAGAATAAACATATTACTTATCGATGTGTAGCAGCAAATGCCAAACAAGGGCAAACGTCTCAGCCTTGCTTGTTGAAAAGTAGTTTATCTCTGGAATGTTTTCTTACACAAGCATGTACAAAAGGCTTGCTTACACCTTGTAGTTTTGGCAGTGCTGAATAGGGATAGTAAGATAGAGAATAAGACAGCTTCATTATGGAAACATGGCAGCATAAGCAAATAGAACATGGAAGGAGCGTTACACAGGCTGTGTCCTGTTTGTTATCACTGCCACAACTCTATAATGAATTTATGTCGACGTCTACTAGCCCACCTTTCCAACCTTCTGCAAGACAGTTTCCATCTACCTTGACACTTGCAGCGACCCGTGCTGGGGAGACTGACGTCGTGCGCCAGCTTCTGTGCGTCGGCAGGGCAAACGTGAACGTAGGTGACTGTGGTTTCTGGTACCCGTTGCACGCGGCGGCCGAGCGTGGTGACCTGGCCACCCTCAAGTGTCTGGTTGAGCACGGGCGCCTCACCGATCTGGGCGTGCGTGACGAGTGTCGCATAACGCCCATATTTGTCGCTGCTCAGTATGGCCACCTTGACTGCCTCGAGTATCTTCTCCGTGCTGCGACGGCCCAAGGTATGCACATCGCCCACCGCAGGGGTCTTTTGGTTACGGTGCTCCTTGATGACCCAAGGTTCATGGGATTGAAGACCGGCAGCGGTGGCCACGTTTCGATAGAAACAAAATGCTAAAGGCCTGTTTGCTTACATTTTTTAAGTGCACATTAAGAATTTCAGATGGTCCGTGGCTTTTTTTCAACTCGGGCCGGATTTTGATGCTCAGTTATGCAAAGTCATCGACAAATGTGCCATTAGTGAACAACAAACGCAACACAGTCGAACCCCTTTATAAATGACCCTGATTGTGAGAGACAACTGTGCCTACTTTGTATCGATACGAAAGGGGTACCCTGCTTATGAGGAACACCTCTCATAAAACACAAGAATTTCTCCTCAGTACATGTCTCTTTTAAAGAGTTTCAACTGTATTAGTGAATGTGATGGGCATTAAATTAACTATATTTGCTATATTGCAATTAACTATATTGAAAAACGTGAATGAGCCTCAAAAAATGCATCAGGCCATCTTAAAATTTTAAAAGTACTCCTGTAAAAAAAAATAATAAGCTTAAGCGTTCCTACAAACATAACTGGCAACTCTGTTACTATAATTGAAAAAGATCACCACTGTTTGCCCGTCTTGTTTTTGTTTTTTTTTTTTTTTCATTTCGTGTGCTTTGTTTTTTCTGCACTCTTCAGGGAGGACAGACTGATTGATCGCGGCGCCATGGATAAGGCGACGCCTTTGATGATTGCTGCGCAGAATGGCCACCACGAGTGTGTGGAGTTGCTTCTCCGCTACGGTGCCTGACCCGAACCGAACCACGAGCGACAACAACACTGGAGTGCACCTTGCTTCACAGTCCAACAGCATCCTGTATGTGTCTCAAGGCGCTCAGATTCAACTGACCCCTTTATTTGTTGAAAATTGGAGACATGCACAGGTGCAGGGTACCCAAGCTAACCGCAGTCAGTGTTTAAAAATATGGCGATGGGCCCTATGATGACGTGGTTGATTATAATGGTGTTGACGACTGTGTAGAGGAAGTCACACTAGTTTTGTGTGCTGATCGATTGCCGAATTAGGTAAGCTTAATTAGCAAACTTTTCAAGCAATGAAGCTAGGCAAAGAAATTCCTCTGAGAAAGTTGAAGATTGGTATGCAAAATGTCCGATGGGGCAGTCTGTAACTTTCTGTCTGTCAAAGGGGCCCTGAAACACTTTTTCAAGTAATCATAGAATGAATTCACTAGGATAGCTTGTTGCCTCACGAATTCAACGCCGCAAAAATTTAAGAATCTGACCAGTACGAGCGGAGGTACAAAAATTTGTCGCACGCTGCAATCGCAAGCTCTTTCTTTGCGGCCACTTGACGTCCGATGGGTTTCCCAAATAGATAGCGCAATTTCTGCTTACAGACATCCCAGCTGGTCAACTCTTCTTGATGTGTTTCGTACCAGAGTTTTGCCGTGCCATGCAAGTAGAAGATGATGTTCGCCAACATAAGTGTCGGATCCCAATGGTTGCTGCTGCTGATGCGCTCATATAGAACCAGCCAGTCATCGACGTCTATGCCACTTGTGCTGTTGAATGGGCCTGGGTCACGAGGTTGCACCACAACGATCGGCTGCGGGGCTGACGGATCTTGTTGACATTGAGTAGCCTGGTCAGTCATCGTGGTAGCTGCAATGCGCTGTCCGCTGCGAAGATCCAGCTCGTTGGGCTGTATAGCGAGTGGTACCCCGCACCTTCCACCAATGATGTTACGGGGAATAAAGTATACACTGGCGAGCAAATGCGTACTGGCGAATATACTGGCGAGCGAATGCGTACAACGCTGCTGCAGTCCGAGCACGTTCACGTTCAGCACTTCGTCGTCGTCATCCTCAGGCATCTACTTAGCCCGTGACAATATTTTCTCTTCTCTCGTCCCCATGAAAGTACTGGAGGCTAAGCAGGGAGGGATGACACTGGCAAAGAAAATACGTCACGCATGCCTTGTGGCCTTGAGCACTCTTTTTTTTTTTTTTTTTTTTTTGAATACGCGGCTTTTTTAATGTGATCGCACACGCATGTGTGGACAAGTTGTGGCGTCCCTCGGCGATCCCTGTAATGACAGAACGCGCCATGTTCAAATCAGCCAATCGCTAATAGAAGCACTCTTAGGACTGATTTTTGAGCTTCTTCCATCATTTGTTGAGAAAAGAGAAAGCAATTTTTAGCTGACTTTGATCATTTATTTATGAATTCCAGGCTGCGTGCTGCTCTGTAATATTTGGCTCGCGTGTTCTTGGGAGTGTCTACTACCTGCTGACAGCGTTTTCTGACCGTGCTCAAAAAGTGTTGCAGGGCCCCTAACAGGACCACTCACCAGGCTCCATAACAAATTTTAGTTAGACCATGGTAGCTTTTGTGTGTCCGACGAAGAGCATTGTGCGATAAAAAAAACTTCCTTTCGGTTTAATATGAGCTGAGAAAACTTCTATTTTGTAGCGGTGCAAAGAATGATTTGACGAGGCGAGCTCGAAACCCTTGCCGCTCGCCCCGTGTGGCCTTTGCAAGCCAGATAGATCTCTTCCCTATTCTCTTCGGCATCCAAGCAAACGGTCCTGTGCACATGACGTCCCCGAGCAAACCGAACCCCTGAAAACGGGAGTAGTGTTTTGTTGACCAGCGTTATTTTGCGGTCTACTGCCCGTTTCTGAGGGATGGATGCCTCAGTGCGCGTTAATTTGGAAACTCTTGTCTTAGATGCAGTAAAATAGATGAGCGTACTGAGGGCTCGAACGCGCAGAAGCATTCATTTCGTTTCCAGGGCTGGTGTCTACTCGATGGGCTAACCACGAGGACACGAATGCATGCGAATTGCAGGCACATTTGCCCTGCATCTCATTGCAATTTACGGGAGGGGGGGGGGGAATTAACAGGACGCACACATTCCCTTTGTATCTGTAAATATTTATCTCAAGTTTTATTATCAATTCAAGAAACAAATTACACAAACTATTCATGTGATATGAAATAATTTTTGCCATGTCACATGCTACTGGCGGCCACGTCAGAGTACAATTGTCTGCGTAGACGGCGCATGTCACAGCACTACCATTTATGCAGGGCAATTCCTATGTCTACGTCATGTTGTCGTTCTCTGGGTGCGTACCCGTGAAAGCAAAAGAAAGCAGCTTTCATCTTGAAATTCGACCCACTTCCACAGGTGCGCAGCGTTGCGAATTTTGGCGGACGTGATTGTGAACGCCCCATGTATGCATTGCGCTCGTTAGCTCAAAATTGTCAAACCTGTCGGGTGGTCCTTTAAGCTCTACAGGTGCCCGGGAAGTACAAAAACATACCATGTGACATGCCTGCTTGCGTGCCGCAATTGCAGCACCCTCTTACTTGCTAATCTTGCCAGCACATTATCGTGCCTCACAAATGTTTCTCAGTTGCATCTCTAGTGAGTGTCTGTTGATGCTGGCTTCCATACACTATAGGGCTGTCTCAGGCTGCGATGTTTTTCTTACAGCTGCCTGAGGCTTCTGCTTGGTGCCATAGACGTGAAAAGGCTCCTCGAGAATTGTTTGCAGCCCTTCCAGAGGGAGAATGCTGCCTCATCCAATGGAGCCAATGAATATGAGCCCATGATTTCTCCTCTGCACATAGCCATTGAATGGTCCAGGTAAGTTAAGGTGCACCTTGTCAGTTAATAAAGGGAGATCTTGCTTTAGGGCACATTTTTTCTTTTAGAGTGGATTTTCACAAATCTTTCACAGCCCATGCATATTTACGTGTTGATTCTAAATGTGCAGATATTTTGCTAATAGAACTTAGTTTTTAAAATATCGGTTATTTCATGTGGCTTTAGCAGAAAAAAAAATTTTTTTTAGCTTTTAGATTTACGAGGCCAATCGGCATATCACAGCAATCTAGAATGTAAACTGCGTAGTTAAGCAAGAATAGATCGTCTGAGCCAGTTTGAACGAAAGTTGTGTCATGTTGAATTCAAGTCAGTGAAATCCCAGCTTCACATCGACTCACTCGCATATGTTCAACTTTGGCCAACTTTTGGCCGAATGGGTTTGTAACATCCATTCTTGTTGTCATAGTATATGGTGCGCGCGGGTTGAAATGTGCGAAAACAAAACAGTACGCCGTGCGGTGGCGACGTGTGGCCTTTTGAATGTGTGCGCCGTGCGGTGGCGAAGAGGACGGCGATCGTGTGCGCGCCGTGTCTCGAGACAGCGTGGGCCGTGCACGAGAGTCGGAATTGCAAGGCCGGGCTCTCCTTCGCTGGGCGTCCTGTCCATGGGAGAACCCGGAGCCCTACCTCCTGCTGCCTCGACTTAGAGCGCTCCCGCCTGTTCCGCTATGAGGAGATCGGGCCAGGGAACGTGCACGAGGCCGGGCTAAGGTCTTGACGCTGTGGGCAGACGGGCACACTTAGTGTTCGGCCCACGAGCACGCACAGGCCAAGGGCGTCCACCGTGGAGCGGGTCCTTTGGGCGCAGAGTCCCGGCATCAACGGCCACAGAGTGGACCTTCTTGACTTCACGGGGCCAGACCAAACACCAAGCTACGGCATCGGACAGATGGTCTACGCACGGCGCTTTCAACTCGGCAACTTCATCGGCTCCGACAAGAAACTGTACGCTACTGCTTGACTATTTCGCGTAACAGCCCTCATGTCAAATTTAACTGTTTTTCTCTATTCGTTGAGTCCTGTCGTGTCTGTAAAGGTGTCTTACGCGTGTTTTTCCACCTGCATGCTGCGTTATTCTTTCTGGAGCAAATCTTGAACCCACGTTAACATCACACTTGTTTCACCGCATACATTTATCGTACCAGATCATAGTGATATATGTACTGATTTGTTTTGCAACTCTTGCAGTTCAGAAGAAAGTCTTGCCCAAACAAGATAAGATGGTTTTTATATTTTAAGAACTGTATATTGTACTATGAATACATATTATACTAGAAAAATAATTGCACATTCAGAATCAGCACAGAACAATACACTAATTCTTAAAGGTTCATGAAGATCTACCAAGAGACAAAAAAACATGTTTCTGATCAGAGTCTCCCTCCTCAATGTTGAAACTGACAAGACTTTGGGAGCAAGCCTTATTCAGGCTTGGTTATGTCAACACAAGTGTGGTTTGATAACAGTGCAAAGAATGCTGGTCTCACTGTTTAACAGCCGCTGACAAAAAGCTGCTCAAAGTGCATCTAGTGTTCCCTCTCGCGCAGCCACGACTGCCTGCGGGAGTTGATCAAAGTTGGCTTCGACCCGAACACCTACCTGCTGCGAGTGACTGAACCAATCGAACAGCTGCATCGGCAGTCGCATCCGCGGTACCACTCTGCCCTGTCATACGCGGCATTGCAGGGTTTCACGGCTACCGTCCGGATTCTCCTTGAAGCAGGCGCTAGTCCCAACCACATCAGCAACAAGTGTGTCAGCCCCCTCGCATGTGGTATGATGGCGGCGTGGCTACGTTACGTTTTGAATCAGTCGAGTGGTGTTTGGTAGTGTCAGATGGTCGATTTCAATGTGATATCACGAAGGTTCCTTAAATAATGAGAGGAGTCATTTCAGTTTTGCAGTCTTTTACTTCAGAGACATTCGAAGCATTTTAGCTGAAGGTGGGCGAATATTTTATTCTAATATACTTCTGTACAAGCTTTGACAGCCAAAGATGTATTGAAATTGAGCCCCCTCAAGTGCTTGTAAACTGAAATGTCAATGAAATCTACTGTGACAGGACATCATGATTCACTGCCTCGATCGTTTCGTAGCAGCACCTTGTGGACTGAGCCAGAAGGAACAATTGCCAGTGTGATTGCTGCATCTAATAATTTTAATGGCATTCATTAGAGCTGTAGCTACAGCTTTGAAAAAACAATGAATAAACATTCACGCACGCTTTTTTTTTTCACACCCCTCCCTTCCCTTCGCTCCCCCCACTTTATGAATGTTTCGCTTGCAGCCGCAAGTTTGCAGGAATGCATATTTGATTGTTTCATGACAACAGAAGTTAGTACGTTGCACAGATTCATATTTATGAGAACTTCTGATAATTCAAACAAAATCATCTCCCATTGAGTTTCAATTATTGAGAGCCTACTGTGTTTCTCACTCATGTTGCTGTCGCATGACTGCATGTCGAATTTTATCATTTCTTGTTAGCTTTGACGATAGCGCTACAGGCAAAGTGACTAGCATTTTTAAATGCGAGTCTGTGTCTTGCAATCGGATAAGGCTGCCTTCGCTATCTGTGAAATGTGACCGAGGTCAGCGCGAACTTTGTTGCAGTCATCCTTTAGTCGGTTGACGGTTATCTATTTGCAGCTCTCCTGGTGCCAAGTTCGCAACTTATGAGAGTCCTCATTGATGCTGGTGGCGACCTGAATCGTCTCAACCACACCGTCAGCAGAGGGAACCCATGCCTGCAGGTGGCCGTCAGTGGTGAAGACATGCTTCTACGAGTCTTGCGAATGGGACTCGATCCAGCTCTGGGCTTGTGTGACGAAACCAGCTATTTTAAGTTGGCTTGGTAAGATGTGTGATTCACGTCCTAGACATTCTGTCCGAGAGTTAGTACTTTTGTTGGCAATTGTTGCCGGCTAGCTGTATCGCTAAAACTTCTAGAATATGTTGGAATCTTGTTAAGTGAAACCTGAAGGGACAAGAAGAAAAAGCGCTTTTATTTTAGAATTACGTATAGAGTTGCAGCATTATCTGGCGTGGACTCTCTTACATTTCTATATATCAAGCGTAAAGAATTGAATGTCTCGGGTAGCATGACCCGTCGTATGGGGCCTGCTTGATGGCTTCTGAATAGATTGCTCCTTCCAATTTTGTTCCAAGGAGAGGCTGGTGCTGTATTAAAAAAAAAGTCACAGTTTTGCCACTGGGGTGAAGCGATAAATGCGATAGCAAGAAATTAGAATACCACACGAAAAATAACAAGCAGCTCGATACTTTCAGCATGCCGCCGCAGCACACAGAAGGACGCTAGAAAAGAATGCATAGGTACACACAAGACGAGTGCGAACTGAGAACTGTCATAGTTAAATGTGTTTGTGTTTGAGGAACGCGCTGTAAATATCCGCAATGCAGACGCCGTCGCTGTTTTATTTTCATTTTCTATGGAACTGTGGCAAGTCGAGTGACCACTCTGCGTCTCCAGCCACACAATGGCGTCTCACGCCAAGCGGGCTCCGTGTTCTTCTTTTTTCTCTTTTACGTCGCGAGTGGCACAGAAGGGGGCCACTTTTCTCGTGCACGTCTCAAGGGTAGTTTTCGATTCGAAAAAAATTGTTAAAAGTGGCGGTGATAGAAAATACGCTCAAGCTGTTCCGAGGTCTGCGTTCCGCGAGCGGTAAATGGTGCATATGAATAGCTCGCCGTTGTATCACCTACGCAACCATGGCGCGTGGACGTTTTGGCCAGCGCAGCGGGCTGTGCAGCAAGGGGTCACTTGTTTGAATCCCCGATATGTTGCTTTAGAATTGCTTTAGAATTTTTGCTGCTGATCTATTTTTTTTATGCCTTTTTTTCACTTATCTAAGTATGTCTGCATATCCGGGACACGATGGCGATGGCAAAAATTGGCCGAGAGTGTCCATATAATTGCTAATGCAATAAAAAAAGATTGCAGCTCTTATTGTTTCATTCAGTGGCCACTGGCCATATAACATGCAGTTGTGCAGGGCAAGTCTCCATCACAGTATATCAGAGTCAGCTTTCTAGCTAAGAGACTGGTGTCAAAGGAATATACTTCAGTTCGTTTTTATTTTGGGACAAATGTTTTAGATATTGCTTCTCTCGTTTCCTTCACAGAGAGCTGAAAGATTTTCAGTTCCAATAGGCAAAAGTTTAGTTTGATATTTATACACATCATCTCTGGCCTCACCATTTGTAAAATAGTTAATTTTTTTTTCTTGCAGCTGCATTTTTCACTATAAGAAGACGGAACAACATGCACTGAATGTTTTAGAAACAATGCGTTACTTCGTGACAAGTCCATCAGTACTACAGAACCTTGTCAAGAGTTGCATCAACGTTGGCCCTCTGTGGTGCCCGCTAAACGAGGAACGTTGGTCAGCCATGGTAGAATCTTTAGGCAAGTATATTTCCAAGATTAAGAATGTGTAATTGCTCACACAGAAGTATCTTGTGTACAAATTTACTTTTAAACCAAAGCTTTTGTTCATTTTTTGTGTTGAGGTTGTGCAAAATGAGGTGGCGCATGGCCATCTGGTCATGCATCAGGTCACTGACTAAAGATTATTTTCTACAGCATGTACAGTACTCATAAAATGAAACACGAAATTTTAGAGCTGAGCAACGCTCGTGCTGTTATTCAGAGCATTTACGGTTCATGCCATACCGGCGTGATTTTGACTATAATACACACATCAGAACCAACATTACCTTTAGCGGTAAGATTTGCAGTGATATTACTTGGTTGTCTAGAGCGATTGCTCAAAGATGTTTACCAACAAAATGATGACTGGTTTCAATTCGTGAGTACAGTATAAAGTGGAGTTGAAGTGGGGATAAGATTTGAGAGGGCATTACATTGATTTGAGAGGGCATTACACACATTAACTTCGTGGGTGCTGGCTGCTCACTGCTGTGATGCTTGATAATCTAGTATCCTATAAACATTAAGACCGAGGACACCAGAGAATGTTATGTTACAATGAGTGCATGTGTTAATACGTATACAAATACAACAAAGCCAAGGCAGCTACTTAGTTGATAAAAGATAACAAAACGTGTTTTGACCAGAACAGGACGTTCCTGAGTATGCAGAAGGTGCTGTTTAGGATGCGAGTGCTTATTGGGTCATAAACACAAAGCGGAGCTGTGTCAACTGGTATTGAGGAGCATGTTAGAGTGCAGTGAAGGTTTCCCAACAGGCACAACTTGGAGAAGCATGTTTACAAACTTGGGAATAAGTTAGGAGGCACTCTGCCTCCATACTGAATTACGATTGGTAATGGGAAACATAAATGTCGCACCTTTAATATCTCTGCCTTGAAGTAGTTTTCTTTTTTAATTATTGCAGTGTTATATTTCTCAGAAGGCCCTTTACTCATTACAAGGCATTTTTGTGACAATGAGCCGAAGATAATCTAGGTTGTCTTTTAATCAAAGTGCTGATGCCAACGATGAAGCTTATCCATAATCCTTTGTTAAAGTGAAAGTGCAAAAACTATGCGAGTTCTGAGAAACAAAAAGTGGTAGACTGGATAGGAGAGAAGAGGGAAAAGTGGCCTTTGTTCTTCCATTTTCCGATTGTTGGTGACTGCTACCCACAGGGAGAGTGACTATTGAAACTAAATAATTACTTGTTAATTTATTATTAAGTGTGAAGCACTTTAAGGGCCCGACTTGTCATCCATCTCTAGATCTCATGTGAAGTAGGACCATGCTCGTAATTAAGTAGTCGATAGAGACCTTAAACAGGGCTAGCGATGCTCAAAACTGGGTGAAACAAGAACAAGCGAAGTCTGAAATAATACAATTAGCAGAATAACTAAAAAGTAATCAATATTTAACTTGAAATCGCCAAAAGTGCTTCAAGAACATGTGTTTGACTCTTGAAATGCGCGAGAGAGAGCGCCACCGCCTCGCCAAAAGCTCCATTTCTACTCCTGCTGCTGCTTCTCCAATGCCTTTGTCGCTACATCCGAAGGGGAACGCAACCTGGCGGAACTCGCTGCGAACGACACGTATTTCAACTTCCGTGACAAGCGGGAAGTCGACAAAGCGCAGCAATAGGTAGCACGCACGTTGTGCGTCGAGCTTGTGAACCTCCCCAAATAGATTCTGTTGTGCGTCGAGCTTGTGAACCTCCCCAAATAGATTCTGCTTGTGGGGGGGAAACTACCAATTAACCTCACAGATGGGCGTCATCGATGGTTCTGTAAACGGAGCAGTGGTAACCCTATGAATGGAAACTGCTGGATGCCCGTGCTACAGACTTCCTCAGGTTTCACAGTGATTGAGCGGCATTTAGTGTAGGATTCAAAAACTACACCAATCGTTACAAAAGCTTTTCTTGATCGGCAATTACTACTAATGATTAATGAATGGTACGATCACTCTAGCCATTATCAGATGTAACAGTGCAAGGCTTCTTGTGCATAATACTGCACGAGCTCTCACATTACCGCTTCACATTATAAAAGAAACTGCAGCTTTTTTTTGTATATTCTGTTACAATCTAAAAAAAATGTCGAAGCTCGGGCCGTGAAACTGCGGCGCACTTGCCCTTCACCGGTTAACGACGGTTGTGCTGGCTGGTTTCCACTTGAACCATGGTTTTTTTTTTCCCAGTTACTATGAACACTTCGTGTTGAGAGAGTAATAGTCCATCGTTACAACATCAGACATTACATCAGGCTGAGTATCAATGTCAGAATCTCTGGTGAAATTTACCAGGACAGCTTGAAACCAGCGACACCAACATGTGTCTGTATGGGAAGGTTAATCATCTGAAACACTCTAGAAGTGCTTCGCATCACAGAAATCAGTAAGCGCTTCTGGATGGAGCAGTTACGCGATTTCTCTGTGGAACAGACGGTGATGGCTGTTTGCCGAGCTGGCGTATTTCCTTGGAGTGTAATTGACTATAGTGCGCAGGCACATCAATGTCGTGAGCCTAATCGCTGGTCACGTCTCTTTTCGACAGAGTCCCCTTTCAAGTTGAAGTGCCTCTGTCGAGTGGCACTGCGCAAATGGATGCACAACATTCACGGTCACTACTTTGAGGAGCGTATTCCAGAGATGAACATTCCACCGGCCATGCTGAACTTTATTTTGTACAGGGACATGTGGGACATAGATTCTGCTCTATTCTAGATTCAGAGCTTTATTTTTTACAGAGACCTGGGGAGCATAGATTCTGCTCTATTGTAGATTACACGTTTTGTAATAATGTAAGATTGTATTTATGTATATGTGCAATAAATGTTGTGCGCATAATATTTTGTTTTCCCTATGCATCTCAAGCTGTTCTTGATGCAAATGACATTTTTGCGCAATAAGAAGAATGCCTAAATGTACCTCGCATAAGGCACACTTACCTACAGCATTGAACCGTTCGTCATATAAAAGGTCGCAGCAGAAAATTCAAGGACTGATGTTTTAAGATATTTTGCTTCAAAAATATTCAATGAATTTAGGAAGGGAAGAAAAATGGCCATTACAGCATGGTAATCTGCATACTGCATACTGTAAAGAAAGGTAAGTCTAAAATCACAAGTGTGGAAACGCTGAAGGAATAGAAACTTAGAAAAGAGCCGATGGCAATGTAACCATGAATGCAATAAAGGCAAGTTGATGCACTTCTTCAGCTTCCTTGATTGCACTGTAGTTCTTAGCAGACTTCCATAACACTGTCCTCAATCATTCTTTCCCCCTTAAAAGCTGCTTCTTATTTCCATTATGCGATTTCTTAACCACACCTTGGTTCAGTTAGAAAACTTCCAGGTGCACAATGCAGTCTTCATTTAAGCATTTTGTAATGTTAATTTCGTCTCTGTGTCTATGCAAGTGTGCGTACTGGCCGTCGCAGCCAATTCGGACCAAGATTATTAAAAACCACACGCTCTAGGGAACTTCTACCTGTTGTTTATTAATTTCAGTCATGCATGCTTTCAACCTGTACTAATTAACTCAATCAGCGATTTGTGTCATGTGACAGAAGGATGGACAGGCACACAGTCCTCCCATTGAGAGGGCACAGAAAGTTCAAAGGTTAAGCCAGGTTCAAACTACAGTAGTGCCAAGCTACTGAGCTGGGCAGCTTGCCTTGTTTCTCTTTATTTCTGCCTTATTTTACTTTTAATTTTTTTCTATTTCTCCTTTATTATATTTTTATTTATATGTGTATTGTTTCTTATGTTGGTCGTCTTCTTTTTCGACTGCATTTCCTTCCAGAACTCAGTCTTTTTTGTGTGTCTCTTTATCCCTGTCTACCTCTGCATTCTTTCTATTTCTCCGTTTGTGTACTTGTTCGACGTCCATCAAAGTTAATGCATTCTACGGCAGAAAAAAAAATTCGCACATTTTCTCGGAGCGAAGCAGATGAGGGTGAAGAGAGCGCGTGCCGATTCACGATGGCGATCATTTTTGTTTTCAGCTAACAAAGTTTATTGGCGTGGCATCTTACACCTTTCCAGCATTATCCAGCGTCCCGAATGGTCCCATGGAATGCGCGCTCCATCAACAAGGAGACGCCTGTTTGACAACAATGGGATACTGAACAAGATGTCGATATCCACGTGTCTGCTCTCTGTTTATACTGCTCTGCTTTTTCCGATTTCGACATTTTGTGGCTTTTGTAGTTAACTAAGTAAGTACCAACTTGCCCAACAAGCAACTCTCCTGAACTGAACAAAATGTTTGCCACCTAGATTTTTCTCCAAATTGAAAGACTGGGTGTTCAAATCGAAAAATACAACCTCCATTTCGAGCGGAAACTATAGGAAATAAGAAACTTGACCAGTTTTTCACAAACCGTCGCGTCTAGCGGCCCCGCTGTGAACTAAACGAGGAGATGTTACTCTCGCCGGAAGCAGGCATGGCAACCATGCCAGCCGTCGCCTGCGTCTCTCGACGCGCGCTCAGCTCCCACTACGTTTTCCAGACTGCGAACTATGCTGGGCGGTGTGAAGTAGGGATCGGAGGCGCTCACATGAAGGCTTCCTAAAGGCCTGACCACAAGTGCGCGTTGCAGCGTGTCGGCGCGTGCACATGGCCTTCTGATGCGGCACCGCGCCCTGTCGCTATGGAGAAGGGGAGCGCGAGGCTACGCGAAACTGCGCTACCCTCTCCCTCCGCAGTGAGAGGAGGCGGCGCTGCAGGTCAAAAGGCCAAGCACTGACGGGCTGCAACACGTGCGCGCCAGGGCTTTTCTGCAAGAGTATAAAACAAGAGGTATAGAAAAAGAAGAGCAGGAACACGTTGCACCCTGCAAACGCACCTGGGAGAATTTGACGTCACTGCCCGCGCGCCGCCCCCGTGCGCTGACAATCCAACAAAACTACAAGCAACTGTTGAAAATATGGGAAATCGACTCTGTTTAATCGGAACAGTGCCGTCTTCCGAGTAGAATTTTGATGTCTTCATCAGCTTTTTTCTTTTCATTTATATGTTTAGTATACCATCGAGTTTTTACTTCCCTTTCCCGCCCCCTTGCTACACTACAAGCCTATTTAGTGTACGCTCTGCAACTGTGCCCAGGTAGTTTAGTGGGCAGAACGCTCGCCTTGTGACCGAGAGTTCACGGGCTCGAATCACGCCTCTTGAAGAATGTCATTCTGGTAGGATATGGGCAGGCCTTTCTCTTTTACGACTTTCCGTCTTTCTCCCTCACTCTGCGCTTGTTCTCTCGCCGATTAGGTTATTACAGGCCACGCCGTAGTACGCTTTGCCCAAATTCTGTGGCACACTCCCCTGTACAATGATAGTTTCATGGCAGGGTCGACATAGGTTGAACATTTGCCATCACACCTTGCAACCTGGCAATAAAGGGAAAGCTACGGGGGCAGAGCTACTGCACGTGTACTCCGCCGCGAAGTAGTCCGGTTCGGCTCGCATTTTGAATAACAGCCGTGTTCGAATAATGCCGTCGCATAGAATTCACTACGTCTGCTTACACATTGTGAGTGAAATTCGTCAAGCTTCTTTGGTGAGTCGTCTAAATAGCTGAAGGGCAACGACCGTTGACCTAAAGACGAAGACGACATTTTGACTGAGGTGAAGGTAAATCGTGCCGCACCCAAAAATGCGAAATGACAGTGTATAAAGTAAAGCAAATAAATATCTCCTTGGTGTGTGCGTCTCAGCACCCCGCAAAAAAAAAAAAATTGTTGTTTTTATGATGTTCACGCGGAGAACTTGGACTTAATTGTGGGACTATATTATTTAGCGGTGGCACACGCACGCTTCGGCACCGTAGCCTTTTCTTCATTGCCAAGAAAGGTTGTCCTGTCTGCGAGTACAGTATGCGTATTTTCCGAGCTAAAGGTTTCCTGGTAAGTTGGCTTCACCGCTACGAATGCCAAAAAGCAGTCGAAAAAGTTGGGGCCCTTATCACCCATGATAAGGCTTAACTTTTGTCTGACGTCACACCCTGCAAAGAGGCGCTCTCTATACGCATTTTCCGAGCTAAAGGTTTCCTGCTAAGTTGGCTTCACCACAACGAATGCCGAAAAGCGGTAAAAAAATTTTGGGCCCTTATCACCAATGATAAGGCTCAACTTATTTTTGTCTGATGTCACACCGTGCAAAGAGGTGTCCTATATGCGTAATTTCCCGAGCTAATGGTTCCCCGATAAGTTGGCTTCACCGCTATGAAGGCCGGAAAGCAGTCGAAAAAGTTGAGGCCCTTATCACCTGTGATAAGGCCCAAGTTTCATCTGACGTCACACCCTGCAAAGACGCGCCTTCTATGCTTATTTTCCGAGCTAAAGGTTCCCTGATAAGTTGGCTTCACCGCAGTAGATGGTTGGAACTAGCGAAAAAAGTTGAACCCCTTATCATCGCTGATAAGGCTCAACTTGTGTCTGACGTCACACCTTGCAACGATGTGCCCAGTTTGCGTGTTCCCGAGCTAAAGCTTCCCTGAAAAGTTTGTTTCCCCGCAGTGGATGTTCGACACCAGCGAAAAAAGTTGAGGCACTTATCACCCCTGATAAGGCTCAACTTTAGTGTGACGTCATCCCTCGCCATGGAGTAACCATTGCGGGGAAGCCAACGCACCAGGGGCATTTTAGGTCGGAACAAACGCATAGGACGCCCCCACGGCAAAATGTGACGTCAGACAAAAGTCGAGCCTTATCAGGAGTGATAAAGGCCCCAACTTTTTCGACGGCTTTTGTACAGTCGTTAGGGTGAAGCCAACTTTTCAGGGAACCTTTAGCACGAGAAATACGCATACGGGGTGCATCGTTGCGAGGTGTGACGTCAGACAAAAGTTGAGCCTTATCAGGGCTGATAAGGGCCCCAACTTTTTCGGGTTGTTTTGACCAACCATTGCGTGGAAGCCTCCGCACCAGGGGCCTTTAAGCTCGGAACCAACGCATGGTACGCCCTTCACGGCAAGCTGTGACGTCAGACAAAAGTTGAGCCTTATCAGCGATGATAAGGGCTGCAACTTTTTTCGCTAGTTTCTACCATCGACTGCGGTGAAGCCAACTTATCAGAGAATCTTTAGCTCAGAAAATACGCATGGAAGGCGCCTCTTTGCAGGGTGTGACGTCAGACAAAACTTGGTCCTTATCACAGGCGATAAGGGCCTTAACTTTTTCGACTGTTTTCCGGCCTTCGTAGCGGTGAAGCCAACCTATCGGGGAACCGTTATGTCGGAAAACACGCATATAGGGCCCCTCTTTGCACTGTGTGACGTCAGACAAAACTTGAGCCTTATCATGGGTGATAAGGGCTCAAACTTTTTTTTACCGCTTTTCGGCAATCGTTGCGGTGAAGCCAAGTTACCAGGAAACCTTTGGCTCGCAAAATCGCATTCTATACTTGCGGACTACTTTTCTAGGCAATGGAGGGAAGGCTACGGAACCAAAGCGGCCTGTGCCACCGCTGATTAAGCCCCTCAATTGCATCCTTGTTTTTCGCGTCATCATATAGCAAAACATAATTTTCTACGAAATGCTGTTTAAAAAAAGACGCGCGCGCAAAGGAAATATTCATATTTGTTTTACCTTATACAGTGTCATTTCGCGTTTTTGGAGGTCGCACATTTTACGTGCACCACACTGTCAAAATGACACCTTTGTCTATAGGTGAGAGCTTGTCGCGCTCCAGCTACTTAGATGACTCACCGAAGGAGCTTGTGACTAATTTCACTTACAAATGGCTGAGTAAGCAGAGGCAGCAGATTATATGCAGTGGCATTATTCGAACACGGCCGTCATTAGAAACGCGAGCTGAAACGTAGCAGAGGAGTACACGTGCAGTAGCTCCTATGCCCCCGTAGCTTTCCGTTCATTGCCAGCTTGGCAAGGTGTGACGACAAAAGTCAAACTATTATTTTATTATGGGTGATAAGGACATGGACTTGCCGGTCGTAAAGCGTCCACACTGCCACGAAACTATCATGCCACAGAATTCAGGCGAATCCTACTACTTACAGCTGCGGCGTAGTCTGAAATAACCTAATGAGCGAGAGAACGAATGCAGAGAGAGTGAGGGAGTGACAAGCCGAAACAGAAATATATAAATTCGGCTATCCAGGCAGTTACAGAGGATAGCATGGCTGTATATTACAGGGTAGCAAGGAGGTGAGAAAGGGAAGAGGTTAAGGAGGAATATGATGGTGATGTGGAGGGACAGGAGTAAACTTGGCACTTGGAGAGAGAGAAACAAACCTGTTGCGCCAGCTGTGGCTGCTGCACGTTTCCCATGATGTCGCAATTTAGCTGGGCATAGAGGAGATTGGCAGTAGTGGTGACACCGTGGTAAATTTGGGCTCACTTCCAGGTCACTATGATGTTTATGTGGCGAGATGCAGCATATAGTGCTGCCAGCACTATTGGGCACGCAAACTTCAACATTCACATAAGTTACTTTCCAAACTGTATTCACTGTTTAGACCTAGTAGTTATGAGCGAATTAACAGGAATCAATACCACAGGCTGTCTCAGCCGCTCAATTTTGTGTCTGTACCCCTTAAAGCAAGAAATGTACTGTTTGGTTCAAGAAGACATACTGATAAGTTAACCAGTACGGTATCATCTACACTAAGAAAAAACACATGTGGCTCCATGTCTTGTCTTTTCTCATTGACCACAAGTCAATGATTTTTGTTGATTCACTCATAACTACTAGATCTGAACGGTGAATACAGTGTACGTGACCATTGCTAGTCAACAGATTCGCCATCAATGGCGTTTTGTTTTATCCGGCCAACAAAAAATAAAAGCCATTGATGGCAAATGCTCCCTCAGCACCCCTTTAACAAGCAGCAATAGACCAGGCAATAATAGTTCTACGAAGTTGAGCAGAGCATCCACCTGCAAACAATAGCAAAATTGTCCCCTAAGGCAGTTTACGAGCTATCGGGAGCATTAAGTCGGACAGCGTCGTGAATGAGCACCAGAAGGCAAGAAGAAAAAAAGAGAGAGACATTGCTTACATACTTAAATTTTTATTAAACTTCAGGAAACAGGCTTATAACTTCTATTCCGCACCAGCAAGAAGAATCACTCAGGGGCGACTGTTAGGACCAGAAAACGCTTTCTTGGCAAGTGTGGTGGCTTTTCTTTACATGATGTCCTGCTGCAGTAGAGGCATTGAATACAGACCAAAGGAAAAGAAAACAATCTGCACAGTGTAGTCGATAGTGACCATGATGATCACATAACATGCAAAAACATGCCACATATAGGATGCGCACTGAAATAAGGCTTCAAGGGAAAAAAAAAGCTCCTTTTAGCAGCAGGTCACAATCCCGAAGTTGTAGACTTCTGCAACATCCTTCAACAAAACCCATTTTCTATTTTTCACTAAAGTGCCAGTTGTCCACACAATACATTTTCCTCTCCCCCTATGCAGACCTTCCAGTCAAGAAAAAAATTGAAAACCTGCCTCAGTCAAGCATAATGTAGAATAATGTAGAACCTACTACTTACAACTAAGTGCTCTGCTCCCATATTTACAAAAAAAAAAAAAAAAAGGCTCTGAACCAATATTTCCATGACATCAGTATAACGTACGCAAATTGGAACTAATTCAAGAAAACGAGGTATTCTTTTCAGCAACGAACCTGAAATTACATTATAGTCGGCAGAGATTTATCAGTTCACAATGATCTCCTCTTGTTGGAAGGGTGAAATGGCATCGAGCGATCCTGTTGTATTTACCATAGCTTTCAGCCAACTTACAGAGCATGATACAAAACATGTTTTAAACTGGGTGCTAAACTGAAATGCTGAAGCTTTGATGCGTCGACCTGTTTTCCTTGTCCTCCACCACAAATGAACAGATCGGCAGGATTGTTTATGAAAGTGTCAAAGAAACTTATTGTCATGATGACAGCTTTATTGTCATGATTTTCGTCTTAACAGCTATTCACTAGCCAGTATGAAAGCAACGAATTCTTTTAAAGAAACTTATTGTCATGATGGCAGCCTTATTGTCATGATTTTCGTCTTAACAGCTATCCACTAGCCAGTATGAAAGCAACGAATTCTTTTAGACACCCAAGCTGCCCTTACTACTTTCAGTCTTCATGAGCTGGACTCCTGCTTTAGTATAAGCTTCTTTTTCAGTGCTAGATTCTTGCTAAACCTAAAAATAAACAAGAATGCCCTAACTTTTCGAAAACAATAACAACAACAACAAAAGGCTGACTTGACACACCATTCTCGAACTGGTAGGCTCTTTTCAATTTCTTGGAAAGTGGCAAAACCTCGCAAATGGGAGCATTCGGCAGTCAACTCATTCACGAGCGTGAAGCTGGGAGAAAAAGGAAACAAAACACAACATGAAGAAAGAGAACGGCCATCCTAAACTGCACTAAACAGGTGGTGAAGAAGCGGTCAGTTTCTGCACGAGGCGTCTTTCGGAGCAGTCTTCACCATTCGCCGTTTTTTACCCCCTTTCTTTCTCTTCTCACCCCCGTAGTCACTGTCGCCACACCACTTGCACATCATAGCAGCCAGAGCTTGAGCCTCAGGGCATCAACCCCGTTCAGGTAGTATCGGAAGAGCCTCTTGTCACGAACGAAGCCCAGGTTCTCGTACAATCGAAGTGCCGGTTTGTTGGTTATCTCGGTCTCCAGCACCACCTGGCAGGCAAGGTGAGGGGAAAACAATTTCAGCCACGACACAGCAATGGTTGCTAGAAAAATGCATTTGCATTACCTTTAAGAAGAAACTCCGGCGATGTTTCTATGTTCACTGTTCTCAAGATATTAATGATATGTTCAATTCGATACCATGATATGTGCCAAACAATAAGACTGCAAATCATTTAGTTTTCCTGAAAGTGTATTTTAGAATGGTGGCACATTCCAAAATTACACTTTTGAATGTGGGTCACCTTGTATTTGTGACGTTTGTATGCTACACTTTTCTCACCACACTTTGCATAGCAGCAGGTCAAAACAAACAGCAATCCTTGAGTTCTCGAATAGTCACTGAAATCATTGCTGATAAGTTTAGAAAGGCTGGCACAGCTCGATCCAGTGTCAGGTCAGATTACCCAATTACATTTTCTAGTGACAGAATCACGTGGCCTATGTTTGGACTATGGTGAGGTATAACTATATAGATATTGTATTATGCAGCTGCCCATTTTAGTTTCGACACATCCTTTCAGGGTTATTTAAAATTACTAAAACGTCTCTGAGCGAATTGAATTACCCAAGTTGCTACAAGACTTTAAATACCGTTTGAAAACAGCAATATTCTAACATGGTAAAAAATATGCTGTAATTCCCCTTTAAGTAATTACCTCTCATACCATACAATTACCTTGAAGGGCCACTCACCAGGTTTGACAATTTTGAGCTGACAAGCGCAATGCGTAGACGAGGCGTTCATGATCACGTCTGCCAAAATTTGCAACGCTACGCGCCGCGGAAATGGGTCAAATTTCAAGATGAAAGCTGCTCCCCCTCCCCTCTTCCGGCGCACGCGTAGAGAATGAGGGCATGACGTGGGCGTAGGAATGGCCCTACGTACACGGCAATGCAGTGACGTTGATCCTCTACGTAGACGACTCGGCTCTGACGTTGTCAACAGTATACCACGTGACATGGCAAAAATTATTGAATACAACATGCGTAGTATATGTATTTATTGCCTTAAGAGATGAATAAAACTTGAAATAAATAATGAGACGCAATAAAAAATTGTGCACGTTTTTCTTACATTTTTTCCCGTGAAATGCTACGAGATGTGGGGCCAATGTGCCAGTGTTTCGCATGCGTTCGGGTCCCCGTGGTCAGCGCATTGAGCAGACGACCGCCGTGGAACGCTCCTACGCGTTTGCGCACTCATTGTGCTCATCTACTCTACTGCGTCTAAGCCAGCGTTTCCAAACAATCCCGCAGAAAGAGGCAGAAGACCACAAAATAACGCTAATCAACAAAGCAACGGCGCTCGCGTGCACGGGGGCTGGTCTTGTTCGGGCACGTCATGTGCACGTCACCTCTTGGTCAGATGCCGGAGAGGGTGAGAAAGAGATTTGCCTTGCGAAGGCTACACGGAGGAGCGACAAGGGTTTCGAGCTCGCCTCCTCTCACACTCGTTTCGCGCCGCTTCAAAAAACCTGTTTTCTCCGCTGGTAATGAACCGATTCGAAAAAAAAAAAAAACTTTCCTCATCGGACACCCAACAACTTCCGCTGTCTAACTAAAATTCGGTATGAGGCCTGGTGAGTGGCCCTTTAAAACCCGAAGTTAGGCAATGCAGGTGCTATCAAAAGAGTAAATACGGAATACATCAAACAATGGGCTTCAGAGAGAGAGAGAGAGAGAGAGAGAGAGAAAGCCTTATTTATATATGAAACAGTCAAGTCAATAACGTCAGGAAAACTATGCACGCTGCTTACGGAATGATATCTGTGAACTGAAGGCTATGTACTTCACATACTTTTGTGTCCACCATCTTTAGTTTGTGATGCATCAGCGTAATATTGAGTTACACATTCATATCAGAGCCCACGTTACTTACAGAGGCCAGATTTATTTTGAGCAATTGACTATACCAGTTGTCATACCTACATTTTTACGATGTTGCCTCTCATTCCACAGTGCTGTACAGATAATCTTTTTTTCTATATTGCCCCTTCTAATGCTCATGCATAAAAAAGGGACTCCGCAAACAAAGTATTTGCTTGTAAAGCGGCACTACAATATGTGACATCAGTGATCAAAATGTCGGACTAAATTGAACGAATAGATTAAATGATCAATAAACCAACAACTTGTCTAATAAATAAACTTACGCTGTGTGGGCAGGCCCACACTGCGTGGCGTCCCTTCATCCGTAAAGACATTTGTGCTAGCTAGTTTCGCCGAACCACAGCTACTTTTTGTCCGCTAATCTAAACACTGAGAATTTTAAGAAATAAAGGTTTCCTGTTATTGCCTAAAATCTTCCAATTATATACCTGTCACACGATAAATCTAATGTCATTTACAACAAATGACATTCTAAAATGACAACTATGCCTTAGCCCTCCTGAGCCACGAGTTTGGGAGAAATAAAAATCTATGAAAACTTGCATGTGATATTTGTTTAGCTCCAAAAATAACCTTTTTTTTTTTTATGATTGGAAGGTGCTCTTAGAATATAAATCATTGGAAGGTGCTCCTAGAATATAAACACAGCCATTTTACACAACTTGTAACAGCTGGAAGCTACAAACGAGGTCAAGCCAAGAGCTAGTCAACAAACAACATGGCCGACGACAAACTCCCTGGCCAGAAAAATGAGACTGCAGCAGCAATTTCGTGTAGTCACCGCCTCAATCACCACGACACAGGTAACCTGACGATCAACATGCGCAATACAGGCTGCGAAAACAGACCACGAATGAAACATGGCCAGTATCCGGCCGCTGTAGATGAGAGTAGCTTTAGTAGCTTTCCTTTAGAAATTTTCGGGTGTGCTATTACATAATCAAACCATTAATAACCTAGCCTAGTAAAGAATAAAATATCTATGAATTAGAAGAGTTACATATAAATAATTAGTTCCCCATGTGATAACAAACAAACGACATTCGCTGTAAATGACATTGTCTTGTTACAAAAATATCAATTGAGAAGCGATGTTAGAATGACGAAAAAAAATTTACCAGGACATTCAGGTTTCCTACCAGTGACACAAAAGTGTGTTTGTATGGGAAAGCCAACCATCTGAAACATTCTACGTGTACTTGATGTCACAAGTATGGGTAAGTGCTATTGGATAGAGCATTTATGCGAATGTTCGCTGGGAGGGACAATGACAGCTATGGGTGGAGCTTGTAGCTCCTTACTGAATAACGAATAAAAATACTGCTTTTATCTCACACGTGTAACACTCTACGGTGTTATTTCGATGAGCGAAAATCATGCAGCAATGTCTAAACGTAGACTTCAAAGCAGTAATCTAAAAAAATGCAAACTTACTTCATCAGCGTCATCATTTATCATGGCCCGTATCGCCTTTAGCACCAGTGTAGAACCTAGCAGAAAAAGAGTATGAAAAGTTTGACACATTAAGTTTAATAACAAGCTTGAGCTTTTAGTAAATTTGGCAGGCTGCTAAAGGTGCCAAGCATAAAACTAAAGGACATACAGTGCATGAACAAACACATATGTATGGCCTGTACACACATCGACATATGCAGATGTCCGTGCCAAGACCTGTAGATCAAAGAATAATAACAGTGCCACTGTATTCTGGAACCTTTTGTTCACGCAGGCATGAGTTAGAATGCAAGCGGTGCATGGCTTTTAGATAGAATCTGCCGGACGAGAAATGACTGCAATCACACAACATCGCATGTGGCAAGGCAGATGAGTTCAACACTGCACACTGTCGTGTATAGCCCGCACTAAATATATGGAAAATTCAAAGCACATGTTGACTTCATGGTAATGCAAAGAAGACAGCTTCACGGAAATGCGCAGGGATCGTTCTTTTTTATTCTTCAAACTATTTTTCCTGTATGTGAGAAAATATGGTGCACATGTTCAAGTTACTGTAATAGAATGCAGGCATACTTTATATTATAACACTGAGAGTGATAGAAATATGTTTTAAAAACAGGAAGAACCACACAGCCTCCTTGCAATGTTTGTTGTCACTCGGCTTTCTCAGGACTAGCGTCGCAAGAGGGCAGCTTGCGCTGCTGTTGCCACAAGCTGGAACGATTGCCTTCGTTCACAATAAGCAGAAGACGTAACCTATGAAGTGCACTAACTGCACTCCATTCTGCATGATCGGCAATGAAGGATCTCTTAACCACCTTCGGTTATTTTTCAGCATTTCAAGCTCAAAATGCTGTCACGAACGATGTCGAATACGGCAGCGATACGAGCCGCGGGCGTGCCGTGAAATCCAAGAAAAAAAAAATCTCTTCTCCTCGATGAACCTTTCGAAAATCCTCAGCATTGACTGTGCTGTCAACATTTAAGTCTCGACATGCCATTCACCTTACGACTATACATAGCCTTCATAGATTATGAGAAGGCATTTGATTCAGTAGAGATACCAGCAGTCATGTAGACACTGCAGAATCAGGGCGTCGACGAAGCATATATAAACATCCTGAAAGGATAACACTCAAGAAGGGTGTAAGACAAGGGGATACGATCTCCCAGGTGCTATTTAACCGCATTCTCACAGGAGGTTTTCAGAGGCCTAGAATGGGAAGAGTTAGGAACAAGAGTTAATGTACAGTACCTTAGTAACCTGCACTTCGCAGACGACATTGCACTGCTGAGTAACTTGGGGGACAAATTGCAATTCATGATTACTGAATTAGACAAGGAGAACAGAAAGGTAGGTTTTAATCAGCAGAGAACGAAAGTAATGTACAACAACATCGGAAGAGAACAGCGCTTCGAAATAGGTAGCAGTGCACTTGAAGTTGTAAATGAGTACGTCTACTTAGGACATCTAGTAACACCTAGAAACAGAAAACTGAAGTTGCTAGAAGAATAAGAATGCAGTGGAATGCATTTGGCAAACATTCTGAAATCGTGACTGGTGGATCACTACTGTCCCTCCAGAGGAAGGTATATAACAGCTGCATCTTGCCGGTACTTACTAACGGAACAGAAACCTGGAGGCTTACCAAGGGGGTTCAACTTGATTTGAGGACGACGCAGCGAGCGACGGAAAAAAAACACGATAGGGGTAACCTTAAGTGACAAGAAGAGAGCAGAGTGGGTCAGGGAACAAACAGGGTTAAAGGGGTGGTGCCACCAAATTTGTGGCTTGCGTGTTCTTTGCTGTAAGCATTTCCTTCGGCTCCAGGAAGCATGATACACGCCCCAAGATTCGTGTATTTTCGCTAAATAATTTAATAGTGCTCTACTTATGTGGACCATTTTCGGTTTCGGTTTCGCGGCGCCGAGTTGGCAAGTGACGTCGATGCATAGGTGGCTTGGTCACGTGACCACACAAGGCTGTGACGTACATCGTGCCGAGTTTCGTCTGTGTGCCACACAAGCACCAGCAAAAGAAACGCGCTGACAGTCGTCGTGGCCACCTGCAGTAGCATCCAGGCACTGGCAAGGCAAAAGGCAGCCAGAAGGAAACAAAGCGTTTATATTTACAACGTATGTACAGTATGCAGAAGGAGGAGGGGCAGCCCTGCTGTTGGACGCACGCGGCGTCACTGACGGATGCCTTTGTTGTCCGTAAAGGACGCGTAGTGTCTCTTCGAAAACACCCAGTGTCCTCGAGCGACGCGCACAGTCTATCTGCAAGGGACGCCAGCACGCTCGTAACAGTAGCCTCATTTCGGAGATGGCGGAGGTCACTCACGTCACTACAAAACTGGTGTGACGTCACGACAACTGCCGCTGCTTCTCCTATTCTGAAACGTCAGTGTTCCTGTGCAAGCGATGGGACTAGATTGCGAGAGTGAGCATTCAGGTACACTTTTAGAAGTGAATTAAAATATATTTTACGCATTTGTCGTGTCCGACCCTTCGTGTGGAGAGTCCTTGCATACAGAGGAAACCCACAAAAGGCTTGGGGTAGCCTCAAAATTTGGTAGCACCACCCCTTTAAGGATATCATAGTTAAAATCAAGAAGAAATAGACATGGGCTGGGCACTAAGCGTGTAAAGGCAGATAACTACTGGTCATCAAGGGTAACTGACTAGATTCCCAGAGAAGGCAAGGGGAAGACAAAGTTAGGAGGGCTGATGAGATTGAGGAAGCTTGCAGAAATAAAGTGGCAGCAGCAAACACAGGACCGAGTTGACTGGCAGGACATGGGAGAGGCCTTTGTCCTGCAGAGGGCGTAGTCAGGTTGATGACGATGATGATGCCATCCAGAAAAAGAACCCGTTCCTTTCTAGGTACCCACACTCACCACTCTTTCCCCTCACAGAGCGTGGAGGGGCACTCGCTCAGGAGAAGAAACGAGCCAACGAATAGGAGCACAGCAAAGGAAAGAGGCGAAGTGAACAGGGGATCATCAAACTTTTGGATCATCAAAAGCATATAGCTCAGCAATTAGGGCATCATTAAAATATTCTCAGTGGCTGCATGTTTGTTCAAGACTCTCGCATAACTTTAGCACCACAACTAAATTTTCCCCTCTGGCACTTTGGGGGCACATTAATGAACCTTTGTCCCATCTACAAAAGGCACAACCTTAATGCAAAGAAAAGCAGAATTATATGAAACTTTTCACATTTAGAAAGTATGGACACAAAGCACAAAAGCCAAAAGGCATGAAACAATATGCCCCTTTGAAAACCCCACACTTTCCCACCTTCATTCCATGGGCTTTGACGTTAAGCCCTAATATTCATCAGCAAGGGTGAACGAGCTTCTAATCTACGCTGCAAGTGTCTTAAACCTCACATTTTGAAAACTTACAGCACAAAATAAACAAAGTTCAAGAAATTAAGCGAAATATATTACATCCTACTGACATAAGTGGCACAGCAAGAGGGCAAAAAAATATGAAGATGTTTTATGTTTTGCTTCACCCAAGTAATTTTATGAGGTGATGAGCTGGAACAAAAGTTATAAGAGACGACAGCCACGCAGCAACACAGGCAGGAACTGTCGAAATTGACAAGCAAGCATGCCTACGCTAACATACAGGGAAATGCAACACTTTCCCAAGTAATCCTCAAACGGCTTCATTAAAGGAGCTCATTGCCTCACGAACTTACTGCAGCAAAAACGTTGGTAATCCGCAAGCGTGAATGTAGTTACAGAGTTTTCTCTCGTTCCATAGAAGAGAGCGCACCGATACCTAGGCCTGGCTGACAAGGGGACAAGAAGATGCAACCGTTCGTCAGCATGTGTATTTCGTTTTTTTTTTTCTTCTTCTTCAAGTGCGTGGCTTACTTTTAATATTATCGTGAGTGCGCTTGTCGGAATAGCGTCGTACCTTGCAGCAGCCATGCCAACTATGCCACCCACAATACTCAAATCAGCCAATGGCCACGGACTTCCGGTTTATGGTGCGGTCATCTGGGTCTGTGGCATAATTTGTCGAGAGAAGACTGAACGGTTTGCAGCCGACTTTGAGAATTAGTTTTAAATTACAGGTCGCGTGCTGCGCAACAATGCTCGGCTCGCACGTCTCCTGCCCGCGCTGAAAGAGTGTTGCGAGGCCACTACGAGAAGTCACGAACCTCACTCACCATGCACTGGAACAAAACCAGTGTTATTGTTATTTAAGCGAAAGGAAGAACAAGTGGGAGTAGCCAACATTCTATCTGACATTAAGAAGAAGAAGCGGACCTAAGAAGGTCATGAAATATGAAGGACAGATAGCTCATAATCTGTTAGGGCAACAGAACAGATACCATGAGACTGTTAATGTAGCCGATGATGGCAGAGGCTTAGGTGGAGTGACGAAATGAAGTTCGCTGGCATAAAATAGAATAAGTTCACTCTAGATGGGGTAAATCGGAGATCACTGTGAGAAGTGTTCGTGCTGCAGTGGACGGAATATACGCTGAAAATGATGAAACGGTACGGTAGCAAGCCAGTACTCACCTATTTTCCTCTTGCGGTACTTGGAGTCTACAGCCAGCATTGCAATGTAGCCCCGCTTGACCAACTTCTTGTGAACGTCCAGCTTGCAAACAATGGCACCGACACATGTCTCCCCATCCATTGCCTGCGCAGCAGTGGGGACACCGTGTTATTTCTGCACAAGGAGCCCGCAAAATGTCTAGTACATAAACATATAGTCTGTTAACAAACAAGAATAAATACGGGCTCTGCCCCTTGTACTGCGAGGCGCCCGTGATTCATCCTTGCTGGTTTTCAGTCTAACATTAAGTACTTCTTCACTGTAATGTAAACACTACGTACATTAGGAATGAAAAATTTGTCATACCTTGTTAAAATGTTATGTTTGGTTGAGAATCAAGTTGTAATTTATGCTGCGAATTCGCCAGACAGTGTGGAGCTTACGAGAGAGAACTAGTGACACGAATATGTGACTGTTTGGAAAAGTCACATGAAATGAGAGAGGTATTTGACATTGCGTAAATAAGCAATCACAACTAGAGGGAGACATTTATGGAAATTCATTGTGGATGGAACAGTGACAGCTGCAGCAAAGCTTACGTTTATTATACAGGTTGCAACTGAATATGGTGGAACTGAATTGCTAGGAACAAGTGCATCAGTGCAACAGAGTGCCTCAAAAAGGGATTTAAGTAAGGTCAGCTGCTTCAGTGTGGTCTTACAAAGTGTCAAATTATCGCCTTTAGCATGAGGAGCAGCACTAGGTTAACCGAGAAAAGTTCTGAAAATGAAAGAAAGGAAGCGCAAAAACCACGGTAATATTCTGACCAGTGCCCCTACGATGCCATAAATTGTGACAGCGTTGGCTTAAACCTAGTTAAATTATATTTTTGTAAAAGAAAAAAACCTATACCACATTCAACTGCAAAGAATCGATTGGGCAAGTTTCAGGAACATTCACTGTGCAATGAAAGCCCCAAGTTATAATAATAATAATAATAATAATAATAATAATAATAATAATAATAATAATAATAAAGACCACTAGAAGGTTGGCATGTTGGTGATAAGTTTTTAGCATGAAATTCAAAAAATGAATGTCTGAATATTTTCTCTTCCAGTAATAAACCTTATGTAAGAAGTCATAATGTAATGTTTTGAAAGAGTGTTTTATTTAGTTTTACAGGATCCAACATTTCTCAGGTCTACAATTTGACTGTGTAATATAGATTTTCGGTTAATTTTCTTTAAGCTTACGAACCTGCTTTCGTAAGCAGCAATCTTTTTGTGCAAAATGTTCGCAATGCCAATTGATAAACTTGTAGAGAATAAAAACTTGAGCACCCCTAACGGGGCACATTATTTTTAGCAACTTTCCAACGGAGTGAGACGACGTTAAAATTGGAAGCAAGGGTATTTGTTTGAACACCAGAAAGGCAACCTCTTCTAAACAGCCCATTTTCTTGCAGATGGAAACACTTTTTAACACAGACGTCAGCCAGCGCAACGAAAACAAAGTCCACGAAGGAACTCCGCTTATTTCGAGAGAGCCTGGCAACCCTTTGAAGAAACAAAGAGCACAGGGCAGGGAAACTGCATCCCAAACGAGCAGGTGTGCGAACACTACGTCAACGCCCCACAATTACCAGGCGCCGGGCACGCGACGAGATGGTGACGTCACACAATGCCTAAATGGTGGTGGCATCTGCTAGGGATGCCTGGCTTTGCTTCCAGAAATAGCTTCGCGATGACCCAACTTTCTGCGCGTCTATTTTCAAAGTCGGGCATCTGTTTGGGGTGGGGGGTGGTCCACCTTTCGACCTGGGGCCCCGCATCGCACCGCCGCTTTCCAATGCCAAAGCCACCGTGGAAGGGTGCCAGCGACCGACCATGATCTCTGCTCCATGCAACAGACTCGGAGATTTATGTTTAGGCTCGACATTTGCCAAGGAGAACAACGAGGTTACCGAACAGCACCAGTTGCTGAGGAATGCTTATTCTATTACTTCATCTAGCCCAGCTTATCTCTTCTCAAGGGCAATATTAAAGAAGATAAAGAAAAATAAAAGTATTTGGAACAGACATTATACTCAACGCAAGTGCTCCGTCTCGAGCAGTATGAACTAGAACACCCAAACTGCTTTCAAGTGCTCCCATGTAGGATTTTTCAAGAGTAAAGGTACTCGTATATCGCCCAAACATTATGTCTCACGACTACCTACCATTTATCTGCAATATTAGTAATCCCCACACTGTCTCTAGACAGCGAAACAGAAAAATATTTAATGAATGTAGGTAGTCTAGCCACTTCCCTGTCTTCTTGTCCATTTCCTGTGTTAGTTCTCATTTTGGCTGGATATATTTTCTCGATGAAACTATAAGTTGAAAAGCTCGCATCGCACACAAATTTAACATTATTTCTCGTAATATTAGCAACTGTGCACTTAAGTAGTTAACCTTTTCTTTATTGCTTCGAAATTCTCGAGGTGCACTTTTGTATGCCAACCAAGCAGCCGTAACGTGGTTCTCGGAGGCCGGTAACTGTTGGTCATAAGAAGGCCAAACTGTGTACACCTACAAACTACTGTACAAGCTTTTACACTGTAACAGAAGACAGCAAGACAAGTGATGCATTCAATCAAAGACTGAGGACAGCAGTTAAATTCAAAACTTCTTGAAATGGCAATAGCTGCGACTTCCAACAGACACAGATTGCCAAAGGTGGTAAAAATTTTCCCGGAACAGCACCGACACAATGTTTACTTCAGTTTTTCATTTAGCCCCTTACATTTGCTGCACTCCCAGCAGCGTCAGAAATGCCAAAACAGCTTGTCAACATTCTTTTGGTTTTCAATCTACAGTTACGACATTGATAGTAAGAGAGTGGTACCTCGTGTAAATTCACTGCCAGACACAGCAAGTTTTGAGAGAGGCACATTACTATGCAGGAAAGACAACCACATAATTTTAACACTGTTTGAAAAGAAGCTAATTTGCATATGCTTAACTAAGCATTTACAGTATACCGGGCCATAATAACTCTCAGCTAATCTCGGGAAGGTAGTTGTTTTATCCATTGAAATAGTCACCAAAGGCACAAACATGTTCATCATTTATAATGACCACATTTGTTGACGGTGGAGTGAAAATTATGAGCTGACATAAGCTTATTGCATTTGGTAATGCATAAGTTAGAGCTGTACTTCTTCATATTAGACATTTTCATGGTCTCAAATCATTTCATTCTGGCAAGGAAAACAAAGACGTAATTGTAAGTACACGAACTACATTAGCCATGCACAGTTATTGCGAAAATGTCTTTATACACAAAGAAATCACCATACAGTAATAAATGTTGCTTAATCTCCGAACATAAATGTGCAGGGCATCCAAAATAGCACCACGCGACGCAAACCTAGGGGGTATTATTCCCAGTATACTGTAGTAGTCATTGCTAACTTCTTGTTAATTAGGTCAATTAATTAGTTCTAATTATGTGTACAACTTGACAAGTACTCACACAAATCATCAAAATGTCAGTGAGGCATATGTGGGCCCATTTAAGTAATATCTCACTGGGCTCTTTTCAACAACACACTAATTAATAGTGACATGCAACCTGCGAAGTGCATCAGAAAGCAGCACGTTCAAACAGGCTCACAGTGAGGCAACAAGTCAAGAAAAATGTATGGATTACCCCATCTGCACTGCCCCAGTTGATCAAATGTGCCGCTCGGGTCCAGAGTCAGCCGTAACCTGATGAGCGCCACAGCTTCATTAGCGATCAGAAACATAGGCCGTGAGACACGAATGATAAGGCACACAATTGAGTGCAGAAAGCTGTTTCTGGCAACTGCCAAAAAGAAAAGCGATTGCTTGCAGTTTGAAGGTGCTGCATTCTTTTACGGGTGGGAGCATAGTCGCGTGTTATCGTTCATATTTCATGGGCCTTCTTTATTAAGTGGACAAAATGAGCATGTAATTAGTACATTGTTGAAAATAGCGCAGTTATATGTCACTTGAGTATGCCTACATACAACTCACAGACATTTTGATAACTAGCCGAGTATTCGTTGAGCTAGACACATAATTATGACTAATTAGTAAAACTTATTAACAAGAAATAGTAGTGGATATTACTGTATACTGGAAGCAGTATGTGTTATGTTTGCTTCGCATAAAGCCTTTCCTCTCTTTTTTAAAAATGTGCTGCGCGATAGTTGGGACACTCCGCATTTTTTTTTTTATTGGGCTGAACACTGATATGTGGAATTTAACGTTCTAAAACCACCATATGATTATGAGAGACGCCGAAGTGGAGGGCTTCGGAAATTTCGACCACCTGTGGGTCTTTTACGTGCACCCAAATCTGAGTACACGGGCTTACAACATTTCCACCTCCATCGGAAATGCAGCCGCCGCAGCCGTGATTTGATCTCGCAACCTGCGGGTCAGCAGCCAAGTACCTTAGCCACTAGACCACTGCGGCGGGGCATTGGGCCTGCAAGTAGCCTTCGGCTATGGGTCTAATACGTTCCGAATCTAAATGAAGCTCCGCCCACACAGTGAAGAAGTTTGGGAGGAAAAGCATGACTTGCGAGTAGGGCAACCTATAATCAACTATAGCTTCCTTGACACAAGATACTTTACTTAGAATTATGGCACTAATGAACTAGTCTAGTTGTAGCCTAACTGCTTACATAATTTAAAACATTCCAGGGACTGTTTCACATAGTCACAGAACCTTCTGCAATCTATGTAGCTGAGTATTCGTTGAGCTACAAACATAATTATGACTAATTAGTCAAACTTATTAACAAGAAATAGTAGTGGACACTACTGTATACTGGAAGCAGTATGTGTTACATTTGCTTCGCATAAAGCCGTTCTTCTAGCAATAGAAGATGAAACACAGTCAATGTACAATGCACAATAACCCTTATTGCATTGTGTCGTCATAATGTGACTGCTCTTGTCATGGACCAAACCCATGAGGCTATTTTGCTGAATGGCACGGCCATCAGACCACAACAGTGGCCCGTTAATTCCAATCACAAGACTCTCTCCACGATGAGCCCTGCTAGCTATTCTAATAAGTGCACATACCGGCAAGCCACTTTATATCTGACATCAATTTTCAAACTTCTTGCAGTGAAGATATTACAGGAAATATACACAACACATCTAGCTGTCTACTTTAACACTCTCAAGTAGTGTGATCACGTTCCTACAAGCCAATTGAGGGGCACGCTTACCGAGGAAAGGACGGGAAGGGCATTTACACTGCATTGTGCGAAGTTAACTACAATAACTTATTTTTTAGGTTCCAGCAATAGATTTTTTACTTGCAATGAGTTGTCATCTTTGAAAAAAAGGAAATAAAGTAATACACGTTAAAGTTCAGGTACCTATCTGTTCAGGTATGTATCTGTTGAAGTTCAGGTACCTCCCACCCCCAACTAGACAATTTCAGAATTTCAAAAACAGTCACTCACAAAATCAGTGACTTAGTTTCCACATGTTACCGGTTAGAAAGCCTGGGAGGTATTCGATGCAGCTTGTTTTACCTTCTCGAAGTCATATTTCCGCAGCTGATGTCGGGAGCATTCGCTGCCACCACGAATCGCACAGCTAGCCGACTTTTTCAGGAGCTAGGAGTGCTCGTAGCTAACGCGTCCTAAAACAGGGTGGTCCGATGAAGCTGAAATTACAGGTGCTGCCAAAGAATGAAATAGGGTGCGAAATGAGGGAAATTTTTCAAAGATTTCTGTGCTTCTTGCAGGACACGGGTCCATAGCCCTTAATGCGGGACTTGCAGGACTGGCGAGATGAGAATGACGCGATGAGAATATAACCATGCCTAATGCCGAGAGAGATGAGTACTATAATGGATGTGCCATTAACAGAGCAGTAGATTAAGCGTTAATCTTTCATAGTAAGCAATTAACTGTTAAAGTAAGTTATTAATGGTAAATACTCTTTGGCGACAAGATGAGCCTTAAAGAAGTACTTACAAAAGAATTTTGAAGATGGAGATAACCTTTGAGATATATTTGTGTGGACACACTGTTTACAAAAACGCCTGCAGCAAACATGGCGGAGGTACTCAAAATTGATTTTAAGGAGTATGCCATGCAACTGAGCGCAGCATGGAGCACATCATCACAATACCATACTTCACCATACATATAATAATCAGTCACCAACTAGTTCAGCTCTCAACCATATGGAGCACCTCACAACGTCGATTTGGTTTTAACCCTTTACTGCAGAGTGTCGCGAACCCGCGGCATACCAAAAAAAACTTCAAGCAAGCAAGCCACGAAATGCATGCCGCCTTTATTGCCCGCTGTCAAGTACTCATAACGATTGTTGCTTTTAGCTGAAAAAATGTAGCGTCATCTCGTCTAAAGTATTTCATGCTAGAACCAACTGTCTTGTAGCTGATGGCGAAGAGTACGAAGCGCATGCAACAGCCCTCACTTTGTTTTTTTTTCTCGCCTGGGTGATGCAAGTTCTATCTTCAATATTTTGTTTACTTGGTGTGTGCGATGCACCTAAGAGGTGGCACAAGGCATGTCACGTAGTTCTGAATTACGTTTTTGTTGAAAGGTCGTCGCATCTGCATTATACGGAGGATTTCCGACATACTTGTAGATATGCATTAGATTTGCATTTTAAAGAATTTAAGTGCAGAAAACGAAAGCTGGAAAATGAAAACAACTTTTATGTTTCTCAGCAGTTTCATAATTCAGGCTTAAAGAGTTAATGTGAATGACCAAACACCACCTAAGCCATGAGCTTGTGTTCAGTGGCGCATTCCTTGGGCGCTCCGCTCCTTTGAGATCTCATATGGTCAGCTATGATTACAGGGAAAAAATAGAAAAAAAAGGTACCGCCTCTTTCAACACATTAGGAAACCAAAAGCGCACCTGGGTGCTACGAAAACTCTTGAGTAATTATCCATCACGTGCTTTAGCAAACTAGATTTCCGGCAGTTAATATACCACTAGCTTCTTACTACAACAACAACAACAAAAACAAAGTAAATTATAGCATCAGTATTCCTTCAAAAAAATAGTTTCAGTGATTAGAATCCTAAGGGGGCTTGCTTTGTCTGTTCCTCATTGTGGTGGGTGAGGCGCTAGCCAACGGGAAAGTGGCCAAATTTGTTTAGACAGGGACAAAATGTAAACACTCATACATACTTCAATTTCCACGGCGCACACTAAAGATTCCCCATATTTCAAAATTAAAATGAAATCACTCACTACAGTGTACCTAACAAACATGTCTCAGCTTCGGGCATGTTAAATCTCCGAAATTTCATTTTTGTTTTTGACCAGCAAAGAAGTACACAAATAATATGAGTTATCTCTGCAGAAATTTTTGTATAGCTATTCCTTTCATATGCAAATAGCAAAAATTTCTACCAGAACTGTAGCCATGAGCGAAGTCAATAACATGGACGGGAAGAAACTCGTCCACCTATTTGCAGCATGACGCTTTGAATCGCTCGAGGAGGAACCTCTACAGATGACGATAAATCTGAGCTGGTTCGTGATGACAAACGTTCGTAAAATGGAAAAAAAGCTTCCTATCAGATTCCCTGCAGGGCTTTGTGCTTCAGACGGATGAATGACAGTTGTTTTCCCCTCAAAGAACTTTGCCTCATCTTGCAATGCTAACTCTCTGGCTCACTTAGAAGGCAACGCACTTCATTCTTAATAATTAGGAACCATGTAAGCCTTAGTAGATGCCTATGATGTCATGGCAACTGATATAACAGCTGATGTAATAACTCAAAAATGTCGTTGCCACCTGGATTTTCATTTTGAGCATCGTTTCACTTACCAAGTGTCTTACCCACAGCAAGCGTGGCATTTCTGGCATCACGAAAGAGTAATTAACAAATATTAAATGAAATAGTTTCTTTTTAGAGTCCCTTCAAAAAGCAACACAGCCTAGTGCCAGTTTCATCTCAAGCAGGCACATAAATGTGCACTATTGAACACAAGCATAGGCAAACATGCCACGTTTAGTTGTATAGACCGTTTCAAAGGGTGAAGGGGAACGCCTCTCTGCAGTGCAGGTTTGGGGGTTTCACGCATATTTTACACTACCCTGGGGGGATTATGGCAGCACCGACTGAGCTACCCTTGGAAATGTGTATACAGCTGCAATACTGAGGCCAAACAATGGGAAATGTGGGAGGCTTTAGGTCGAACGACGTCCGACCTTAACCCTTCGAGGCGAGAAACCTTGCACTTCGGGAAAAGACGGCAGCGACAGGATCTTGATACCCAAACAGGCCCGAGCACGACACGCTATCCATTGCGTGATATAGGAAGCAACGCTCTGCATAAAAAAAGGCCAGCTGCTTTGTATGGCTGGCATTAACCCGAGAGCGAAACACCGTAACAGTGTGATCGGCAGAAAGCTGTTGGCCTTCCGGCAGATAGTAGTGCAAGCCCGAACGCTGCCGGCCTTGATTTTTTTTTTCTCTCTCCCTCTCGCACGTCACGTGGGCCTTGTTTCGAAACTACCGCCAGCTATCGGGCCCTTGGACGTAAACGAAGGTTGGTGCAGCAGGGCGCACCACAAGCGACGGTAGAGCGTCGATCGCTCCGCCGAAAAACTTTGGAAGTATTCCAGCGAGCGTGCACACATACGCAACCATGGCTTCGTTCGTGCGGCGACAGAAAAAAAAAAAAAGAAAAAACGCGTCGCAGCGTTCCGTGTCGTCTGCGCTTTTGACCCTGAGCTGCTGCCTCTGGCCGTACCGCACGATTTTTAGCGTGCGCAAGCCAGACTACGATAGAGACGCTTTGGGCTACACACGGTCGAATGAGAGACGCGACGCAACAGCATCGCCAGAATAAATGTGTGCGCCGAGCACGACAGCACATGTGTGAACTACCAAGGTGGGCACGTAGCCCGAGAAAAGCGTGGCGGCGCTTGCTTACCAGAAAGCACAATCGTGGCCAATTGTGTATGAAGTACCGGTACGTGTATATGGAGTAAGGTTCTGAGAGGTCCTTCTGAAACAGGCGCATAATGTCCGGCATCTGCCTCTCGGATTCGTACGCGACGTAGGAGATTCCGTCGACGACGGCGGCACACGGCGGGCTCGGGAGGCGCGCGCACACCTTCACGGCTGCCGCCGGCCAACCGAACATCACTGGACGGGCTAGGAGGTCGTTGACGGGTCGGTTGCGGCAACGGACTACCGCCGTCGTCGTCGGTGTGCCAGTGCACGACACCGTTGAGCTTGTCCGACGGCCCGACGACGGAGCACCCGTTGGGAGCCGCATCACGGCGACTCAGGCTAAGCGTCTTCTTGATATGCGCCGCGAGGAGTTCGTCCGACACCTTCCAGAAGTCGTGGTCCGCATCTTCGCCGGCGGCTGGGCCGTCAGCTGGCCCGGAACCGCCGCTGTTGCATCCTGCCGTGTGATCGCCGTAACTTTCTAAGCCTACTGGGTCCGCACGGTCGGGATCTTCCATCGCTCATGGACACGAGCTCGGCAGCTCCGGCTCATACTTCGTTCTCCACCCGACGGCCGCACACTCCATCCAACGACAGACGCGCACCACTGCTACATCGCACGGCCTGCCGTTAGCGATCGGCGAGCTACACAAACTCGAATAAACGCCTTCACTTACTTAATCGAACAGCGCGAGCGACGCGGGTTCGCTCATTTCAGCACGGAGGCAGACCCGTGACGCATGCTCATTACGGCGATGTGTTAATGTAACGCTCCGCGCCACTAGACTTGTGACGAAATCGCGTAAGAATGAAAAGCGCGCGAAGCGAACGAAACGAGCAATGCCAGACGCTTCTCGCCTCTTCAATCTGGCTCCGGCTGCAACAATCCTCGAATTTCAACCAGTCGAGAGAGTCTCGAAAAGCAACCGCAATCACCCACGTTCACTCTTGTCGCGGATGTTTTCTTTTGTGTTGTTGGCGTTAACGGGTTGTAGACCGTTTCCGGTTCCTGCAGCCGGCAGAGGGCGAATGCGAAGGGTTTTCGAAACCAGCAGCAGCCCCGTGCTCGCAGCGACCGAAGTGCCCCTTCATTCTTAGACCTTCGGAGACGAAGGATCGCAATCGTCTCAAATGGTCGATCGCGGTTCGTTGTTTGGGCAACTAACGTAGCCCGACACACTCCCGTCTCGGTGCCTCGACTTCAGCGACGTAATCAAGTAAGCGTGACCGCTAAAATCCACGTGCTTGCTTCTACTGCTACTACGAGTGCAGTGTGATCAAAATGTCTCACCTTTAACAACCGCTATTCCCGAATGGACCTTCTGAAGTCGTATCCCTTCTTAGCAGGTGTTTGCTGTGTGCTTGCTGTAGCTTACGTTCGTGATCGAAACGATCTGATCTTGCATTACAGCGCGCGGGAGACCGCAATGTCTTTCCCGAACAAGGAACAGCGTCAGAAGTGTTGGGATTCTCGAGATCGCTACTGGGAGTGCCTTGACAGTAATGCTGATGATTCAAAACGCTGCGCGGAGATGAAGTCCTTGTACGAGACCCTTTGCCCGAGCCAGTGGGTAAGCAGGTTGTTGTGCTTTGATTGGCGCGTGTTATGCATGTCTCTTACACTACAGTGTGTTTATTAGTACGATGCACGGCAGCTGGCACATGCAGCCTTCGATTTTGTACGTCAACGCATAGTAATTTGGCAATTTTTGCGGGATATTCAGTCTGGTTTGCTGTTAAAGGGAATTAACGGAACTCGCACACGACTAATAATTTGTTCACCCCCATTAGTAACACGCCCTTGGTATGTTCAACAATTCACCTTCTTCTGTCCTTCCTCCTTCGATCCTCCTCCTCCTCATATTCTTCTGTCTTCACTTTGCATCATAGCTACCATGATAGTTGTTGCTCGAATCGAATGGTGTTCCTTTTAACTATAGACTTTACTGTACATTGTCTCCTACCAGAGGTTTCATCTGCGCCACTCTACTGACAACTGTTGTTGCTGAAGAAGTCAACACGTAGACCTACGAGTTGTGGTTTACCAATTGGAAGCACGTAACATTTCAGTCGCTTGGGCAGGGCTCGTGTGGAATACTAGACCACCTCTGCAGAAGTTTTGATTGCATTTCATGTGTTACTAACTGACCGTGGGACATTTGGGACAAACTATAGCTGCTTGAAGTGGACTATTACCTATCTCGAAGCACTGCTCTCTTCCGAGGTTGTTGTAAATTGCTTTCGTTTTCTGCAGATTAATTTTAAGACCCACCTTTCTGCTCTTCTTGTCTAACTCCGTAATCATGAGTTGCAATTCGTCCCCTGAGTTACTCAGCAATGCAATGTCATCGGCGAAGCACAGGTTACTAAGGTACTCTCCATTAACTCTTATCCTAACTCTTTCCATTCTAGGCCTCTGAAAACCTTCTGTAAGCATGCGGTAAATAGCATTGGGGAGATTGTATCCCCCTGCCTTACACCATTCTTGATTGGTATTTTGTTGCCTTCTTTATGAAGCACTATGGTAGCAGTTGGATTCTCTGTAGATTTCTTCCAGGGTGTTTATATATGTTTCATTGATGCCCTGATTCCGCAGTGTCTGCATGACTGCTGATATTTCTACTGAATCAAACTGCGTTCTCGTAATCTATGAAGTTGTAAAAGACTATGTCTACTTAGGGCAGGTAATAACCGCAGAGCTGAACCATGAGATTGAAGTAACTAGAAGAATAAGAATGGGATGGAGCACATTTGGCAAGCACTCTCGAATTATGACAGGTAGATTGCCACTATCCCTCAAGAGGAAGGTATATAACAGCTGTATCTTGCCGGTACTTAGCTACGGAGCAGAAACCTGGAGACTTACATAGAGGGTTCAGCATAAATTGAGGACGACGCTGCAAGCAATGGAAAGAAAAAATTGTAGGTGTAACCTTAAGAGACAAGAAGAGAGCAGAGTGGATTAGGGAACAAATGGGGGTTAAGCATATCATAGCTGAAATCAAGAAGAGGAAATGGACATTGGCCGGGCATTTAGCGCGTAGACAAGGTAACCGCTGGTCATTAAGGGTAACTAACTAGATTCCCAGAGAAGGCAAACGGGTTAGGGGGAGACAGAAGGTTAAGTTGGCAGATGAGAGTAAGACGTTTGTTGGTATAAATTGGCAGCAGCAAGCACAGGACAGAGTTAACTGGCTGAACATGGGAGAGGCCTTTGTCCTGCAGTAGACGTAGTGAGGCTGATGATGATGATAGATGCTTTGGTCAAGGAAGAATCTGTACAGAACTTTTGTACAAAGTGTCTGAAAATGAAACCAAGAAACAAACATGTCATAAAACGTTGTAGTCTCAGTGCATGCTGTAAAAAACAATGTTGTGAAAAACTCTAGTGTTCAGGCAGCCTTAGTAGCGTTTTACTGGAGGAACAAAGTGGGCCCGCCTAGCAAGGAGTGCCCTTGCCCTAAAAACCCAGTCGCATCTGGCAGTGGGTGCTGATACCTGTGTGTAATGTAATGGTCTCAACGGCAGTTGCAATGAAACGAGGGCAAAATGCAAAGAAGCTCTTACACATACTGCTCTCTTATACTAAGCTTTGGGTGAACAGTGAAGGCGCACATGTTGCCAGAGTTAATCCTGAACCCTTCAGTGTTGCGCTTCCCAATCCCCCCCCCCACCCTTTAGGTGTAGATGTACCAAGTGATGTTCAACCCCAACATTCAGCCTCTATTATGAAAGACTGCACCAAAATCTAAATACATGGGTATTTACACCGTTCACCTTCATTGAAATGTAGGTGCACCGTAGCCTGTAATCGAGCGCGCATCCCCTGTCTAGCTGTGCAACACATTACCTGCTGAGCCGTCATGGCAGGTACTTCCGAATCTTGTGTTTGTGTAACTCAGGACTGGCACGGTTTCTTTTCCAACTTCCAGGTGAAGCACTTTGACCGCAAGAGGGAATACCTGAAGTTCAAGGACAAGATTGAGAAAGACGGGTACGAACCACTCGATGACACGAATACCAGGGCAAAAAGCTGAGGCACTTCGTTGTCTGGCAAGGAACTCTCAATCGTTGAAACAGTTTCGACTAAGTCGGAGAAGGCTGCGAGTGCGCGCCACAGCCAGGCACCAGATCCATTCGCAAGGACACTCACGTGCTGCTCGGAATGCATAATTAATTCGTCATTATGGGCATTAGATTTAAAAGGAGGTGCCATTCTTGGCACGTCATTTCGTCATAACAAAATAACGGGACATTTCGTCATAACAAAATAACGATTAGGAGTAGAGTACGAATGTAGAAGCATGAGCATTCATAGATGTTCGCATGCGTGTGGCTGCTTGTCTGGCCGAAGTGCTGTTTGTTTTCCATGTTGTAATAAAGCATTTTCGCTGGACACACATTTTCGAATGCTGCTGTTAGTCTTTTTTTTCCTAGTCTCCTCTGAATGGGCAGATCAGCTTGCTGTTGCTTGTCTGTCGCACATCTGCATGCTTCTGTGAATTCCGAAGCTGGTGTACAGCTAATAATGTAGCACTCGGTTCAAGTATGTTCTAGAGCTTGTTGCAATCTTTAGCAGAGATCGAGTTTAAGTGGGGTCAATATTTTAACGAAAAGCGAACTACAAAAAGGTGAGATATTCATGTTGAGCCTGAATTGGAGTTGTCAGAAAAAGGGATTCACCTCTCTGGAAAATGAATGAATGAAACAACTTTATTGTGAAATCAGCTAGTTGCTGGTCTGGGCCAGGCTGCTCTGGAAAGGTAATATTTTTTTTATAAAAGGAGTGTTGAGTAGCTGGAAAACCTTAAAATATTTTTCTTGTGTTAGTGTTAAAGTTAAAAGAAAAAGCTATTAGGGCTGTGGTATTGTCATACAATGAAGTTTCCTATGCAGTTGTGATTTACCTGAATTTTATTGTAAAGAGTACGTATAAAAGAATCTTGGTAAGGGTATGTTACAGGTTTTTTTCTGATGAATGTTTCAAAGTGGATGACATGAATGTTCCATGCCAGTATCCCTTGTGATCAGCGGCTTTATCCTTGCAGCATTAGTAGGTTAAAAGTCCCTTGTTAAGGTGTGCAGTAGACTTGTAATGTTAATCACTTAATGTGGGGAACTATTTACGGCTTACAACAGAGCGTTTGTAACAACTTATAAGTACAATCTAGGAAGTCGTCGATAACTCTAAGCCAAAGTATTTCCAATGACTTGCCTTCACTTGTGGCTGTCAGTTGTGTGGATGGTACAAGTCTCCGATGAATCAACAACTTCAAGATGTCCCAATAAATTCGCGTAATGGAGGTTATACGGCGCACACTGCATTTGCTTGGTTGTAACATTTGTCAGATTTTTCATGGCCAGAAATTCGAAGTGCACTGCCATAAATTGTGATCCCTAATCTTGATTTTCGTAAGTTAAGAAATGCCATACCATTGATTATTTCTTTTAACATACTTTATGGCAATAAAGGAAGCAACAGATCATTTCAAAAAGGAAATTCACTACAGTAGAGCCACAGTGTACTAGGTGACGCTAGCCGTCCCTGTATCTGAGGTGCGATTTAAGGTATGTGGTCAAAGGCTGGGTTTGGACACCATACACTACAGTTTGTTTCACACTGTAATCAAAGACATGGGTCTCAAGCTCACTTCAACCGGCCGACCGCAATAACGCAATTTAGTTCCGCATGGGTCAAAGACGTGAATAACTTAAAAACAAGGGGGGGGGGGGGATATAAATTGTTGGCAAACACTCCTCTATTTGAACAAAAACCTTTCCCATGATTTATATATGAATCTTTTCAAGAAGATTTGTGCCAGCATTCCAACAACATATCAATACCGATCTCAGAAATTAGTAAAATCTAAGTGCAGATTCTGAAATGTATTGTTTCACGATTATGTTTGAACACATGGTGACCACACAGGATGCCTTACGAAAACAAGCAATGTGTAGCTCACAAAAATACTCATAAAAAAAATGGGCAAATACAGTCAGTGTGGGCCGCGGGTTGCGCGTTTTAGACCTCTGCTCCGATTCAAATGTCATGTTTTAGAACACTTTCCTCGAAGACCATGTACAACGATGTAATTAAGGTGAACAATACTTCTATCTGTGCTGCCTTTCCAATCCACTGTGTTCAAGTTGGCTAGATTAAGTGAAAGAACGGGAGCAAAACAGGTAAAGTACCATGTTGGTATGCCAGCTCAATCTATTCACTTTCCCGGCGTTTCTAGACGCTTGCCTGTACTGAGCATGCTACATGCCAAGTGGAACTGTTCTGAGCACCTTGCTCCTGTCGGCATGAGTTTTCGTCGTCTTAACCGCTTAGTCTAGTAATCAACGACCGTGCTCGCTCATGAATGCTGGATGAAGTTCTCCCCTTGTGCCGTTTAGACTGACAAGGCCTCGAGAGCAATCGTTCATTGGTCAAGTATTGGCCTGGTAATTTTCTTATGGTGTCTAGATTCAGGGGTAAGCCATTCATGTGAGGAGCTTTACTTTTTTTTTCTCTAAATTTTCGAAAAAATGCTCTTCGCATGGCACCACAAATGTTCGAGTGATAATCGGCTGTCCAGGTTCACTACTGATCGCTGGATAGAAGGCAGAATGGAACATTTCGCTTTCGTGCACAAAATGGCGCAAGGTCCTCGTACTTTCAAGTACACTAATGCACAATTTGCATGCCATTTGTCTGCGTTAATTTTATTTTAGCATAACCAATGCACCATCTCGTCGTAGCCTTCTTCATTGCACAGCTCCTGCTTTACATACAGAAGTAGAATGCGACATAAATGATCATACCCTATGTTAAAAAGGGGAACTACTTGGTGAACTTATAAAAATTAATAGGTGCTTCAGCATTGTAATTATCTCTTTCATGCCTATTCTTTAATGGCCAAAGCAGCATCGTTGGCTGCTATACTACAAACTGTGGACCAGTTTTATGCTGTTTTTCTCACATTCATTTGAACTTCTAATCTCGCTTTTCTTGTATCAATGTGTACAGTAATGCCATGAATATAAATTGTGCCTTAATGTAATGAATCGGTAGATGTAATTACCTTTAAAGTTATTCCCGCTGTTATAGGCAACAGTGGGATCTGCAGCAATCTGTAGAAATTTAGCCTTATATTGTGCAGCAGAACTGAAATTTCAAATTAATCGGGTGTTTTTACATAACAGTTTAGCAACAGCAAATTGACAATGCTTCAAAGTACCTGCACTGGCACTCCTGGCCTTGCATTTCAATAGTGTCTGCTCTGTTTTAGTTCATACCTTATTTAGCAAGAAGCGTCACATTGAATGTTGAAAGGAATTAATTCAGCAAGTTTAGACTTATTTTGTGCCAAAACGGCCTAGACATGACAAAATAAACCACATCAAATATTTTCAATCGCATACCAATGTACTGGTACTGTGGTTTCTATGCAAAGTTTAGGCATAGGAAGCCTAGTCTTATTTTCTGCACTAGTAATAAACTCCCTGCCACATGAAAAACAAGAAGAGCACAGCTTTTAAGCAATGAAACTATTGGACTACTACTGCTTTAAAAGGATTTTGTCACTAGGATTTTTTTTGGTGTCACAATATCGCTAAAATTTCTAGTGCTTGAAAAGGGGATCTGAGAGGGTTGACTGCACAGCAGATAATGGTGACGATATGCTGTGTCAATCGATAAGTGCCATACGCATAATCGTGCTGCCACTTTGTTTCTAGGCGAGCCGCTGGGAGGCCAACCATCGTATTCGTAGACACCACTGGCCATCGCGACCGCGCCAAGTTCAGAGCAGTCACCTGACTACTTGTCAGTCCCATAGACTTTAAGAGGCCAGCTTGCGTCTCAGCTAGAGCACCACGCAGTGACAAAACAGCAAAATAAAGTATATTCCTGTACTGTTGCCACTCTTTCATAGCTTACACACAGGCAATCTAATTTACGAGTAGTTTATTTTGTACATTGTGATCATGTGTCATGGGCAGTAAGTGACACATGGGCAGTACGTGGAGCTAGCATCGAACCAAGGATCTGACTTTAAAAGTATAGCTAGCCATTACTCCTGCAAGTAAAATAGTGCTGTGTACCCAAGGCAAATAATTGGTAGTCTTTTGCCACACTGCACGAGAAATGTGTTTACTCAATGGAAGCGAGACTGCTTGCAGAACTTTGTCACAGTAGCGCACGGCAACAAGTGGTTCAACACTGACACCAGTGTTGCACAACGAACACGTAAAAAAAAAAAGCATTCTAGCCACATACCATAAGAGCAAGAGCATAGTTTCTGCCTTTGAATACTGCTCTAACGCTTCTTTTTATCTTCTTCTGAAATACTGTTGGTGTGTCGCTGCATAATAACAATCAAAGCATCAAAACAAAACACACCAGCTTTTGTGATTGTCACCTATATTTTGCGTACCAAGCCGACGTTCACCAAAAGAATGAAGCCGCGCATTTCCTCGCATTTTTTATTGCACGCTGAACCACACATACAAGACAGATGTGGCTTGCTTTGAAAGCACTTGTTAATTTCCATTTTTTTTTTACTTTTCACTTTAATTCATGACGTATTAACACCGCAGTGCAGGCCACCCCGTTAAGTTATAAAATAAGCCTCACGAAATTACAAAAAAAAAAAATGTGAGCAAGCCTACGAGTGCACATATTTTATGTACAATCTTGATTTTTATGCATATGTCATCCGTGCATCTCACACGCATTCACAGAACACCTAGAAAACACAATCCCGATTTCCTTCTCTCAGCCATAAAGCTCGTCAAAGATCTCGCGTTCATTCGATGGCACAGTAGCTGTTTCCCAAAGGTGGCGCAAACGTATTGAACTCTTGAAAGTAACACAATGAAATTCCACGGATCCTCAGCTACAAGTAATGTGATATCATCCAATGAGACTTTCAAAGCTAACAAAATCAGCTGTCATGATCATGACATAAATGTGCGGAACACCAATAACACTGTGCTGGTTGTGCACTGTTCATACCAGCGGGCAGTCCTGCTTCTGAACTTAGATTGTTAATTCATTACCTGTTGAGAATTAATTGTAGACAGGTGAATCTAAAGTAACAAAAATGGCTGGAAGCCTCAGCTTTAACAGTACAAGAAATGCAGACATTTATTTACACACGGCACTAGTTGAGAGCTTCCAAGAGTCGTCTGCATCAGGTCGCAAATTGCATGTGACGGCCTTTCATTCTTACCTCGAAAAGGCCACGTTCAATAAAACACACACTTCCCCCCAAAAAATCACGTGCAGAATTCGCGTGGTTCCTTATATTCAACACAATACTTCGGCCCGCACAAGTCTTTGCACTTGCAGTAAAAGTCGCAATGTTCGCAATGTCGAAACTTGCAGTAAGTTATGTACATTTGTAACTGATACAGCACCTTGTTTGCACTATATGCAACGTCTCGACATGGGATATGCTGGCAAGCAGATTGCAATTGCAAGACAGGTACAAAACAAAACAAAAAACCTCTTCCAATCTCAAGTGTTATCGGATTCCTTATTCTGGAAGTTCCCACAACACGGCCAGCCATAGGAACACAAGATTGGGGACGATGTTTTAAACGTACTCGCGTCACGGTTCGGCCACTCGAAGTGCATTACAAAGAAACTGGGAAACGTTACGCGGACTTTAAAGTGTGCATTTACATTATGTACAAGGACACAGTGCCGATATCGGGCCATCGATGATGCATCCGCTTCGAGCGAGTTGTGACGTGGCATTAGTTTAAGTACAATGATTGAGAGCATGCCGAGAAATGCTTGCATACGATTTAAGACAGTCCTGTGCGACGCGAGCGTCGTTTCATTCGAAGAGCGACGCAGCCTAACACTCGATCATCTGTTGCCGTCGATGAAAAAATGGGTGGCAAGACGCTGCTGGCAAGCACTTCGAGGCGCTGTTGTGTGTAAGCTAAGCGTGTGTGTGTGTAGTACTGTGTGTTTGCGCAAGCTTGGCCCCTGTTTCATCTAGAGTAAGAGTTGCACATACATGCCACATAGAACCACGTGCACAAACACTTCTCAACGTGTCAGCCTATTTACATGGCACTAATACAACGCTAGAACATGTCAGAATGCTGCCCCGTTAGAAATGTCAATGCTACGAAACACTTCCTAGGAAATCATTCGCGAAACCGCCACCTCAAATCTTGGACACAGTATGACTAAAAAAAACTAATACTATAACGAAACTTTTCAAACCACGAGTGAACGTGCAGATAGGTGCAGTACATATTTCGATAGGGGGTACCTTGACAAAAAGCAACAGCTTTAACGTGTTACCTGGATAACTCAGCTATAAACTTATCAGCAAAACTGAAGTGAATAGTAAAGAAATAAGTAACTCCTTGTCAAAGCTTTTTGTTTAATGCTGATATTAAAATGAAAGCTACGAAATGTTTTTTTCTACCACGTGTTCATTCTAATGCAAGCACGACATATTGAATATGTTCAAGTACAAGCACAATTGGGGGGGGAAAAGGGGTAAAACTAGGGACAGTAATGAGAGTTCAATGCAAAATTCATTGAAGCCCAGCTCATACACTAAAGCTTTGTCAAGACAGCATGCCAGAGAAAAATGAAAGAAATGAGAGATTCAATACAACATTTGAGGAATATTAAAGCCAGCAACAATAGCAGCCTTGCTGTTGCTTGTTGCCCAGTGCATTGTGAACCCAATTACTCTACATCTCATTAACAAGTTCTATCATGAAGCTCTGTCAGGAAAGAATAAACTTATGCAATAAAGCAAAAAGCTTGTTTTTTCTATGCCTGAATAGCTTGTTAGCTTACACCTTGTATGGAAACTTCACTTGAGAAAGCACACTTTACAACCCGAAAAAGACCTGAAAGGGGGCTTTTATATTCATGAGCATGAATTCAAAAGATTGCACATTCGTGTGCCCGTTTAAAACAAACGTTTCTTGCCCTAAGATGCACAAATGAAGGCTAGCTAGCACTTTGATCTATGGAAGACATTTCGAACTTTCGCTGCCTTCACATCGTAATGGCGAGCTGCAATGCAGAAGGAGTCGAGAGATGCACTTGACAGTACGGTTGCTGTCATTATGAAGACACTTCCCCCCCCAGACGAAAACACTAGCAACATCATCAGTCACTCGACCGCTGCTCATTTCCGCAATGGCATTTCCCAACGTAGCTAGTGAAAAGTGACAGAAAAGTTCCGACGCTTTGTAACGTCTTGTGGCACAGTTGAACCTCTTTGTATTGAACACTGCTATAACGTATTGTTGGTTATAGCGAACTAAATCTGAACTTCAGTTAGAAATTCTCCATTTCTGTGATGTTTGTTATTCTTATGAGGAAACAGAAAATGCGAGAGCCATCGCGACTTCGGTTGTAGCGAGGAAACATGTATGCACCAGTCTCGAAACTTGAAAGATTGCATAAAAAGCAAAGTAAGTATTGAAAGACCAATTCACAACCACATTTTCGCATCCTTTTTCAACCGCAGATCACATCCTTATTTAAACATAAAAGCAGGCCTATTTTATCTAATGAACTTCAATCTATTGTAATTTTATTCTCCCACGTCCTGGTCTATTTTGAAGTGCCACAAGGTAACAGGTAAGGGTTACCTTGTTCAGAGGGGTATTGCAGGCTAGTCTTTTTGTATTCATGACTTTCGTGTGAGCCACATTGATGACCTATTAAAGCCAAATTTTATCTCTACTATAGCAATGAGCATCAATTGTAGCAAACTAATTTACGGTCTCAGTGCTATTTTGCTATAACGAGGTTCAACTGTACTACCTCTTGTGACAAACACACGCTACTGACCATGCCTGCGCAACTTCGCAAACTACGCTTGTCCAAGACCTTTGAACAAGCGTGCCATGTCGCTGTAACCATCTCCCCGGTTGATGTAAAAGAATGATATAAACGTTATAAAAAGAAAGAAAACTTAATGAATACTCAATCACAGCGAATCCCCAAGGTGGCAAGATCAATTATGAGAGCAATGCATTTTCCCAACGCAGCAAGCACGTTTCTGCAAAGCATACAAATTCTCCATGAATGCAATGGCCAGTTCATTCACCATCAGCTTCCTTTCGCGCCCTCTGCCATAATCGCTCTAAAAAAGTTCGCGAAACCTGCCTCCCATTCAAGAGTTTCGGAGCACAGTACACATTCCTCGCCATGCGGTAACAAGAGCACACGACTGCCGACAGCATAAACATCGCGTCCAATAGCGAATCTAGGGGTGCTCATCAGAACAACAGGTCACTTGCGTCATAAATGTATGTATGTATATATATATATATATCTATGTATATAAAACATATAATAGGCAATAATAATAATAACAGTAACAGAAAAGAGGTGGTCGAGAGAAGCTGAAATCACCGGACTGCCGGCGGGAAAAACAAAGCGAGAAAAAACAACGTCTGGGACCCGCATCAGTTGGGCACAGGTGCTGAACTGTGGCTCTGTGAAGCTGGAATGGCGTGGTGCTCTGGAACATGAAAACAGAAAAAAAGAAAGAAGCACAAAGTGCCAGTGAGGCACATAAAGAAATATGCCGATCACCACGTAACATTCAGGATAAGCTCTGTTGCCATACATTATTCGGCAAATTGTGTTTGAACGGCATCAATGAGGAGTGTGGGTACTCCGGCACCCGAGTATTTGGAAAGTAACACTTACAGAGTCAGTGCAATAGGACTTTAGATGTCCTACTGCACCTAGAAACTTAAAACGAAAGCCTGCATGGAAATTCAAAGCTGATAAGGATATCTCGTGCAACCGATTGTTTATGATTCTCAGGGCCTCACAAGACACATGGCAAAAACCGTTCTTGGCTATTCCTGCCATTGCATACAGTCACAGCAGCTGGCAGCGTACCTTCACGAGAGCTTACACACAAGTTGAACAGAAACTCAAGGCATTTGTCAATGTTAGGCACACAAAATGCGTAGTCTGTGTGTGTGTATGTGACACGGCCTGCTTCAGTGGTGGTTTTTCTCTGAACTTGGGACCAGCCGGCTCCCGATCGCATCACTGATACGACCCGCACCTTAACCATTGGACGACTGGTGGTGCTGCAGATATTGCTGCCATGTTTTTCTATACGATCGAATGACGCCATAGGAGACACTGATATAAGACACAAATGGCTATAAAAGACACCAGTGTGCCTGCAGTAAAATACGGGTTCTAAAGAAAATTCATACGAGGTACCCTGCTTATCAGAGACATCTCATACCAAATACAAGGATCGCTGCCTGGAGCATGCGTCTAACAAAAAGGTTCAACAGTAGTGGCGTCCAACATAAAGCTCCGTACACGTCCTGTCCACCCCCCAAGCAAGTGACTCACCTCTGAAAGAGAACGAACCCTGGTCGCCGGCCGAACTGGACACAGTGGCCGGCCGTGGGCGAGGGTGGTGGTGCTGCATCGACGATGAGCCGCTGTCGCTGTCCAGCAGTGCAGCGGCTAACGTTGACCCCAGCTGAGGCGAGCCTCCCTCCGATCCAGACGGGCCAGCTGCGTTGGAACAGCACGACAGAAAATATTAACCAAGGCCAGTTCGGTACATAACTTTTTAAAGCCTTAGGTGTCTCACCAAATGCAAAGAACGATCATTGGCGGCGTAAATACTAGCGATGCAAAACTTATCATCATGTGATAACGCCACACGATGATATCATCGAGACGTCACCGGTCGCTAAAATTTCTCATATTATCACACAGTGTTTGTTCTCAATGGTTCAACAGAAGGCCAGTCCCAAAGGCACTGAAAGGCCATGTAGGGTACAGAAAGCTCTCAGGAGGGGACGGGAAAATCAATACAATCAACTGAGAAGAAAAAGAAAGGGGCTTTCACCTTAAGTCATCTTAGGCAAATGCATAAAAAACAGTCCGAGCTTTATTTTAAATACATGCAGATAAGCAAGACAACAGTATGAGAGCTCTACTTGTTGTTTAATCCTTATGTTTTCATGTTTATTTCATCGATTCCCCTCCATCCTCCAAACTTACGCTCAAAGCAATGTTGTCTGACGTCATCCTGTAACTACTTTGCAATGCACACCCTAGCAGCATAAATGTAATAAAATCAATGCTACATAGTACATTTAATAACACACATCTGAGGAAAGGCTTCTCCAAATATTACTGAACTGCAGCGCATACTAAGAAGACCATCGACTCACGCAAAACACCACATTTTCTTCTGAAGTGATGTTTACACCCTCGGTGGAGCTTTAGCGAGATTTCAAAGTCAGCTTTCCTACACATTGAAAAAATTTTTACACAACTACCATAATGTGTTGCCTGAAGAGAACACTGGTAATGCGTGTTACATCAACTGTGGCTTTAAGAACTGCAAGTGCACTTTAAGTGCAAGAACACCACTACGCACAGTTTACAAAAATCTAGACAGCCAATTTCGATCATTGCTGAGGTGTACACTAGCTTAATGTAATGTATACAGTTGAGGAAATCTTGCATCAAATATTGTGCAGATTTATAACATGGCTGCATGATGCCGCTTCATAAATGTTCACTTACCCGATCGACGGAGCACGAGAGGGCTTTTGGCAGGTGCTGGGGCCATAACCTTGGAGGCAAAATCTTCAAACGTTGTGAGCTCTTTGTAGTTCTGCACAATTGTCTCTAATGCCTGCGCTCGCTGCTCGTAGCTGATACGCACATCAGGAAAATATTAGCATTGAACCACGTTCACAACAATCTGTATGTGATGGCATGGACGAGCTCACTGCATCCAAACTGTTATTATGCTCGGCGACAACTTTCTGTGGCAGCACGGCCAAAGCTATGTAGACGGAGCTTATACACATGTGCTACTACGCCAAGTAGTCCATTTGCGGGTGACTTAGGTTTCGGTTTTGCAAGCGCAATCAACAGCACGAGCACCATACAATAAATGTTAAAATTTGGGGAGGAAATCAATAAAATTTAATTTTTTAAGGAAAAGAACAAGAATTAAGCTTTAGTGAGGAGTTCCAATGGCCAGGTAGAAACTGGGTGATGGGAAAACCAAGAAACCATTTCCTGAACTTCAATGCATACTGGGCCGGAACCGTTGTTTTCCTTCTTTTGGAGACTCAAAAACTTTCGGGAGACGCTCACGTTATCTTTTCAGGGCACGCGAAGAAATCTCGGCCATGAGCGGGCATCTCACGTTCGTGAATCCAAGTGGATGAAATGCTGTTTTTGCACAGTCAACAGTACACATACACACGAGTGCGTATGTTGCCCAGCGAAGCTTTGCGCTGGTAATTTTATCCTTGTAAGTCACTGTCATCACAAAGCGCAAAGAATCACTCCCTCTGTGTAGACGCCGACGGGTGCGGTGTTACAGTACGTGATCTTTAGCGTGATCGTATCAACTATATTAGGCAATCGAAATGCCGACCAAGTATGCAATGCAATTTAGCAAAAGAGTCATTGCTTTTACCTACAGTTACCATCGCCACTTTTGCTTCCAAGCAGGTGGTGTTGCTGAAGACTGGCAGGTCGCCGGTTTCACTTTCAAGGTGGTTACACCGGCTAGAGTCCCACATAAATAGATGATATCCCTCACACGTCTTCTTTCTAGGTGATTACACATGCGGCAAATGAAATATTTCACGACGCATCACTGTCTTCGTTTCTCTCTGCGCGATTAACAAAGATCACCTATCGAACACACACTCATGCTCGCTCACACGCTTCGCTGTGAACATTCTGCAACCGAGCAACGCCATCATTGTTTACCGGGGCGGGAAAAAAAGGTGAAATGACACGAGAAAACCAGGAAACTAGAAAATGAAAAGAATAAAAATCCTGCCCGGATTAAGATTTCTAATGACAATGCGAACAATCTTTAACATAATATTTATATCTTTTCTTTTTATCATTTCCTTTAAGCTACGCAGTACACAAAAGTAAGCGTTCGTAGACTACATGCAGCAGCGTAGTAGAAAAGGGCATGCGAGGGCTTCGTAGCATTGGCTGTGCTGCCACAGGAAGTTGTCACCGAGTATAGATTCATTGTACGACCCCAAACCAAGTTTTTTTTTTGCATGTGTAGGAAAACAAGGTTTACTGACAACAAATTAGAAAAAGAAAGGCTAATGAATGTGACATTGACTTTTGTTCATGAAAGTTAGCTCAAATATCACTGCTGTAGTCATGTGTTTCCATGTAAGCCCTTCTGCTAGAAAACCTTGAGTTTACGAAGAAATTTACAAAGAAGAATTTCTAATTGCAAAAACAAAAAAGTAGCAAGAGATTCAAAATTTATTTATACATTAAATATTCCTAATTTTGATATGTTCATACTAGATGGCAACTGCCTGTGATGTGACTGATTGGTAACTAACTGAAACAATACAACGGTAGGTACATATTTTTAAAAAAGAAGGGAAATCAGTGATCGTAAGAATTGCAGAAAAGAAAGAAAGCAGGACAACATACAAAAGGATACTATGTACGGAACATAGGTTTGAGCGAATTGACGGCCCTCCCAGCATTGATGGCTGTCGCTCGAACCAGCCTCGGCAGAACCAGGTGGTCCACAATGGCACCATCAAACAAAGGCCCAAAGAATGGCACCTGGCGAGTGCGAGTCGCAAGCGCACACATCAAGAACATCAGTTCGGAAATAGGTGTCTGGGCCTATTTGGTAATGGGTACTGACTATAAAGAACAGGAGAAAATCAACTGGCGGATAAAAATGAACACTTTGGACAAGTGACAGAATAGCACTTCTCCCATCCAGTAGCTTTTCCTTACTGTTAGTTTTGTGCTGTTTAATTCACTAGCAGAATCCTACGGCTGTAACTACACCAATGGCATCATCTGCACACTAGCGTGAACTACGTGCAGTTCTGTGACCAACCTGTAAAGCAGTTTGCCTGTAATGCGTGCTGAAGCATTTCTAAGACATTGCAAGCAGCCATTGCTGTTCTATGTCATCCATGAAATCAGACTCAGCTGGAAAGAAAGAGAAAGGTGTTTAATTTTTCAGAAGTTGGAAGTGTCACTATCTAACCACCTCGAATGCTACCTTCAGTGCTGGGTAATAATTATACTGTTTGATCACTCACTCACTTGCTCACTCTGAAACACAGTCACATATGCAACACTTAAACTATGAAGGGGTGCTGACAGCCCCTGTAAAGTTGTTTGCGCCGTGTGACGCACGTGTCTCGCCCAAAGCCGCATTTTGGGGTGACAACCCACCAGGTGGTAGGTGGCATTCTGTTCGCGAGAGTTGGCCACCACTATTGTCATCATCATCATGGGGTAGCGCCGGCAATGACCCCTGGCGGAAGCAAGTCTTTGTGGCGGGTGACAGTTGAGCGAGTCTCTTCTGCGCGTGGCAGTTGCCGCGAACGGTTGTCTCTCGCGGTGGGTCTGCCGTGGACGGCACCGCAGGCCGCCCGCGGTAGGCCCACGTGGCGAGTGAAGCATTGGCAACGCCACCTTTTGTGTGCTCTTGTGTTATGTTGTTTGAGTGCATGGTAATTTTGTGTAATGATGACTTAGCGTGTTGATAATGATTGATGTACCGATTCGGTGGATGATATCGTCGTCTAAATTAGTTAAGGGGGGATGCTACACCTTCCAAAAACTCTTTTATTTTTGCGAGTACCTCAGTCAAATTTGGAGAGCCTATGTAGATTTTACTGCTGATTTCAAAAATCTAATTCTTTTTTTGCTGTGACAATTAGTTTTAAAGATATAATGAACTGCGACTTTTTCAATTAAGGCTTAATTAGCTAATTAACTGTAACTTGGATATTGATGTGCAACCTATAGAACCAATTCGGTATGTTCACAGTGTGCAATAAAGTATAAATCATTGTTCTGGGCTATTTCGAAGCAAAGTTGTGGGATGTTGAATATGACATGAAAAATTTCCCCATCTACACTTGAAACAAAAGATCCATTTAGAGAATTTTCTCCAAAAATTATTACAATAAAACTTACTTTACGACACATCCCCTGCATTTATCTTCGAAACAAAAAAGAAATCGTAATGATAACCCAGATAGAACAAGAGATATTGCTCCGGCATAATGGGAAGCACATGTAAATTGTCGTTTTGAGAAATCGAGAAAAAACGTGGGCACACATTTTTATTGCAGAAGATGCAACAAGACAACCTCAAAACGCACCAGAAGCATAGTCTGAATGCATTCTGTGCTCATGCCTCCTCTTCACTAGCTTCCAGAGTTCCAATGAGGCTGTTCTTTTCTTGTTGGAGACAATGCTGCGACGGTGGTCTTTTTCTCTCGCTCTCCTGGCACCAGTACTTGTCGCATTCATGTCCATTTCACCTAAGATTGCCGTTGCAGAATTCAAATTGCCCGTGTTGAAGCGCAGCACTGCTTCTGCAACAGCTGCTTCAACAGCGAACAGGGACGCATGGTGCTCCTTGGGGGCCAAACTCCAGATTACCGAATGTAGGCTCTCGTTTGAGTTCTGCGTTTTGCCGCGTTCGCACCTCTGAAGCAGGGCTCTTTCCGAAAGCCGGGTATAAACCGGTAGTAATGCCTCTGCCACGTCTTTCGGTAGATTGTAGGCATGCCTGGGGTCGGGCTCACCCTTTGCTTTTGCGGCATTGTGCCGACACCATGAAGCTGGGCACAGACTCACCAGCTGGGCACAGACTGTGGTCCGAGCATTCATCAGTGGAGGTGACGTGGCGGTATGTGGCCATCACAGCCTTTTGCATCTCGCCCACGTCACCTTCATGCGATTTCGGAGCCCCGCCATAATATGTGCTCAGCCTGGTGATCAGCTCACCTGTGAGCCTGCCTTTCCCACCAAGGCCTCTTTTCCCATCGCACTTTTGTTTCTGCACCAGGTTTCTCAATGCTGTGCTCATCCGTTTCTGTACATGATTAATACAGTCTTCCTTCTGCACGTCAATGTAACCATACACCTTGGCGTCTTGTATGGCGCAAAATGTCCTAGAGTCTCCATCAGACAGCATAGTTGTGTAGCGCAGGCCATGGCGTTCAAGCGACCTCTGAAATAGAATTAGAGCCGCCTCCACTTCCTATTGCCCCGCTTTGCTGTTCGTATTTTTTCGGCATTTGTGGTTAGCCTTCCATTCTTGATAGCCCTCACTACTAGGCTTTGGGCCCACCTCGCAGCCTAGGCAAAAGTTGGAAAGAACGACGTAGTCCAACACGTAGCCACTAAATAATTCGATAACTGTGCCCACGCCGATGTGGGAAGAATGGCCTCGCGTCTTCCACGTGCCGTCGTAGCTAACGGCAATATTGCCCCGGTGGCCGAAGCACAAGTCATCATAAATTGTTCAAACCTTTTCCGCACATTCGCTCATAGTGGACTCAGCCGCTCGCGTTGCAGCGGGTGCCAGCGTGTTTTTCAAATGCCGCTGAAACGTCTTGTGGTGCATACCGCGGTGTGAGATCCCATTGTTGCGAAAATATCGTTCATTTTCGTTTGGCCGTTGCCGGTAGCCACCATCGCCCTCGAAGCGAGAAAATTTACTTCAAACGGATTGCACGTTTTCGTGCCGTTCGCGCGGGGCGAAGTCCATTCATTCGCGATCTCGCCGCACCTTTCACACTGCACTAGCACTTTCACGGCAAGTCCCTAGTCCCGATTCCCTCTGACGATCGTAGCCGGTCCGTGGCAGGCTTTGCAACACAAGGCACCCATTATCGCGTTTAGGATATCTAGATGCATAAGCAGATAAGAAGCAGCGTGGTCCGAGTCCTGTGCGGTTGCCTCGCTACAACTCGCGGTGAAAAAGTCAATTTTCCGTGCAGTTGCTGGCGCCGATGAAAGCCGGTCGAGCGTCGCTTTCTCCCGGGCATGATTTTCTTCAACTTCGGCGTTTGTCACCACCTTGGCGTCGATTCGTAGTCGTCCGGAGTTCGCTTCACCGTCATTGTCGTCGGAGGCAACGCGCTCGGTCGCACCATCGCTGAACGGCCGCGGAGCGTCGACACATCGTTCGTCGGAGTCAACCAAGGGCTCTGATGACTTCGTAGACTTTCTCCCACGACCTTTGCGTTTCCTGCGACCAAATGCGTGCACGGTCCGATACTTTTTTGCGTTTCCAGGCATGGCGATACGATCAGAAGCTTCAGAGTGCTCTGCCGATTTCAAGGCGTCACAGCGGTAACCCTTTCAAAATGGCGTCGGGTCGCGTATGCAGGCGCAAGCCGCGAGCTTCCAGCCAACCGGAAAGCGCCATTTCAGTCACGTGCGCCGTTTAGCCAATGGCAGTGAGCGCGGCTCTTCGTCTTTGAGGCCCCGTTTTTCGAGCCGGGGAAACGCTCAATGTTGCTTACTGAATAAAAAAAAAACAGCTGAAAACGCGTTCTTTCAAACAAGACCAAAATGGCGCCGATCGAGCGCGTAGTTCCCGCGTATCGTAGAGCCGAAACCTGCGCTATTCGCCCTCAATTTAAAGGGCAGGACGCCCGTTTTCGGTTTTTTAAAGTTGAATAACGATAAAAGTTGATGGTATTCGGCTATGAAATTTTGTAAATAGGTGCGCAATGATGTCGGGAACGCGAAAAGAAGGTCCCGCGAAAACTCGATTTTTGGCTGATTTTCGGTCCCGAAGTGCCGCGTCCCCCCTTAAGTAAACGTGTGTATGTCGTTTGGTTTGTACCGACCCCTTCTGCTGTGTCCATTCACTCCAAGAGCGTGGCGTGGCGCTCGCATGCCGTTTCGAGACCCCGACAACTACTACATCTAAAAAGTTTTGCAAAGGCTCTAGCATGAAGTGATCGGTGGGCACCAACTAAAATGGTGGCAATGAAAGGAAAGACCTCGAGAAAGGCATTCGTAGAAGAAGCGACAGCTGAAAGAATCACCAACCTCTGGCTTTGGGTTTATCTGGACACGGTAGAGCCAGTTTCCCAGTGGGTAGATGACAATGAGCACGTCGCAGAACTCCGTCGGGATGATGCCGCGCCGATAGTCTCGTGTGTGCTCCGACCACACGATGTGGACTTCGTCGTTGCCCAGGTGACGCAACTGTAAAGCAACAGAGGAGTGCCACACTTGAAATTTGCTGACTACTTGTTTTTATGGGTTGTACTGCACTGGGGTCAGACAGTTGAATCACTGCACGATACATTTGCTTCCAATCTCGGTATACCAAGTTACGAGAGACTGTACTTCGTTCTCAGCTGTGCAACGATGTTATGCCGCAGCATGCCAATTATGGACATCGCAATGTACGTGATAACTGTTCTGTTGCCTGCAAGTGTAGCAGGGTAGCTGATAGGTCCTGGCTGACACAGTGGGCACCAGAAGGGAAGGTGACGTAGCAGCACTAGTCCTTACTGATAAGTGTCTTGCTTGCAGTGAGGTGAGGCAAAATAAGTCATAACTCACACTTTCATGCTTCAAGCTGTGAACGAAACTAAGAGGTTGCTGCATAAACAGTTCACCAAGAAACACTTAGTTTCGTATTCACAAGAGAACAAACATATAAATCATCACAGGTTCATAGTTCAAAGGTTCAAAGGAAATATTACGTAAACCTACTTTACGCATTGACCCATACCTATTCAATCCCACACAATGCTCCCAAACTTGCAGTGAAAGATCTCCCAAATTACTGAAGAATGAATTATCACACAATGACAGCAATAATAACTAGGACAACGACGAAAGAGTTGCAACAAGTACCTTTTTTGTGATGGAGTCCTTCTCAACAGCCGGAATTCGTGTAGAGACATGGAATAGAACCTCCATGAACGAGGTAGCGTAATACGGTGCAGTGCTACCCGTGCTCTTGTTGGTCTCGAGACCACCATTGTAACCAGTGTGCACCTCCAGATCAACCTGGGTCGGAAAAGCAGAACGTCACATGCGTGTGCAACAGCTCTCGATTGCCACGGCTAAATGAATGTATGAGATTGGTGGGTCTCCTTGACCTGTTGCCCCAGACTTGTCTGAGTAGCCTGAGTACACAAATGTATGCCGACTGAAAGTAGCACCTCTGGCAGTCTGAGATGACAAATCAGACACCTAGTGCTTTGACTTGAAGCTAGTTTTAAAAAACCAACCCTAATGCATGACTTAGGCATGTCGAGATGACACTTGCACCGGCTCCAACCCTATTACATTACGTTTTTTGGTGTTCGTGTATTGCATACTGCCGAAGTCACATCATTCAAATCCGATTCATCGGGTGCCACAATGAGCCCTGTTTTACGTAATGGGATAGCGTTGGGGAGCTCGTTTCTCCGAAATTCCGACATCGGCGTTGGAATCGTTGGTTGTGACTGAAAAATCGTCATCTTATGTGTGACCGAAAAATCGAGAACGATGCAAATAAAATAAATGATAAAAAAATCCTGGGTCAGAGTGGATACCGAACCAGGGTCGTCTGCATTGCAAGCGGATGTTCTACCACACGGCCATGTGTCTGCTTGTGAATACAGTGAAAAGAACTTCTTCTGCTTGAAAATGCAGTGAAAGTAGCTTTCAGGCTTTAAAGATACACGCATTTCGTATACATGCTTCACAATGCAACATGAAATATTGGACTAATGATGCGTGGTACAAGTGCCCATTTCCAGCGGGCGTCAGAACATGTGATTATCACAATGACTTCGTGGTTTAAAGCCAGTCTGCTACTACAAAAGCCATACACGCTACTCCGCCTTTTTTAAGGCCACATAGTGGGGACATAGCAAGTTTGGAAAGGTTTCATGCACCAAGTACGTACTAGGAACAGGATGTCGCTATCATGTTCAACTTCTAAAGGTAATGCTTCAGAGTCCCCTAATTTTTTTTATGCATTATATGACTCCAATTTTAACATGTGATGCACATTAATGTCCACTCTCATATACAGCCTTTAACTAACTTGATCCTCATTTTATGAATATACATTTTTTTCAGGCTTTTTGGACAACTTTCACTGGCGCTAACAGGGTGGTGTGAAAGATAGCAAAAAGTGCCACTCGGTGCTCCTGCCCTAAAAGGCTGGTCTTTTTTTATTTGTACGGTAAGCTGAAAGACTACTAAAGTAGTGGCTTACCTCCCAACCAAGACCTGCAACGAACTCTTCAAAGGCACGGCTACCGCTACTATTCATGAATATAGAGTTCTTGTCCTCCTGGCCTTCTGCCACGTAGATCACAGCTATTTTGTGCGTTTCACGGCTGCAATGACAAACGGCATGACTATGTCAGGCCACAAGCTCTGCGTGTCTTGGAAATTTGTGTGTTCAGATACCACCGGCCAAAAGGGTGATTTTTTGTCAACTGTAATTCATTTCAATTCACGTCACATACGCCACAGGTAAAGACGACCCCCTGAACTTTCAATTGTCTGTTAGAATTCATTTGTTTGTGTCCAACAATAACAGCAACAAAAAAACAAGCCTCTAAAAAAATTACCCTTCTTTGATTTAACCCTTTCAGATGCCACCAATGAATAATTAATTGTCTGTAGGTGCATCAGACTGACACATTATTTCACTCGGTATTTTATTGAAACAAAGATGGTTTCATAACACACCAATATATGTGTTTCAAAGTGATTAAATATTTGATTACAATGAGGCCATTGATGTTTTACTTTTGCATGAATAGAATTACACTTCAGGCTAGAAATATAGTGCAAATTATTTTTTGGTTTTGTTTGTTTAGGGAAAGAAAAATTATACAATTGAAGTAACTCAAGGGAAGCGGCCCATCGAACAGCTCGTCAAAGGACAAGTCGCACATGGTACCGCCTTCAGAAAAGTGATCGTGTGCAACAGAACACAGCGAAATGAAGCTACGCGAAGACAGATTTATTAGGCAGGAGGTTTAATTCATCCAAACATTAGCATATTTTGCTCTTTTTTTACCCGCAAGTCTACACAAATAACAAAAACAAGTGATATACACAACTGTGCACAAAGTAATCGTAAGGGGTAAACACAAAAGAGGTTCACAAAATGATCATGGCTTGTCAAGCAAAGGCATCAAACATCTTTCTCACATGTTTCTTAGGTGCAAGAACAAAACAGAAAACTGTAAGCTAGAAATGCCCTGACCAAATAAAAACAGTATACCTTAAAAAACTTATATTAAGTGTTACATTCAGAACATGGGTGACAAAAGCTGACTAAATCAGAGTTTGTTAGTGCAAACGTGTCCCGAGGAGTGGAAGAAAGAAATAATAAAAAAAAACGCACCACATTTGGTTGTCGAGGTTCCGCAGCTCTCGCAGCAGCTTCTCGTTCTTCTTCACAAGGTCAAATTTCGGCCTGCGACAACAAAAGAAGAGTGCAAACATCGCAGGTAAGCTGGGTAAACGATCGTGCATACAAGGAGCTATAAGACATAACAAACGTACACGTAATGTTAAAGCAGCTTGCAAGAGATAAAGAAGCAGGCTAGGACTCGCAGGCAACGACGCCAGTAACATCAAGTGCGCAGAAATGAAGACAAAGAAGGCTACACTAAAAGAGACTTGAGACTTAAAACAAAACCACACGACTACTGAGTTGCTTTTACGTCTTGATGAGGACAATTGATCAAAAAGCTGTTTCGGTGAACATTCCGAGTAAAAAAAGAAGAGAAACATCAATAATAACACTGCACAATTATGGGGCAACCATACTGACATGGTCGGGCAACACTCCAGCTTGATAATGCAAATATTTCAAAGTAGTTCGTACGAATTTTGTGGACTAGCTTTACACGTGAAAGATGCCAGTGAATGAAAACTTGTACACTGCCAATGCTCTCCAGGCCTTTCTGTCACAGTAGAAGTATTACAAAAATTTTGAAAAGAAGAAAAAATGCGGCATGCCCAAGTGCTACTGTCCTGCCGCATCCAGAAAATGGGGTGTGGCTTAAGAGTAATACACAATCTACAGAGAGAAAATGGGGTGTGGCTTAAGAGTAATACACAATCTACAGAGACAAAAAAAGCCAGAATAACTAAAAATACCCTAACGTGCCAAAAAAGAAAAGTGAAGGAAAAGATTGAGACTTGAAGTAAACCAAATTTTACCTCAATTTAGTACTCACAGAATGAAACTTTAAAATTTAGGGCTAAGCCATGCACATACTCTTCATTTCCTGCATCTACAGTTCGTGCAATGTCAGCTTAATTTTGACTTGTACACCTATGGCAAAGCCAACATTACCATTAGCAACTGTATTTGTGGTCACATGATGTGGTTATCATGAGCAACTGCTCACAACAGTAGTTATACTAAAAAAAAAGGTAAAACGATGCTGTGTTTGAATCTGTGAGTACTGTACATGAGAGGTTCAAGAAAAAAGTAAGCAGTACAAGTATCAAAGCTTTTGAACACAGCTCAGCGACCACTGTCTATGAGGTCTCTAACCTCTTTTCCCATGCGAAGAAGTTGAAGTTTTCCAGAAGCAGCCGTGAGTACTGGAACGGCGACAGTGGCTCGGCTGGATTTGGAGGGGTGGCGGCCTTTGCCAGCATCCTGCATAGCAGTGCAACGAATCTAGGAAATGAGCGCGTTCCGGTAGATATTTCACACATCACCAACAGTGTGATGGCCGAACTGAACAATGTCAATATGTAGACTCGAAACAGCAATTGCATCAAGGCATTTTTTTTTTAAATTTTGGAAGCAATCCTAAGTCTTGATTTAGGTGGCTGGTAAGTGGCACTTCCATGTCAGTGTTCTGTGGCCTGGTGTATCTCTTGGATGAACTTTGTGCTCAACGTGCTGTTGAAGCGGATCTCAGAGGCCGAATAAAAAATGCACTTGGTTCTCATCTGCTCCACCGGGTGCTGCTATGATGCCCGCTGCTCACAACAAAAATGTATGCTCTTTCAATGAACTCACTTTATTTTTTAACCTGGCCCCTACGTAAACTTATGCTTAAATATAGTATGTATCAACCATGAACTTTAACTAGAACCATCAATTTTTCACCAGTTTCATCGTTTAAAACATTTTCTGAATATTCAGAAAATGTACTTTACAGTAGTTCTTGGAAGAGAAACAGGAGTGTCAGTCGTTGCTTGCGCTACAAAAAAAGCTGTGATAACAGTGCACAAATGTGATGGCTGGATAAAAGGCAAGAGTAATTGAGTGGTAAACAAAGATGATATACTTACCTAACAATGCTGTACAATTTCATGGTCACAGAGGCAACATACAGAAAGTTCAATATTGTCAAAAGATAAGTAAGGTCCTATTGTATCACTGGTTTATCTAAAAGGGGCATAATGATACCAAGAATATATAAAAAAATTAACAAAAATAACCCCAGCCTCGTTTTTACACACTATTGCTGATGTTTTATTGGACATTCATCAAAAGGTCTTCAATTAGTCTTTTATGTTGTTCATCAACTCCCCTTCACACCATTTGATGAAGTGAATCATAAAAGCTGTCTGCCAGAGGCCAAAGCCTATGCAACTTCTTTATATAGTTATCATAAGTGGATGAAACATGTTTTATACGTGTAACAAGTTCGTGACTCTATAAGTCATAGATGGTGTCATTACATACAGTCATATATAGAATAAAATTTTTATATTTGAGTGCCCAAGATGGAATTTGTTCTTAAAAAGTGCTACTATTCTAAGATCACAATCTTCCAAAAAAACAGTCACATTAAAGCTAATCTGCATAGCATAAACCACAGCAACTGGCTTGTTTTATAGAACAAACAATTAGAAACTGAGTGCAAAAATCATCTTCTGAATATTATTCACCATTTAGCAACAACTTTTACAAAATTACTGGAAATGCAATGCCAGTGGCTAAAGTCCCCATGCATTTTGGAGAGACTGGGAATGCTGTACATATTTACCGTGTCTAAAAATGCACCGAATTATTAGTTGACCAAGTCGGTTGTAGTTGACGTGACCAGGACTAACCCAGGTTTGGTCAGAGATGACTCGACCAAGTTGACTCAGACTAAATCTGGGTACCGCCCTAACCAAGTTCAATTTGACTTGTTTGCCTCTAGATGAAGTAATGCCCAACATTAGCATGCCCGCAATGTACTGGGCATACTGTACTTCACTGAACACATTCATCAGAGGCATTGCATTGTTTCTAAGCATTCAAATCAAGACACTCTGACTGAACCTGGGTCAACCCTGACCAAGTCAACTCTGACCAACTTCTGACCAAATCCATTTGACTTAGTCAAGTATGGACAAATTGATGATGATGATGATGATGTTGATACGTGGTGCTTAATGGCGCAGAGGCCATTTGATGGCCAAAGAGCGCCATTTCATGACACAAGGGATATGGACAATGATTACGGTAGGCGGCTGTATAGGGGTCTTAAAATTCTATGCATCAAGGCCGATAAAAGCGTAGAAGTATTAAAATCACGACAGTGACGTGAAATGCATACAGTGAGAATGGATGGCAGAAGGTCGTGATAATAAAACTGTGCTGGTATATGGCACCAGCACAAGTGCCTTTGTACACCTTGTATACAAGGATCTGGAGGTAGTATGTGCTTTGTTTATTGTAATCATCGTAGCAGCAACCTCTTTTCAGAGGTCGTGCCACAAATTTCCTAAGTCCGAACAAGGTAGTGCCTGGTATTAGCACACCCAGGACACTTTTTGAGATTCACTGGAAGGTACTTATCGAATGCATGGCTGTGATGCGAAGCATTCAAGTTGAGCAATAGCTTCGGGCAACATTCCCGGAGAAAGGCTTAAGTATGCTTACAACATAGCCAAGCAAGCACTCACTCGGGACTGTAGGCGGCCTGCGCGGTGTGCTGGACCTCCTGGGTGTGCTGGTTAAGCAGCAGGTGTACGGTCTCGGCCTCGCGAATGCCCGCCAATTCGTCGGTCGCCTTGGGTGCCGAGTTGAGCCGCTGGCAGGGCAGCTGCAAACACTCTGGGCTCGTGTGCCCAATGTACTGCAGCAGCTGCAGAGAAGGCAAGGCAAAAAGCACACAACCGCTTAGCGATGCTACAGCAATGTGCTGCGCAGTGGTGTGAAAGATTGGCATCAGACATGTTATCATGCAATTTGTTCATTCAAAAAGCATTTGAAGTATTGCGCCAGGAACAACATGTTTAACGAACATAGGCACCAACTCGCCCAGAAACGAGTTTTTCGAGAGCATCAATGCTTTTTTTCTTCTTCAAGAGAAATTTGCAACGCTCACATCATCCAGGTTGTCGTAGTTGTCTTGCGTGTTTTCTAGCATGGGCAGCTGGTCGGGCGGCCGATGGAGGGGACTCCGGCGCCCCGACTCTCGAGCAGCAGCGTCGGCCTGGCAGCGCTGCTGCTCCTGAAGGTCTTGGCTTCGGCCACGGTGAGTCGTGTAGTGAAGGCACGGGTCGGGGACGGGGCCTGCATGATACAGCAAAAAAGCAACGATCAAGGAGAACTCGATGACTTGTTTTTAAAGAGACATTAAATGCAAATATTAAGTCAATGTCGATTGCAATAAATAGTGGTCAAGAAACCTCGTGACGCCACTTTTGTGCCAAGGACGTGATTTTATTTTAGAATAAGCACTTATTTTGAAACGAAATCATGTCCTGGTGGTCCGCATCGCGTTAGTGCACTCGAAATCGCCCGCCTGAAGGTGATCTTTCGGACATCATTGTTGTCGTGCCCAACGTTGCCTGCCTTCACTGTGCGGCCACTGGCAACAGTAGCAGCAGAGCAAAAGTTGCAGGAGCCACAGCTGCAATAACAGCCATTGAAGAATTTTCTGCTTGCTTGGTTCAACTGAGCACCATTAGATGGCACCACCTAGTTAGCCTAACCAGGCGTTTTTTTTTTTTTTTTATAAATCAAACAGAAAAGGACAAGCAGCATTTTATCTTGTCTCTTCATGTACGAATGGTTATTTTTTTTATCGCAGCTAGTTGGATTTTTAGCTATTAGCTTGTAGTCGGACACCAAATTGTCATCGGGATCATTTCACGAATGTCCCACGCGTGGCACACATCGTGTGGTACATTAAGCTTAACTTATCGGTAAGCAGGGCACTTCTGTTGATAATATTGCCGTTTTGGATGTTGTCGTTACATTGAGCTTTCACTCTGACATAAATTGTTATTTGCCTTTAGTGTTTCGTCCCTTTAAGTATACGCGAAAGCACACGGACTCCCGACTCATGTTATAGCACAAATGATTTTTGTGGTTTTCATGTCTTTATTAAAGGTACACTAAAGAGCACATTAATATTTCACGTATTAGTAAAGTACGATTTCACAATTCCGACAACACCACTCCTACCGTGGTGCGACACTTGGCAAGCGAGAAAACGCGCAAAAAGAACATGAGAGTTGAGATGCCACCTCGGGATTTCCGCACTAAACACTGCGTCGTAATAGATTTTGAAGGTGTCTACTGGGCCCTACGTAGCTTCTAGTCAATAAAAATCAAGTACATTGTCATCTGTGGGTGCCATAGACCTAAATTACAAAGTTTTAGAAAATTTCGTCGAGCCAGTGCCACGAAAATACCGAAAAACATTTTGAAATTTTCGACGTCATGCGTGGCGGTTATGGCGATCTATTTCAAAATGAAATTTTAACCTTGACATCCTCCACTAATATTAAGCTTATGATAGTGAAACGATCGGGATTAGAGTTCTCAGAGTGCAGTTTTTCAATTTAAACCAACCAATTGTTTCTCTTTAGCGTCCCTTTAAACATGCTGTAAATACAGTTCACAGCTGACATTAGCCAACATTATCCAGAATTAGTTAACACTTACCATAATTTAGTCAATGCTAGCCTACGTTAGCAGCCATTCAGCCATGCTAATGCAACATTAGACAATGCTAAGCAGGGTTTGGGTGGAAATCTTGTATACTTTCAAGACATTTAGCATAAATAAGTTGGCAAATTTATCACTCTCTTAAATCTCAAGCTTTGAATAAAAATGTCCGTAAACTTTGATATTTAGTTACATTAAATATTACATCAATTGTTGAAGACATTTCTGACTTTAATTCCCGTAACAATATAGCCCCCTCAGCAGACTATCAAAACATGACGCATTCATCCTGGCAGAGTTGCCAGATCCTCGAAGAAAAAAAGAGTCACAAAATTAGCCAAACATGACTTGAGCTTAGTCGAATTATCACCAGATGCTGGCACTTAGAAATACAAAAATACACATCACAGCAATGTTTATCACATCAAAATAGAGTAAAAAAAAAGATCAGTTGACTTCCTGAAGGAGGCATCAAGATTTGAAAATTGTCAATTAATATTGTACTGGCAGTCAAGTGTACAGTACCGTCCACTGTTAAAGGAAACACTACAATGAGCACCGTTCGAATTGCGGGACCTCAAGTGGATAAGGAAACAATGCTTATGCGGGGCACTAGTCTGTCCAAAAGAGCCAGAACAACCAGTCACCACAAGTTTCGTGTATATCTAAGCCACTGTGCTTTTGCAAAAGAATGAAATACAAATGTGCTGCGTACGCAAGTGTTCCCTTTAAAAGTGGACCCAACTGTACACTATCGAGTTCAACTTTGCCAGCATGCCCCGCTTCACTGTTAATGTATCCAGTGAGAAAAGTTTTTTAATCATGTTAATGCAGAGTAGAGTGACTTGTTGGGCAAGTTAGTTAATTAATACGGTAGCTTTTAGCGCTAAATAAAGATGAGAGACGTACAAGCACCTTGCGTTCCTTGAAGTACGCACAGATAACAAGCACGAAGAGCCAATTGAAACCGAAGCGAAAATCGGGGGTGCTAACATGTTGCAGAAATAGTCCCGATCTTTTCTGGGCGACAAGCGACATTTTTCTAGTTTTCCCAGAAACCTGCGACGTGATGGCAATGAATGGCCCTTCGCGACAACCACAGCGACAGCAAATCCTGTTGTCGTCACTAGAAAATTGCGTGCACGTGGGCGGGCCTTAAAGTTTCATATTTGCAAGAAGCGACCGTCGATTGGCTACGGGCGATTTCGTGACCTTCGCTCGCTGTGTGCTGGTCAGCTGCAATGTCTCTACACACGCACCGTTTGTGAATCCCGCAGTGGTGCGTACATAATCGAGAGAGACTGGGGACATGGCACACGCATAGATAGAAAAAAACAATATGGCGCCTGGCAGCTGGCAAAGAAGGGGGGGGGGGAGGAAGCAAGCCGAGATGTGTAGGCATAATCATAAATCAATGGAAGAGATCCAACAAGCAAGGAGGTGTCAGGTGTCGGTTAGCGGGACTGCAGCGGATGATTGTAGGGGGTGCATTTATTACATGGGAAAAACAAACAACAAATTTTGACAACTGATGTTGGGGGTGTGTTTATTATGCGGGTGCATTCATTACGCGAGCAAATACATTATCTCTCTCCTCTCTCTTCTTTTTCCTTTTTTTTCTTTTTTTTTATAGGAGGAGAAAGTGAGTTTCTCACCAGGTGGATAGGAGCCTGCGCGGCAGCCGTGAGGTCCGTACAGTGTCAGACAGTCCCAGGAAAATTTGCCACTCAGGTCGCGCACGATGGCCCGCACTTGGGACTTGCCTGTTGTCAGACCCACGCTTGCGGCACCTCCCGAAGTTTCCTAGAAGCAGTAAGCAGCAGTTGCAGGCACTTCAACATAATCTGCTCGGTTTCTAACCACTTGCATTTTTCAACAGACAGGAGCACTTTAATGAATCGTACTAACTGTCCAAAGAGATTTCTAATGAGAATATAAAAACGAAATAAAAAAGTTGTTTTTTTTTTTCAGTAAAAGATTTCTGGTGATACCAATAGTTCAGCTGGATACCACAAGTTCATAGACTGTCTTTTCAGGCCATTCGGCTTTAATCAGTGTTAATAAAACATGAAAGGCTGCACTTGTGAATTCCAGCCCGGTAGAAAAGGTCACTGTAGTAAGCAGCAGATTTGAGGCAGTACACTCATCTCTCAATCGCAAAACTGCCAAAATTCAGCTGACTTATTATTTTTTTTCATGCTATTACAAGAGGTAATGGTATGTACACTTTATTCAGTTAGGCAATAAAAACACATGCATGAGCAGTAGAATACACGAGCAGACACTCCAAATGAAATTAAAAAGCTGCCCAACAAAAACGAGTGACACCAGCAGCATCATAGATGGATTAAATCTTTCCAAGTTTCCACAAGTCAGTATTACAGTATTCTAGCCACAATTAACAACTGTGCCCAAGTTCAACATTTAGTAGCTGAAAAAGTGGAATAGAGCTCCAATCTAGAAGCAAGAAGCGAAACACTATGCCCTATTGCTACTGCTGTTGTGAAGGTAGTGTAGTTGTAGACAGGTCTACATACAGCAAATTGGAAACACATGCACTGAATAATTTTTCCTTTCATTTTTAGAAAAAGAACAATTCTTATTTATTAGGTTATAACAAAGTCAGGATCTGTCAATAATTTCCATGTCTTGATTTCTCGTCTCTTGCGGATTAGTAGTTTTAAGCTGCTGCTTTCAAATTTCATCCCTTCGATGCGTTCCGTAATCCTCTTCCAAACATTTTACTAGATATTACACTGCATTACATACAGCATGAATTTTTTTTTAACAACAAAGCAACAATTCCTTGCAGTTCAGTGCTGACGCTTGCACCTTTTCTTGTTTTGCTTTTAAACAGCAACAGTTAACTGTAACTGGACTTTCGTTATGCCCCCAGCAAAAAAAAAATAATAATAAAACGCTTCATCGCAACGGCAAGTGCTCCACTTACCTCGGCAGGAATCTCGACGAGCGACAGAATGGACATGTTGTTGAGAACAAAGAGCTGTATGTTTGGCGCGGAGAAGACCTCCTTGGACAACTCGCTGTCGCGGAGGGCAGGCACGTCATCTTGCTCTGCCACCAGGCTGGTGAGCTGAGCCGCACCCAGGCCCATCGGAAAGTGGCCGAGTTGATGGAGTAAGTGACTCAACACCTGAAACGAGCAAGAACTGTCAACGCAAGCTCTCCGGGACTGAGAAAATACCCCAGCTTTTTACACGCATAAATGTACTGAAAGACATAGAGTCAGTGCTGTACACAGTGCCATACCCTCCTCTGTCTCAAGACTGCCCCCAACGAAAAAAGCTTTTGCAAAACTGTATTATTTGACTCCTTGTCCTTAAAAACAAACACAGAAAAATTATGAATTTGAAAAATTGAACAGCGGTCTCAAAATGTGATCGTACCCATTTGCGTACTTCTGATCGTTTGAAGTCTCTCAGATTGAGTGCAACAAAAATATCAGACCGAAATGACTTTCAGTATGATCTACAAGACGCCCACAGTTAAAGGAATGTACTATAGACGTCTTTCACGCTATTACTAATAGAAAAAGCTTTCGCTTATCACGAGAATGCAGCCAAGCGCTCGTGCAGTACTCAGTCATTTTCGTTCGCTCGTTTTGCGAATATGACTCGACAAATGGTCCTGCTTCTCAGGGCTTCGTGAAAGGAACTCATTCTTATTGTGCCAAGACAAATTTGGACACACGGATATCGAATTGTGATGATTTGTAGCCTTTAAACAACGGTATCCAATTGGGTACCCAGGGACCGAGGAGGATACATTGTGCTGAGCACCTTGCCATACATTTTGCCATACACTGTGTGAAAAAGATTCTCCTTATGAACAATCAAGAGACATAGAAAAAAAGACTAACCATTCTCGCTGCAAGCTTCACGTTGCCACTCTTCCGAAAATCACTCTGAAGCACAGCCGGCGGCACAAAACTTGCGATGGAACGGGCAATCTTGCCACCACCGGGTAGGTGTGCCAAGGAACTGGAGTGTGGGGTCTTGGCGTGGCCTTCACCCGGCTGTGCTTCGATGTCCCCGAGGACAATGCTCGGGCAGAGTGCTTGCAGAAGGGATAGGACATCCGGCCGCAGCAGCGGGCTCTTGCCCGCCAGGATGTGGTCCAACACCTGCCACAAAACAAGAACGTTCAGTGGGTCAATTCTTTCTCGTACCGCTCACTTGCAACAGCGCAGGTGCATGGAACCTGGAGTGAAAAACTTAATAAGATTTGACCTTTCAACTACAAATAAAGAGATCTGTGGCAAAGCTAAAGAATTAAGCTTAGTTTCTTTTCTTTTTTTAGATTAGTCAGTGACCTATTACACTTTGAGGAGGAGAAGGAAGAATAAGCCTCTATAGTACGGAACGGTATAGCGGTGCAAGTTCCGCTTGTACCCTAGCTGCGAGGTCTCCTCATTCCAGGAACCCTCTGGCCTATGCTGCCTCCTTGGCCCTGGCAACGAGACGTTGTTGTTGGTCTAGGTCTTTCGAGGAGAGCTTGGCCTCCAACATTTCGAGAAGGTGTTCGTTTCTTTGAACAGTGTCACAGGTATTCGGCGGCGGCAACAGTTCAATATGTGTGTTGCATGGGCACTTGAGGATCATGTGGGCCAATGTGTCCGGTACGTTGCAAATCAAGCAAAGATATTCGTGTAATCTTGGGTGCTGTCTGTGCATCAGTATACAATGTGTGTAACAATGTGTTGCTTTGAAGACTCCTTAGTAAGGTGCTGTCTTCTTTAATAAGCTTCGAGTGTGGTGGTGGATACTCTCTCCGTGCCAGCCTATGGCGCTGCAGTATTGCGGAGTAGGTAATACTTACGGTCTCAGCCTCCGTGGAAGCAGTCCTGGCGTCTAGAATGCGGGTCGTGGCATGAGCCAACTCGTTCCCCTCCAGCCCTTCGTGCCCAGGAACCCATGTCACGCAGGTGCACGGCATCGAAGTGCTGCAGCGCTTCGATATCTGGAGTGCTTGGGTAGACACTTGACCTTTGCAATAATTTCACATGGCTGCTTGAGAATCTGTGAAGACCACAGCTGCATCTAAGCATGTAGTGGTAGCTGGTGCGATTGCAGCTTCTTCTGCAGTTTCTGGGCTTCGGGCACGAACTGTGGCAGATGCGAGCTCTATGCCTCGAGAATCAACAACGCTCTAAGCGTTGGCGTCTCTACCGGGATACTTGGCTGCGTCTGTATATGTGGCGTCCGGATCTTGGCTGTGATTTCGCCATAGAGCATTCACTCGTGCCTGCCTTCTTTTCTGGAGATGCGTGGGGTGCATATTGCACGAGTTTTGTGCAATGCAGAAAGATTTGCAGATGTTTGGCGGAAACCATTCTTTTCGATCCGTGTCTGTGTCGGCTATAAAGGTTTCGCTATAGTTCAGTCGTTGTAGCACTGACCTTCCAGTGGGTGAGAGCCTTAGCTGTTCTAGTTGACTAGCCTTGTGTGCTTCAGCTAGTTCCTTCCAGGTATTGCGCACGCCCACCTTCAGAAGTTTCGCAGTGGAAGCAGTGGATGGGAGCCCTAAAGCGATTTTGGTGGCCTTACGAATGATGATGTTCAGCTTCTCTACCTCTGTGTTCTTCAGGGCGAGGTAGGGAGTGCCATAGGTTATTCGACTGCTAAGGAGAACTTGCATCACACGCAGCGTGTCTTGCTCTCTAAGGCCGCTTCAACGGTTAGCGATTCCCCTCACTAGATGCGTTAACCGAAATAGCAAGCACTGTAGTCGAGGAAAAGCGGCAGCCCCGGACCCATCTCTGTGGATGTGGAGCCCCGGTACTCGTAATGTTTCCACTTTCTTGATAGGCGTTCCATTGAGGGTGACACTGAGATTGGGTTCATTGTGGGCAGCTGGCCGCCCTCTCGTTCTGCACTTCAGTATGAGGTGTTCCGACTCCTCGGAAGCAAGTTTTAAAATTTTTAATGTCATGTGAGGCAAGGACACCATATTAGATAAGCATCTAAAACTGTATTACCACATTTTATCATTTTATCTGACAAAAAACACACAACTGCACCACATTATAACATTAATAAGTTCCATCCCATAAAATTCATCCCCCAGGGAGTGGCTACTAATGATTACTCATTGATGGGTTAGTGAGTTGGCAACTGTAATATTCATCAAGCATTTATCATTCTTTATTATCCCCAGCCAGCAACCTTACTAAGCATTGGAATCACAAGTTCCAACTACGTTCAACTCTGTTCTAATAATCAGGGTTTTATGTACCAAACTACATTATGAGTACGAGGGATGGCACCGTGGAAGGCTCTGGAAATTTTCAACATCTGATCTTCTTTAACATGCACCTAAATCTAAGCAGATGGGCCTCCAGCATTCCACTTCCATCTAAATGCGGCCGCCACTGCCGGAATTCAATCCCGCGACCTTCAGGTCAGCAGTCACGCCCTTTAACCACTGTGTTGGGTCTAAACTATCTTCCCTTATCGTTCACTACCTCCTCTGAATAAGCCATCAGACTAACACAACTTTAGATTAAACCATTATAAACGATGTCTGATGAAAACTACAAGTCTTACGTTTAGTGTGGATAGCAACGGAGAGCAGCCGTCGGCCTGCGGTGTTGTCAGGGCACGCAGCGGAATGTTCATGCACCAGTCGGCCAGGCAGAACAGAAGCGACAACACCAGCTGAAACGTAGGAACATTGCGCTTGGACTGTTACTGAAATCGGCAAGTACCGCAGCTGCCAGAAAAAACAATGGCAGATGTATCACGAGTCAGCTTGGCACCCTTTAGCACGAATTTTACGAAAGCATAGTTATGTGTAAGCATTTGAATTAGCGGTAACACTCTCAAAACAGTGGCATGTTGCTTAAAAAATAGTTATAGTCCTGCTGTACTGAAACCCACTGCCTTGTGCATCTGCTTTACCATTTTACAAGACAGTAATTTATCCATTGGTGATGCCAGAGGTTGTCACCATTATCGACTAGCCAGTCCTTATTATCATCAATCAATCAATCAACCTTACGCATAAAATCAAAGCACTAAGAGCAGTGACAGGCAATAAATACAGTACAAGTGACATAAGTGCCTAAGAAGAAGACCAAGACAGCTCTGCCAGATTTAGGGTTAACGTAAGAGGGAAAGGCGCAGGAACTAGAGGACAGGCCTCCGCGAATAAGTGCTTTGAATACTTCAACAACTATTACAGCATTTGAACTGGTTTCAACACAGTCTTAGGTTCTGTAATTTTGAAATGACCGAATAAACTATTGCGCATAACTTACCTGAAAAACCGTTTTGCCATGAAATCGCTTACTCGAGAAATCTACACCACCGCAACGCCACGCGTCTGGGTTGAGCACGCATACTAAGTGCACACTAATCAATTTTTTATGTTAAGTTTGAATGTGCCTGTACAGTGTTGGATATGCTAAGTATGGCAAATTTTAAAACCTCACATATTTTGCTGCTTTTAACTAGAATTCTACTACTATTAAAGCTCAGTTCAAAAATTATTCAAAAACACTACCATAAACTTCGACTTTGAAACCAGAAGTTTATATAATCAAACAAGCTTACCGCAGAGTACAAGCTGTTTGTAAGCTTTGCGCTTATGAAAGCAACACACTCGAACCTCATTATACCAAAGTTGCATCTTACACTAAAATCAATTCGTTATATTCAAAAACTCGTTATAAAAGTTTATTCCTCACTCTACATCTATTGCAAGACTATTTTTCATTTACTTCATTATAACCAATATGTTGTTATATCTTGGTTTGTTATATTGAGGTTTGATTGTACATCCGTCAGAACTTCACTAAATGTGGTTCGTTCTGACCAGATCACACTTTATTTTGCAAATAATACCCAACACAATAATAAGTTGATGAACTAGCTGGGAGAGTACCAAGAAACAACATGGGTATTCACCTTTTTGTTCTCGTCCTTAACATCAGAATCATCGCTGGGGAGAAGGTTGTGGATAGTAGATGCTACCACCTGAGTGTGCAGATGGAAAAAAAAAAAAGAGATTATAGCCTGAAATCCTATCTGAGGTCTTATGTAGAAAGAATCAGTGTACACAGAAAGGGAACAACTTCTAGAAAGTCACCGTAGAATGTAGAAATTCACAGTTCATGCATTGAAAACAAAGATGTGCTCAGAATTCGTTCAGTGAATGCTTCTTCGAATTCCCTGAGTTACAATTTGCACAATGCAATTAATTGCAATATGCAGCATATAGCAAAAGGATAAAAGGGCGAGATTAGCGAGTCTTCATTAATTAAGTAAATTATGTATTTCACTTCGCTAGCAAGTAATCTCAGATTTTTAAGATTTTTAGGATTTTTAAGAGTTATGCGTACTCTAGAAAAATGATTGATATGTGGGGTTTAACGTCCCAAAACCACCTTATGATTATGAAAGACGCCGTAGTGGAGGGCTCCGGAAATTTCGACCACCTGGGGTTCTTTAACGTGCACCCAAATGCTCTAGAAAAAGAGAAAACTCTGGTAACGTAAAAAACTGTTTTCTCAAGACTAAGCTAAGGCCATGACAGCCATGTAGCTAGCAAGGACGACGAGACAGCATGATGGCCAGAACAAGAAGTGATATCGGTTTATTCAGTCACTGATTATATAGGCGCACGATAGCGCGCCGTGAGTATCTGCGCAGGTCCAATGCGCAGTCGAGATGCAAATAGCCTTGCCGGATACAAGCCATATGAAGCTAACAAATAATGATAATATAATAATTTCTGGCATTTTACTTGCAAAAGTCAAGATATGACTATGGGGAATGCTGTAGTGGGGGGGCCACAGAATTTCGTCCATCTGGTGTTTTTTAACATGCAATGACATCATGCGGTATACCCAATTAATAACCAGGACAAGGATAGAGGATGCTGCATGTAGCCTCAAGAAAAGATGCGATTTGAAAGAAAAAACTGCGTTAATCTGTAGCCTAGGTCAATTAAATATTTGCTGTATATATAGGCTCTTATGCTGACTTTAAAAGTGTAATTAGTTTTATAGTAAGTTCTACAGCTTTTAGTTTTATGCCATGAGGATGTGTGACGTATAGCTGGTTTTGGAAAAACTTTTTCTGCCACTATACATTCATGGTTCTCAGCCATTAATAGCTCATATTGCTTTGCGTTAACTGTAGAATGCAGATAACTAACAAAAGAAAATGTATATATGACATCTAAAAGGACAAGAAAAATTGCAGTGCGAGAATGCTTAGAATCCTTAGCGCGTACTGATTATGCACTTTCAGTTGGCAATATAATTATACAGGCGATGTAAAGCTTTAAGGAGACACTTGCACCCTTTACAGGTTTAAGGACTATGTGGGCAAAATTTCATCCCAATTTCCCTATTAGAAGTACTAAAAACATGATGTCCAAACTCAAGAAGTTGTCCAAAATTGCATCCCAAGAAAATTGCATTTTAAATGTGTAAGCGAAAGCTCATCAATGCGGAAAATATACGTTTTTCAAGATGATTTCTTCCATCATGAGAGCTCGGCAATCATAGCTATTGGAGCATGTGGCTTTAGTGGATTCCTCATGCAAAATGTATTGGTAAGTAGCCAGGTAAAAATATCCAGTGGACTCTAGGCAATGAGCTTCTTTTAGTTTTAGTAGCCACCTTGTGCTCATCCAAAGCAATTTTAACCTACTTCAAGGTAAGTAGCAATATTCAGTTTTTTGTCGTGAAAGTAAAGAAACCTATACTTGTCAAAGAAAATAAAACGAAAAATATGTAATTATGAAAAAAAAAAAAATACGTTTTTCGACTCGCATCTCCCCTTAACCCATTGGCTTCCGCGGCCGGCGATCAGCCGGCAGGGTTGACGACGCCAAAAGCGCTTTGATTGGCGAATCGCCGACCACTTAGAAAATGTTTGTTTTTGAAATTGTTTCGTAGATGGCAGCACCGTATTTGAGTTTGCCTTTTGCTTGGTATATTATCAGCTAGATGGACTTAGTTGTTCATACTTGTTACCTGTCTGTAAGTGTTTTTTTTTTTTTTTCTTTAGCGGCAAAGAGTGCACCATCCTGGCTTTTTCGAAACGTAGGGCCATGGAAGGAAACATGGTTTTGCGGATGAAGAAATTCCGAATCGCGTGTTCGACAGTGACCCAGAGTGTGACCTTTGATGATGATGGCAGTGTTTCGTTAGATAATGGGGACTGCCAAACTGATGAATGAATGAATGAATGAATGAATGAATGAATGAATGAATGAATGAATGAATGAAAGCACGTTTATTCCACCTGGTTCACGCTGAGGGCGCTGTGGTGGACAGGGACAGGGCACTATAGTAGAGGGAGGGGGTAGGGCTGCCCCGTTTTATTAACGGACGTCACGGAGGCAGCTGAGTGGGGTCTGCTTGATTGAAAGTGGTGTGGTAGCAGATTACAACAGAGGCGTGGGAGGAGTTGACAGACCAACAACTCGCTTCCTTTCTCGTCATCTTCTTTTCTAATACGGACATCACTGTTTATAACAGCTATGCTTTATTTGCAAAAGCAATCGGCAAGCGGCTCCACCGCACTGAATGGAAAGTCAGTCTCGCTGAGGCCGTTTTCGAAGAGACCACTCTGCCCCTCTACCATGATCGAAGAAACCCGCTTGTCGTGACCTCACCAATGCGCTTACGAGCCGCCGAGTGAGCCAATTTTTCTCACCACATCCTGGCAAAACAAAGTCAAGCAGAATCCACCAAGACTTTGCATAGTTTGTGAGGCACAGGGCAAAAAGTCCGAGAGCCGATGGGGGTGTGAAAAATTTGAAGTTGCTCTTCACAAGCCCATGTACTTTAAACTTTTTCACACCCGAAAATCATACAGAAGCGTGTGATGCAGTCAAGCATTGTTAAGCGAATAAAACAAAGTTTTGTAATTCTATGTCGTTTGTTGCAGATTTTATTGTGGTTTAGATGCATCGACCCATGCCGCAAGTGGGCGCGCAAGTTTTCCGGCGAAACACGTACCAGGCGAGAACGGTCGCGGCGAGTGCAGAAGCTAATGGGTTAACTGAAGCAAAAAATCGTAAGCTAAGGACAAATAAACTGAACAAAAAAAAGCAAGCAAGTTGTCGAGAAAAACACCGTTGTCGTATGGGACTTACTTCGACAATTATGGCTGGAACCTGGTCCATCTGTCCAGTGAGGTGGGCGGCATGGTCGCACAGCAATCGCAGCATGTCGCCAGCAACTTGCGCGATAATGCGGTTGTGATGCTGCATGGAAGACACGAGAGCAGCACATGAAACCGAAATGAGAAGCCTAGCCTGGCACAGCACATGCGTGCGGAAAAAAAAAGCCCCATTGTTTGGCCACTGTGCTTTGTACACTCCCCGCTTTTTTTTTTTTTTTCACCGCCCGTGCCTAGGGAGAAACGAGAGGATTTGGGCCTGAAAGATGCTTGGAGGCACTGGCACCAATTTGCGGTGCGGTCTTGCACGTATTCCAAATAAGCATGCTGCCATTATGTTCTATCGAGCCGCACGCAACTGGGCAGAAAACGTCGTTGCACTCGTCACAGCTCTCATAGGCCAATCACATGTGGCTCGATAGAATGGAACGCTTCGGTGCTTGTCTAGAATGTGTAGAAGATCGTACTGCTGATGGAAAGCTGTCACCATTTCTTGCTCCACATGTTCAAGCAAGAGTTCACACAGCCTCTCGAACAGCTGGTAACTCAATATGTCGGCCACGGTGACGTCAATGCAAGCTACGCATGTTTGGCTCGATTCGCGTACGAACTTGGCCCGGCCCATCTGGTAAAAAGAGTATTCCGCACCTGGCCCAGGCCCGAGGCAAGATGACGTCGGCCTACACAGAGCTCCAGAAGCCTCTAGTACGGAGTGCGTGATTGCTACTACTGGTGGTTCAGTTTCTTGTCCCAACAGGATCGGCAACAACCGAGCTTACCCTTATGGACAGCAGGAGCACCCCAATGGCCTCCCGAGCCTTGGGATGGCCGGTCTGATGGGACAGTTCCTCGTAAGCAAACATCCCCAGGGCACATATCGCTGTGCACCTGCGTTTCAAACACCAGAGACCAGGGTACATTACTTACGCGCAAGTTCTATTACATAACTAGAAGTACAACTCCAGATAATGAATGAATTATCAACCCTGCTGGCTTACACTTCTTGACCGATGCCATTCATAGGAATGTGATGTCCCTTATATGAGATGTCTCTTATAAGTAGAGTACCACGTATGCATTCTCTTATCACCCCCGTATCTCATCAACCTGGCACACTGGCGTCTTTTATACCCATTTGTCACTTATATCAGTCACTCTCATAAAGTGGTTTGACTGTACTTGAACGACGGAATAGAAAGCTTGACCCTTCAGCTTTTCAGTTCTTTGTTCATGCTCTCCTTTTTTGAAAATTGATAACGGTGGCAGCAATTATCTTTAAAATGTTACCGATTACGATAGTAACATTTTCAGTGCCCAATTCACTGAGATACAATATTTATCAAACTAACAGACAATGCTGCCAAGAAAAGTGTCTAGGGAATGTTACTAGGAGTAAATGTAAGTCTGAAGAAAAAAATGTGGAAGATAATAAAGCTGTGTCCTTCGGATAACGCGTCCTGTGCGCTGCTACTGAGCTACAGCGGTGGTCACCCTCCATCACTTTATAAAGCAGTTCTGATTAATACTGTGTCCAGCAGAGAAATAGAGCCCTTAAATTTACACTTCTTTCCTAAATTTACGAATAACCACTGTCTTCACAAGAAATCAACCACTTCCTATTGTCGAAAATAAAGTAAGTATAGTGATTTGAAACAACAACATGCATTTAAGCTAGGTTTGTGCAAACAATGAATTTTAGGTTTGAAGCGAATTCAAAGCGAACATCGAACATATACACTGCATGTTGTAAAAAAAATGGGCTTATTTCTTATGACCAGATTAACCTGCACAATCTTTTTTTTGAAATTGAAACAGGGCCTAAGCAAATGCCATTTTTTGCATCAGAGGAAGTGAAAACAACTTTGAATAGTAGCAAGATTTGACTTCTAGTAGAATGCGAGTGATAGCGTGTAAAATATATCAAGCTTAAAAACTTTCTGTACTACGAGCATATAAGCTTTTAAACTTAAAAAGCTTTTAAGCTTCAAAAAGCTTTTAAACTTATAAGATGAATCGATGTGAGGGTAATATCTTCATTTACCCCTGAAGTGAGGCTTCGCAGCAGTGACAATTTCCCCTGAATGCAAGTTTTCATGGCTTAGAATTTCATCACTGGTGTGAAACTATCTTTACAAGAAGTTACATACTAACTAATGTATACATAAATAGGTGCTTTCAAGGCTTAGCATTTATTCATTGCAGTGAAACTATTTTTACAAGGAGTTACATGCAAATTAATATACACATGAATAAATGCTTTCATGGCTTAGCACTGCTTCACTACAATGAAACCATGCACTTATTCGCTCGTTTGAATTAATACAAAAAGTTTAGTAATATAAATTCAATTCCAAGCAAGTTTATATACTGCATTATTCGTTAGAATATTTGAGGCATTAGAATGTTCGCACATGCCTAATTTAAACTTTTATCTTTTATTGTGCATTATATTGTTTAGAGATCACCTACACAGCTGAGCAGTCAACCAGCAACATAAACAAATCCTTGAATACCGCAGTTTGGGAAACACACATATCTCTAGCTTACCTTGCCACTCCATCTGGGTCTGACTTCCCTGCTTTCAGCAGCAAGTCTACAATGAGTTCCTAAAGATTGAAAAAAAAAAAAAGTCGCATCAAGTAAGTTCCACAATTCATTAGCAAGTGTAAATGATATGATATCTCAAAAGCTTGTGTTCCTCTGTAATGTATTACAGTGCAATTAAAGAAGCACAAGCGAACGGTTCTGCCAAAGCACTCCAATTTGCATAAGCAGACGAGCCTTTGCTGACAACAGGTGTGTGCAAAATTCAGACTTAATTTTCACAACTCTGTAAAATGGCCCGCAATTGCTTCCAACAGATTCGACCAGCAATACTCACCTCGTTTGCTTTCTTCTAAAAATGAAAGATCAGAAAAAAACGTCGCTACAATTGTTACTGCCGCCAGAGCCTCCTCAATTGTTTTCTACGCCAGCCAGATGCGCCCGATCCAGCAATTTACTATTCTCTCCTTTAGCCCTTGCCTTCTTTCTTATGTCAGTCAGCCTTCGTGTCTGCTTCAAGGTCCGTGGGGGAGTGCCCTTTAGGTGGTGCCTCGCAACAGAACTGTGTTCACTTGTGTTCAGATCCGGGAGGGTGACGTCTTGCATCTCTCACGATCACCATGGTGACCGTCACATTGGCTCTCTTAGAGACGCGGTGTTTCGAGATGGCACGCCTCTGTTTGTGGCGCCACCAACAGGTACGCATCTCTGTGAGACTGCTGTATGCGCTGCCTGTAAGAGATTGCTGTGCCATGCGACGTAACAATCCCTGCTGCTCACAAGTAAAGCATCTGCTCTTTTATTGAACTCATTATGTTAATTTTCATTAATTATCCAAGCAGTTAATTGGCTCTTATCACGAGTAAACTTGTGTTCCTATATCATATGTATGCAACGAAATGTTTAACTTGAGCCAGAACCATCAGTGTCATACCAGTTTTATTTTTTTAAACACTTTTTCTGGATATTCGAAAAATTAAAATGAAGTGCTGGACCAAATATGCGAAAAAACAAAGAAAAACCGAGAGTGTCACTCATTATATGTGCCACTTATAAAAGCATTTGGTACCTTGATGCTGGCCGCTGCTGCCAGTTGTGGCGGCTCAGACTGCGTGCACTGCAGCACCTGCAGCTCATTGTAGACGTTCGGGAAGCACACGAGACTGCCCAGTAGCGTCACTGCCTCGACCCGTGGCATCTGCAGAGAAAAAGTGTCCCGGCGATTATGATACTGCCCAATGTGAATTCTGAGAACAGCTGTACAGGTGTTTTGATTGTGTGATAAGTTGAGGCAAGACTGCTTCGCTAACCGGGAGACCGCGGAAGGCAGAGCGTGGGTGCGTTCCACAGCAGCTACTGCCGATTTCAGTAGTATACGGTATCGGTAGACACCCTCACCACATACCTTAGTGACTGGCCTCATTGGCGGCCACACGATGGTCGGCATTCTCGTACAATGTGCTTGGGATTCCCATAAAACGTGAAATCCCCAGCATCCAAACAAGAGCAGAAGATTAAGAAAATGATGTCGGAGACGAATGGAAAACCACGAAAGGCTGGCCACAATTTTAGACGTTGAGTACGTCATTGAGAAAGGCCCTTTAACTGTGTTAAGGCAAGTTTTTTTTTTTTGCTACCTATTTATCTATTACACTCAAACCTCATTATAACTAAGTTCTGTCATGCATGAAAATAAGTTTCTCATACCCGAAAATTTGTTACATCTTGCACAAGAAGTTTATTATACCCAAAAATTCGTTACGAAGGTTTAACCTAACACTATATTTATTGCAAGACTATATTTAATTTACTTTGTTATAACCGATATTTCGTTATATCGAACATTTGGGTGTAGTACAGAGTTCTATAGTTTCTTTATCTACAATGTCTGGTTTAAGTTCATTGTACCCCTCATGTGGACAATAAATTAGCAGTATTCTAAGAGAACTTGTTGTTGGGCTAGTTGGTAAAGCATTTCGAAAAGTTAATTCGAGCGCGAAAACTTGACACAATCACTCACACACGCACACACCCATGCATCAAACACACAGCGCTCACTTCCAACTGATTTATTCATAGCTCGAAGGCTTGAATATATACAGGACACATTGTGCGCACACACACCAAAGAAGGCCAACAGCATATATTATCAAAACGTACAGTTAATCAATGTCATAGCCTTGGAGCGATAAACTGAAGTTCGCTTGGTAACAACAAAATTGAAGGGGCGCTTACACAGTGATCTTTTTTTTTTTCAATGAAAAAGGCCTCTAACACTTCACGTGCAGTTTTACTTGCGCTTCTGCCTAGAATCTTCGTCTCAGAAAATCGTGTGTCCTGTATATATTCAAGCCTTCGAGCTATGAATAAATCAGTTGGAAGTGAGCGCTGTGTGTTTGATGCATGGGTGTGTGCGTGTGTGAGTGATCGTGTCAAGTTTTCGCGCTCGAATTAACTTTTCGAAATAAATTAGCAGCTTTTCCAGTAAAGATTTGGTGTGTACTACAGTGTATTGTGTGTTCATTAGCACGGGTAAAAAACCATAATAGAAAGCTAAGAAAGGACACTGTGCATAGTAAAAGCAAATATACAAAGAATAAGAAACACAAAACAAACAATATGAGCACTTGGAGACTGGCAAACACCACCTTCATAGCCAGTAACGCTGTCCCAACACCTTCAAGACCACACAGCAGTGTCTATGGAGCCACTTGCACTGATATCAGCCATAATCAGCATCCGAAAATACTAGTACTCTGAAGGAAATGATTCTTAGGCTAGTCCGAAGTGCTGTGCTTTTCATGCACAAGAAGCAAAAAATGTCATACAAAAGCTAGAGAATTGCTTTAAATTATCCTGTAAAAACCGCGCTTTGGTCTTTCAGTCATTGCTAGAAAGAAAGAGGCAAGACGCACTCTTGACTTCCTCGTACAACTTTAAACCACAGTAGAGATGGAAGTAAACTTAGACTGAAGCAAACTAAACAGACAATAAAAAGTGGCAGAAATGCTATTACGGCATTAGCCAAAGCTTAGAGCCAGACGACTAAGAGGAAAGTGCTCTGGCACATCAAAGGAACATGCCCGCAATCTATTGCAATGGCGACATTTGCAATTTGAACAGAGCGAAGCTCCCCTAGGCGTGAGCAAGGTCACTCACCCCTTTGATGGAATTGGAAGTTATAATGGTGCTGGCACCATGGATGAAGTTGAGCAGGAGCACGGTGTGGCCGGGGAGCCTGCTTGCAAAAAACTTGGTCCCGCAGTACTTGACAATGGCATTGATAGCTTTCTGCAAACGATAAAAAAAAAATGAATCATTTCAGCTGGCTCTTGCGACGCTTATACAGTGGCGACTCTGTTGGGGAAGCTCATTATTCAGATTACATAGTTGGCACAGCGGTACACAAACACCAAAGACGAAACTGACCAGCAAATACAATGTTCGTAGGCATACTCGTTTCGCCGTTGTGTGTCAATGTTTCGACAACAATCATGCACGTCTAGAGGCCGTTAAATGAACTTTTTTTCTCCCCAACACTTTTAAGTAGGATCTAACGGTGCTGATACAGGTTGGAAGACCCAAGTGGGAAGTCCAAGCTACTGCTAAGACTCGTTCACATCGGCGACCAGGACCGATTGAAAACTGCCACTTCGGTCACAAAGCAACTGCTTTGGCCCAGTCGGTCGCTGCTCGAATTCTCAGACGCACAACAGCAGTGCAAAACCAGTGAACCAATGACATGTGCAGGAATTAACTCAGCTTATCTTACAAGGCAATGGCAACATGAGCCATGTGCGGGCAGACGTCAGTTCTGTGCGGAGACTGGTAAGGGTTGCACACGCAGGTCTGAACATCGCTTGCCTTGAGTTGCTTACAGGTCTCCAGTCGCAAATGGTTGCACAACGGGTGCATGTCGCGTGTATGAATGACCCTTTAGTCCAACAGGAGATTTAATCATTTTAGTAACTAACTGTACCATATCGGCTCAATTCCTTTAGGCCGTGAAACTATCCAGTAATTAGTTTAAAACAAAATAATGACAACCGAATGTCAAAATTAATTGTTTCTTTGGTACATATATCTATGCACAGCACTGACAGATTAAAACACGACAGTTTCTTTAGTATAATGTCTGCCATGAGCAACTTCTCGCGATAACCGCACCATGTCGATGGAAAACTGGCCGCTAAATGTAATTCTGGCAAACGAAAGTGTTTGAGTCAAAATTACGCCGATGTGTCATCAACTGTGGATGCCAGAAACGAATGTATGAGCATTACTTAAGGCGAGCCTTAAGACCAACTCGAGGCACCAACTCAAGGGCCAACTCAAGGCGAGCCTTAAATTTTCACATTTCATTCTGTCGGTATTCTACACTTGTCACATAGATATATACAATAAAGAAACAGTTGGAGGCTGTCAAAGTACATTTTCCGTTTCAAAAGAAACAGCATTCAAGAGTCTCTGCTTGTCAAAAACTTACCTGGTCTTCCCCCAGCAAGCCGGCATGCAGCACCCGGTAGAAGCGAGCGAGGTAGTCGAAGGAGAGGGGAATGTCGTGGCGCCTCACTGTCAGCCAGCACAGAAGCCTCAAAGCCAGCTGCTTTCCCTTATCAAAGCCCTCGGGAAGACCCATCGCCTGAATTGCACACATATCACACAGTGAGGACTGCCAAGCTGGAGCTCGGCTTGTGGCATGCAACTGAATGTTGCGCAACAATGCGAGTGTCACAGCCTTCATTACTGACACCACAAGAAAACACTCGAGACAATGAAATGCAGGGGTGAGATAAATACTACAGGTATATCAGACGTATCTAAAAATCGAAAGCTCAATCTTGCTTTCCTAAAAAAGAAATTAAAAAAAAATTTTCTTCACAAGCTTTTGTTATGTGAACACGTCTCATAAATATATCTGTGTATCACTTATTATCGCGGTGTGTACCGTTCCTTTGTTTCAATACTAAGCCGTGCAATGAACCACAATGATAGTACAATGTGTAGTAAACTCTGACAACGTTGGCAGTTTTTTTGGGAAAGGTCTGTGATAAACGTATTGTTACGAGGACCTCAAATTCGCATTCATTCCAAGTTCTTAAAGAAAACAGGCTTCGGCACAGGGTTGTGGCAATGATGCTAGGTAACTGAACCCCGTACATTGCCAATTATAAGTTGACTCCGATTATAAGTTGAACCCATAACTTGCCACCCCTTCTAAGCAAAAAAAAAGTTGACTCTGCGAACACAGCCTCGTGCTGCTGTGGCCAAAGCACACCAGTGAGTCTTTCAGAAAAGGGAGTGATGCAAAGGAACATTCATTTGACCGTGAAACATCGCTTGCGACTCGTCATCACTGGAGAGAAGGATGCAGCAGTCACGGTCATTGCCATCGTGTGAGCCACTGCTGGTGGTACTGAGATGCTGCACGTAGAAAAAACCCCGCGAACCATGTCGACTGGCAGTCCATACCAGGCATCATTAACTCATTGTGCCACTTCACTCAAGGTGCTCGGTTTGAACTCTGTTAGTGGGATAGTCATATCCTTCGCAACAGCACGTGCTTTTGCTTGAATATCATCGTAGCAAACACTCGGGCTTTTGCTTGTCTGGTCGTGAACCCAATCTCAAACTGCCTCAACGGCAGGGCATCGTCGTGACTTCGGTCCGCATGTCGCAGCGCACAGAAAGATCTTGGTCTTTTGTTTTTCTCCATTCCCTCATGCACTTTTCCGACGCATCGAACTTCTGCCCTACTTCAACGTTGCTTTCTGACTGCGCGTAGAGGATCGCTTAGCCCTTAAAAGCAGCGCTGTATTGTTGCCGGTGTTGTGATAGCATCTTGAGGTCGTTGAGCAGCTTCGCAAATCACACATGCCACTGTTCGCAAGCGAGGCGAAATGCAGAAATGGCGAACGGGCATGGGCACATGAAAAACAAGAGAATCACACGTGAAGGGTGATGTGGTTTAGTTCCCCGCTAAGTGTTGCCAGCCCACACAACTTTTCCATGCAATGTCCACGACAGGTAAACGTGCGTCGCATTGTTAGCGAGCGATAAACGCATGTTGTGTTTTTTCGTGAGCCAAACGCGCTGTAATTATCCGGCAAGTGTCGGTGTTGTTGCCGATCTCGCCCAACAAGCGCACTGATGGCGCTACCAATGATACTGTGATGCCGCCGGCAACGCATCATGAAAAAAATGTTATATCTCCAATGCGCCTTTGCTGACACCTCCTCCTCTAGCCACCATAGCTATACTGTAGTTGCGCGATCGTTGCAGCATATCGTAAAAATGTCCGGCTCCAGATTTTACGGCACGCTTTTGGAGATAGCAGTTCTTGCAACTCCGTTGCCTTTGTGGCGGATGTTATCGATGCATCAGATAGGAGTAAATTCGAGGACAACGACCATTTGTCGGACCCCTGAGGAAAGTCTACATTAAGATTCCACGTATAGCTTTAGAAGGCCATTTCATAAAAAAAGACGTCGACTTATAATCAGCAATATATGGTAGCCTAGTAATACATAACTGCCACAATGTTTTTCTTTCGCGTAATCCACATAACCATACCATCATATACAATTATTACCAGCATTACCGATACTTTCAATGGTAGAGATTCGCAATACTGAAAAAGCTGACTTCTTTGTCATTTCAGTTGGGCAGTGTGCTAATCTCTATAACCGAAAATAAGTTACCAACAGGTTGAGAAAATCACCTCACCTCGAAGAGCCATGGCGCGATCAGCAGAAGCGGAGGAATGAGCGTCGGAGGGGGAGGAGTCGTCATGTTGTCTTCTGTAATTCCAAGATTGTCACGCATCTGATGCAAAAAGAGGGAGAAAGGAGCAGGCAAGGCTACCGTGAAGATGTGTGAAGGCACAACGAACCCGAGAACACACTGACCACTCTACAAGTTGGCAAAGTATTGCTGCTATAGGGACAAAAGCTTATACAGGTTCGTGCAATTCATATGACACCGCGTATTGTACTAGCATTCACAATTGTGCAGATTGATTGATATGCGGGGTTTAACATTCCAAAACCACCATGGTTTAACATTCCAAAACCACCACATGATTATGAAAAACGCCGCAGAGGAGGGCTCCGAAAATCTCGACCACCTGAGGTTCTTTAACGTGCATCCAAATCTGAGCACACGGGCCTACAGCCTTTTCACCACCCTCGAAAATGCAGCCGCCGCAGCCGGGATTCGATCCCGCGACCTGCGGGACAGACAATTGCGCAGATTGTGCATATCCTCCTCCCTCCTATAATTTTGCCGCAGTGAATATGGGTTTCTGTAATGCATAAGCAAGCAAATAAGCAGCTAAATGAGTAGTGCATCGTTCCAGTGTCACTACAGATCAACGCCTTTTTAACAAAGTGCCCATAACCTTCAAAGCATTTTATTATACAGAAAACTATTCTTCTAAAAGCAGACACACGTAGCGCTTGCAAAATGCCTCTGACATAAGCTATCTTCCATCATACAGGTCATCTCGCTGCAAAGGTACTCATGGATGTGACGTGGCTATATAATAGCCTAAATATCATAGTACACCGTGTTAAACATATGAATGGTATTAATATAACAGCCATGGTTTAATAATAATACGTAATGTTTTACGTTCCCAAACCACGATATGATTACGAGGGACACTGTTCTTTAACGTGCACTGACATGACAGCATACAAGCCTCTACCATTTTGCTTCCACCAAAATGTGACCACCAAGGCCGGGATCGAACCCTCGACCTTCAGTTCAGCAGCCGAGCAATGTAACCACTGATCCACCGTGGTGGACACCGTGATTTGTGATAAGGAAATGAAAAGATATGCAATGAAACGATGATAGCACAGTCAACTACACCAGTGTCACCTGCACTGTTGACTCGGCTAGGCATTTGAAAGCAATGACGGGTAAGATTGTGCCCTGCACTACACTACCATTAAAGCACTGCCCAGTGATACGCGAAATCTTACAGGACGCCCGGTTACAAAACCGAGAGTTCGGCGTAGTGCACTCAACGCAAACGCCGCTCTACTGACCTTAATGAGTGTCTCAGTGAGGTCGATGAGGTGCTCCATGACCTGGGCGTGGATGGCCGGGTCGCGGATCGCGTTCACATTGCCCAAGGCTCCCAGCATCCGCCGCCACAAGACAACAGCTACCTCGGGAAGCCAGCCCTTCACGCTGCCGCCAGCCAGGACACTGCGTCGGTCGGTGCCCGGACCTACGTCTGATGGCCACGGAGCAGTTAGTGAACGCTCACTACACCAGGGTCGGTTACAACTGAACAAAAAACATAAGTTCCAGCCACAGTCGTTTCTGTCCCATCTAGCGGCAATCGGTATCAATGCCCCTATCCAATCGTGTTTGCTTACTTCCGTGACATCAAACACCTATTGCGATTCGAGGTTTGCTATACAGAACCTTGCTCGTGTAGACTGCTCTTGGTTTAAAAACTTGAACGTTCCACCAAATTTTGGCAAAAATTTGGTCATCGCAACTCAATTACAGGTAATAATTTTAAGAAATGACGATGAGCCTTCAATTCACAACATGCGTAGTATATACATTAGCAGCGAATGAGCCCTAGTGACCAGAATGAAAACCACCTAGCACAACTCTTTCACAAAGGCCAATGGCAGGTGTGCCTCAGTTTTCGAAGCGGAGCTTGTAGTTATTCTTGATAACCAATAATAACTGTAAGGATTTCACGCCCTGAAGCCATTATATGATTATGAAGGACGCTGTGGTAGAGGACTTCGGAAATTTCCACCTACCATGGTTCTTTGACGTGCACCTAAATCTAAGTACATGGGCCCTCAAGCCTTTTCGCCTTCGTCAGAGATGCGGCTGCCGCGACCGGGATTAGATCCCGCAACCTTCGGGCGAGCACTCGGGCACCATGACCATTAGACCTCCACAGTGAGTCTGCATTACAGGTGGTCAAGTCACTGAACTATTTCTGCTACTATCATCAATCCTTCCTTGAAGTGGTACGTTGTAAGCCACATAGTACTTCATTCCGCTCAACCATATCTCACATATCATGGAAGGCAGCACAGAAAGAGGGTATCTAAGATCACGCAGAAACCATTTACATTAACAGAAACTTCCACTTAAAGATCAGAATGTGGTTGGAGTGCCCAGTGACAGAGGAGTTTACGCTCAGGATAGCCTACTCAACCATACAAAGATTTGTAAGCAACTAGCTGTTCATTTTGTTGACAAATAAAATGCATTACTACAGGGTTTTTTTTTTTTGATGGTGGACGTTAATGACAAAAATTTACCTGCCTACTAAACCAAGGCAGCACATGGATATATATACCGAGTGTCCTAGCTATCTTTAGCCAAGGGTTTAAAATACAATGTTAGAGGTAGCTGAGTGAAATCATTTGCATATTGCTGACAGCCACGTTGTGCACTACAGACAATTTTTTGTTTTGTAGTTAAATAATTTAAAATTAAAATTATTTTACTAAATTGCTACATATTGACCTTCGGCATGATATGCGACTTGCAAAGTTCAAAAGCGTCTTCAGAAACCGCTATTGCATTATTTGCAATAAAGTCTAGGTACACCATTTTTTCCAAGCTGCAAAGAAAGGTCACGAAATGCAAAGAGAACCACCTGACAAGGGCATTTGTGCACAGCGAATGTGCTGCTCTCAGTCGTAGTTTGAACGAATGAAATTAGCTGTGGCCCCGTCACTATACTTAGTTTAATACATCAGGTCTCATATGATGGATGCCTTTCCGAGTAGCACTCAACTATATATATATATATAATCGACAGGGGATTGCCTAATGCGGTCCTCAAGGCACTCATGTGTCTAGAAGTCAGTCTTTCCCGCACTATTCTCACGTCCCTCGACGTTCAGCTTTTCCACACAACATATCTGCAACAGCCGGAGCGAAATTGGTTGTCACACAATTATGGTATAAGATGTCTTAACAGACAAATTGACTCTGACTACCTATCCTTATAAAAATTTTATGCTAGCAAACGCATAAAACTGTCAAGAAAATAAACTTAGAGATGGCAGACAGAGTACTGCACCCTCTCAAGTTTTCTCGAACAATTATCATTGGTGCGGTCTCAAGCGCGAAACACGATGACGAAGAAACCGGACTAGGCTGAAATGTTACAAGAATTTTTTTTTTTTTTTAACAGAATGTGACTCACCTTTCCTTTTCCTTTCTGACAGACCTGCTAAGCAACAAGAACAAACTTGTGACTCTGCCCACAAAACAAATTTGTGAATAGTGGGGAAACCAGAACATGTATACTAGAGTTATCAAGAGCCAACTGAGCAAGTTGGCATTAATTTGTGCGAAAACATTCGGTGCTGGAAAACAGACACAAATGTAAGAAAGAGAACACGGCACAAGTGCTACTACCAGCTGGAGGCTAATTTCACAACAAGAATAATTTGAGGGCTTTACATGCCAAAACCACAGCATGATTATGAGGTATGCGAAAGAGGGGTGCTCCGGAAATTTTAGCCATCCGATGTTTCAACATGCACTGACATCGCACACTGAACGGGCTTCTAGAATTTCGCCTCATTGAAATGCGACTGCCGTGGTCGGGATCAAACATGTGAACTTCGAGTAAGCAGGTCAGCATCGTGGCCGCTCTACCACTGTGGTGACTGGAAGAATACTACAAAAAAGATGGGTTTTCATACATACTGAAAAAGTTGTGCGAGTGCTTAGCACAAGTAGAGAAAAAGTTCTATGCAGCAAGAGCCACAAAATCATGTCAGGATCATCGATGACAAGTAGAGAAAAAGTTCTACGCAGCAAGAGCCACAAAATCATGTCAGGATTATCGATGACTCAAACGTGAATTGGTACAAAATATCTACCAGAAGGTAGATCGATAAAGATTAGCTTGTATAGCAATTCCAAGCCTAAATACCTAAACCAACCAACCATGATGGCAGCACATATGCTATGTTATCTTTGTCGCATCCGTCTATCTTTTAGCACAAACTCTTTTAACAGAACATAACTTGTGCAGGCACACACTCGGGCACGCACCGGCTGCGTTGCAGGTGGTTTCGCTGCTTGTCACGATGACCTCGATTTGGATGGGAGAGTCCTTGATGCTAGTGCTCTCCAAGCCACTAGATGGCGTGGGCGACGGCGAACGACTTCGGTACTCTGACGCGTGGGACATGCAGGGCGACTCCACTGCACAGAAACGGCATTGACATCGAAACACACAAAGCAAGGCCAAACTGGCCACCGTCAACCGAAAAATGAGCTTCTCAACATTCTGACCACAAGCCAAAGCAATGATTCTCTCTGAGAGTTAGAGACACCAGTATTGGATACAGACATTTGATATAGTATATCAAATACAAGGCGTATAACATTTGCATGCCAAGAAGTTATTAGCATTAAGGAGCAACAATGAATCCTTCACATATGTGCCCGAAAAGACTGCCTTACAGGGGAACCAAACAAGAATGTTTTACACATGCTAAAAAGGAGGCACAACACAATAAGATTACAGTTAACATCCCTTCCAATATCATGCAATTTGCTGTCACCAAGTGATACCGATTTAAATGTTAGCACATTTAGAGCATGCTCAAACTAACTGCCTGAGGATTAGTATGATAGATGTTAGCACATTTAAAGCATGCTCAAACTTGAGCAAACAAACCGTGAATTAATGTTAGCCTGCGAAAACTTAGACTTGGTTATTTGTGTTACGTTAGTCTGAAAACAGCACAGCATGATAAAACCTAACCTTGATTTTTCAAGCCAGTTCTAAAAAGAGAGAATTTCGTTCAACCTGTCAGCTCAAAACAATCGTTTTGTTCAAGACTGAAATTAAAGGCTGACACATCAGCCTTCGGTCAGCCTCACACAAACTTAAATATGGTGAACATGAGGTCCTCCTACTGCAACGTTCACTACTGTGTAACAGAGCATGGACTGTGCGATTAGTCAGGCATGCACCACAAGGACAGTCAGACAAAGGTGCGAAATTAGAATAAGTAAGGGAAAAGAATTAAAACACAAAGAATGTTAGCAAATGTGTATAGCCATGCAGGTTATGCAATACATAACGTGTAGTAAGTTTCAACAAAAAATGCAGACTGCCATGAAGACACAATAAAAGGGAAGCAAATTATAACTTACAAAACAAGATCAGTAGAAAGGGACACTAAAACGAAACATTACATCACTTATGACTGGTATGTAGTTCTCCAATCGTTCTCCTTTTTATTTTTTTGCCATAATATGTTGATTATGCAATATCACTTATTAACTTTACGCACATGCAGTTACAAATAAAATCTTACGAAAGTTGTTAAATTCATTAGGAGTTTATATGCTCATAATCCTTTAGTGTTACCGTTCAACAAATACCATGATCCATGATATCCATGAGCCTACATCCATGATATTGTGAGCAGTTTGGACAGAATCTTCATGGTAGCTCAGGAATTCATCTATTAAATTTGCGTCCCTTCTAGTTTAATGAGGCTCTGCTCTAAATACAATTGCTTATTTGGTGTTTCAAAAGTGCAATCTAACCATCTGCCCGGAGTGTCATTTCCTTTTAGTGCCCCTGTAAGTCGGACACGAAATATTTACTGTTACTACATTACACAGGACAACATCTCTCACTAACTATAAAGAAAAAGCAGGGGATTTCTATGCATGAAAAAGCACTACAGCCTTTCCTAGACATTGCTTAGTGTGTCAACCTCGGCCCACTTTTCAATGAAGCTTACGCAAAAGAAAAAGGAAAGCAAACTCTGCTATACTTCTAAATCACACAGGAAATCTGTAAAATGAGCCTAGTCATCCACTCCTTCCTTTTGATCGTCTGTAGAAACTTTATGCTTGATCCACACAGCCATTTTTCCACTCCCAAACTTTGCCAACCATATTTTTCATTATGCTAAGTTACTGCTCCTTTAATAGCCTTTTTACCCGCCACAGAGCAGTGTGTCAAAATATCCCCCATTAATCTTTACCCCATACCGTACCTATCAATACATGATCTGTGCCCCATGCACGCCCGCACTACAATGATGTAGTGGCTAAAGCACTCTGGTGCCGACCCGCATATGGCGGGATAGAATCCTGGCCGCAGCGGCAGCGTTTCCAATAAGGCGAAAATGTTTGAGGCCCGTGTACTTAGATTAAATTGCACGTTAAAGAACCCTGGGTGGTCAAAATTTTCATAGCCCTCCACTACGGCGTCTCTCATAATCATATGGTGCTTTTCGGATGTTAAAATCCCAACAATTATTATTAATTATTGCTTTATACATAAAATATGAATTACACTCAACACTAATTACAGTGAAGTTGTATCTTACACGAAAATTAGTTTGTTATATTCAAAAATTCATTTTATTTGTTCATTACTAACAATCCATCTATTGCAAGACAATTTTTTATTTGCTTTGTTATAACCAATATTTTGTTATATCTGGGGTTCGTTATATTGAGGTTTGAGTATACAATGAAACCTAGCTAGAAAAAGCACAAAATATTCCTATTGCAATTCAGAATAGTACAGCACTATCTACATTTCTCACTCTAGCCACGCTTGCTTTCTGGTCCCAGCCTTAGTCCTGTCCTGAACTCAGCTGCTGCTATTTTGTTCGGTATGACAAGTGGAGTTGCAATAATGATTCAACATCAGATGTGGATGCCCAAATCCAGTGCTCACATATATTAATCAGTAATAATTTGGAGTTTCATGTCCCACAACCAGAACAAGGTTATGAGGGATGCTGTAGTTGAGGGCTCCACAAATTTCAACCACCTGGGGTTGTTTACACGCACTTACAACTATGTACAGGAGCCTCTAGTACTCTGCCCCCATCGAAATGTGGCTGTCATCGCAGGGATTCAATCACATGACTCTCGAGCCGGCAGTCGAGCCAAGCATGTTAATTGGGACAAAATAGTTTATGATACATGACATTAGTGAGAGAGCAGAACATATTTGCATTCTGATGCTAGAACATTCATTCTGCAATAGTATACTTTTCTTGTTTCATGGTTTGTGAAATGACATACAAGCGGTCAACTTCCATATGCATTTGGGCTTGTATATTGAAAGCCCCCCATTAGGAACACGGCCTCTGGTGACACACTAGGCAATGCCGCATTCGTAAGACATCGACGACATTGAACTTCGAGAGCCTCACCTCTTAGGGACAAGTAATCCGCAGACTTGCTCCGGCCGAACGGGCACACCCGGCCATCCGACTGAATGTTCGTGTCGGAAGACACTAGTGGTTGGGTGGGGAAGAAAAAAAGAAGAAAGAAAGAGAGAGAAAGAGAAAAGAAAAAGAAAGGAGAGAGCAAACAAAGAAGGGACAGCTCAGAACAAAACACTAAAGGGCAAAACTAAACAAGCACAAAACGAAAGGCACTGAAACGATGATGTGCCACAGAAACTCCGCAGCACACATCCGTTGCACATAAGTGACGACTTCTCGAGCGGAGACCGAGCGTAGCGAGTTTGCGCCTAAACGACGAAAACGTGAGCAGAACAGCGGTGGCCATTGCCATGCACAAAAGCAAGGTACTACAGACTACGACAGCTTGCGATAAGGTGCCCTGTGGCTGCACGTTCAAGTCACAGAACAGAGTGGCGCGTGTGAAAACACGAAAGCACAACCATGCCTACCTGACGTAATGTCAAACCTGTCCTGAGCAGGAGCAGCGTGTGCCCTCCTCATGCGCCGCAGTCGTTCAACTGAAACACAGCGGAGGAAAAACAATGTTGGCAAATATCAACGGTCTGAAAAACGTCTCTATTTTGTGTACTGCTACAATAAATTTGAAAGTTGAAAACTTGCAAATTGAGATAAAGCACAGGTTCTGCACCTACTTAGCAGTGAGGACACTCATTGAAGCAGTACTAAGCTCCAGTGTCACCTCACCAATCCTAGCACTATCGAAAATATGACAATGACTAATAAACCAATTATAGCAGACTGTTGTTAAAAAAAAATATCTTTTTATATGGAATTGTTGATTAAGAACAACTGCCTCTAGTATGACTGGTTTTGTATTTCTCAGGAAATGCAACTCCTGCTAAACAGCACAAACTTTCCTGGTCCTTTCAGTTTCTGTCTAATGAGAGTCTACTGTAGATTTGTGTTAGAAAAACTCGCATGAAATGATCTAATGAGGCCGATCGACTTAGCCAAAACAACTAGAACTTTATTTATCATGCCTCTCCTTCATTTACGTCTCCAAACTACTGCTAGGACTTTTAATAGGCAAAGATGTGACTAAGGTGACCAAGTGCTGTTTAAACTTACTAAAGTTCTTGTTCAGCTACATATACCAAGGCGAACGAACCGGAACAGATCAGAGACTGACCTTTGTGTAGGAGGAGGTGGCCGTCAGAGTAACACCGCACGACAGGTGGCGGCTTCTCCGAAGCCCTGTCACCCTGGTGACTTGGTAAGGAACTATCACCGCTGTTGCATCGAGCTCGGTCTGAATTTCTGTCATCATCTGTAAGAGAGCAACATGTTAATGCGCTTACTGCACAAGCAGTCAGTCAGAATTCTCTTTAATTGTAGACAGTCGTAGAGTAATGTCTGTAAGCTAACATCAATGTACTATACACGTAAAGAAATGACATTATCTTCACAGTCACTTTTGAAATTTCCTATAAGTGTATTGATGTTACAATTAAGACCCCCCCCCCAACTGCTTGACACATAGTTGAGAAAACTTTAAGAACCCTGAATTTCGTATCGTGACTTTAAAGCAGCCTATCTCAAAAGCAATTCTAAACAAACAATTTCTGATGATTTTTCTCATCATAAGTACCTATTGCAAGGCAAATGCTTCTCTCTTGTTAGCCTGGTCATGTGCTTCCTGCAATTGCGCTGTCCCTGCAAGCTTCTTAATCTCATCTGTCCACTTAATTAACTTTCTGCCTCCCCATGGCATACTTGCCTACTCTTGAAATCTGGTCTGTTAGACATCATGACCAGCGGTTGCATTGCCTTCAAGCTACATGCTCTGCCCCCACCCATTTTATCTTCTTGATTTCAACTAAAATGTCCTGAACACATGTTTGTTCTCTGGCCCACTCTCCTCTCTTCGCGTCTCTTATGGTGCATTCAGACGACGGACCGAATCCGTATTTCTCGTGGACGCGGACTGGTAATCCACGGATGATCCGCCTGCAGGCGCATCCACACGACGGACGGTGTCCAAGGAGAAAACAGCCGGATTACCCTCGACAGCAGGTTCGGCGCTCACCTGCGCGCGCTGAAAGCAGACCGGTTTAAGAGTATTCAACATGGATGCCCGCAAGAAGCGACGCTTTACTGCGATGTCTGTCGCGTTGTGACAAATGAACGAGGAGTGTTATTCTTTCAGGAGAAAAGGGAGTTGCTGGCAGAATGTTCTTTCAACTACATTGTTCCCCACTTGTAGAACTTCTGAACGCGTCTCCCATTTTTTTTTTAGAAGCAGCACGTCGCCGGTTGCAGAAGTTAAAATATTTCACCATAATGACGGCTAAGAAGGCTCGCGTGTCAAACGATGACGGCGACATTTCCCGAACCACCAAAAGTGATTTCTGCGTATTTAATCACCTGAGAACGAAGCCCCTGGAAAGGAAGTAAACCATGCTCAAGCGTAGATGATACCGACCAGTCATGCAGCTGTCCGCGAGCCATGGAGGACATGCCGCGAGCAGACAAAAAGTGTACTGGTTGCCAGAAACCCCAAGCTAATACGCTGAAGTATCGGCTTTCCCCCGCCAGAATCCCGATGTGAGAAACAGGTTGCGGTCAAATGTTGCACATATCATTTTCCTTTCTACCTATCGCTGCGTTGTCTTCGATTTAAGTTTCTGACGAGAAATTTTAGGTTTTTGAGTGAGTCAGCTTACGAATGATTAGCATGAGCACGTACAACTCAGGAGCGCCTCCTCACCATCGATTCTGCTGAGCTGCCTGCCCATGCTCGCGGTGCGCAGTCGAGGAGACAGTGGCACGCCCGTTTCGCGGTTCCCGTCTCGCGATTCTGTCAGACTCGGCGAGGTACGCAGCGACGGTACCGCTGTGCCTCCCGCAACGGTGCGGTTGGCGCTGCTCATTGCCGACGTCCCCTCATTTGCGGAGCCGCCGCCCGGCGTCGGGTCGTCCCCTTTGCCTGCGCCGTTTCTCGTCCGTGCGGTGGCTCCGCCACCCTGCGCGTTGCCCGCGTTGTGCTTGAGTCCTCGCCGCCTCTTGTTCTGTTGCTCCCTCTGCAGCGGCAGGTCCGAGAGGTTCAGCCGGTACACGTGCTGTGCCAGAATCCTGGTGAGCGTTTCCATCGTTTTCTGTTGCAGAAAGCGCCAGAAAAAAACAGCAGAAATTAAGGGGGGTGTCGGCCTTGAAAAATGTTTGTAAATTTCTTTTCGATTGAGATTAAAGTTGCTGAGCTTATGTATGTTGTAGCAGAGATCTTAAACAAGCAATCATTTTTCTAGTACAGAATGCAGTTATTGAAGTATCAAATTCTTTCTATGCTTTTTGGAAGTGGGAGTTTGCCTAAACTGAGAGAGTAACAAAGTAAATAAGCACATCAGAATAATTTGATTAAGAATGGATGTTCATGATGATGATACGTGGGGTTTAAAGTGCGAAAACCACCATGTGATTATGAGAGACGCCGTAGTGGAGGGCTCCGGAAATTTCGACCACCTGGTATTCTTTAACAGTGCACCCAAATCTGAGCACACAGTCCTACAGCATTTTCACCTCCATCCAAAATGCAGCCGGGATTCAATCCCGCAACCCGCGGGTCAGCAGCCGAGTACCTTAGCCACTAGACCACAGCGGCGGGACATAAGAGTGGATGTTCTAAACCTATTTGAAGAAAGGTATTGGTGTGTTGAACTTTGGCATTTTTGATATACAGGATGTGAGAAGGGCTAGAGTGCCTACCCTGCACAACTGATGTATCACAGGTATTTTTTATATACACAATGCCTAGCTACAAGTTTCAGTACTAAGCTGTCTCCCTTATGTGTCTTATTGAAAGTGGTCTACATTGCTCATTCCTAGGTCGTTCAAGCCCGAGATAACACAAGAAACCTGCCGTAACTTTGTGGCGAAAACGCAGAATGTTAGTGCTCTCCAGGTATAACTTGGTCTAGCTTACCGCCCATTCGTGGATCAGCTCCTCCCACTGCGTTAGTGAGGACAACACCCCCAGGAAACCATCCCAGAGGTCCAGAGAGATGGTGGCATGAAGGTTCGCTTTGATCCACGTGACAATCAGGGTCTGGAAGAGTTGCGGTCATGCGGCAACGTCTCTTATACGTGAAGCAATGCGCGGTGCTCAGTTTTTCTTTTATTCAAAATGCTGTCACTGCTCACCATACTTGGAATGGTCACTTAGATGAAAATCCAACTTGCATACAAGCTACAGTTTACGCGAGCACTCCATACCGACCACACTTAAACAAGATGCCAAGACCTTTATTTACACGAAATGCATTGTGAACTATGTAAAGCTTTTTGTGTCTCGAAAGAGTGTTAACATACTGGACCCGTCCATGTTGATTTTTTTTGTGCATCCTTGGAAAAGATTTTTTTGCTATTAAATAATGCTAAAAATCAAGTAATGGCTTTGGCACGTCTGTAAGTAGTCCATGAGTTTATTTTTCACAGAAAATCCAGCCATTACAATTATTCTTTCTCTTTCAGTAAAGAAAAGAATATAGCACAACATGCGCACCCAGGCTGAAACACACCGAAAAATGAAGTTCGTTTTACATCACCGTCGCTAATCGTTACTCTCCACCACACCAGGCAAAAAAGAAAGTTTCGATGCGTAAGCGGTTCATGCTGGTTGGAGGGCATTGTGAGCATTCAACACTTTGCCATTAAAAATGGTCATATGGAACATGAAAATACTTTTGTTATACTTTTGACATTCCCAGTAAGCATGTACTCATTACACGCTATCAGTAAGAAATATTTCAGAATTTATTTGCTACCTTCGCACTGCTTGCGAACTGAAATGCGACATGAAAACTTTAAACTTTTCATATAATGACTAGCATCTGCAACTGTTCGAGATATCCATGCCATGTCTCTGTGATTCTGACCACTGCAGCTATAATGTGGCTATAATTCAAATGTATGAATCGCAACTACAACAGACTTTCTATACTTAAAACTCTGATAATTCCAACTTTCAGTTCATTCAAGCAAATCTCACATTTCGGAAGGCTCACAATGTTTAAAACGTATTTTATAGCAGTTTCATTCAAACTTACTCACTGAACGAAGTTCGTTAATTCAAACTTTTTGCTTGTCCATGACTGGAAATGTCTTCTGTTTTTGTTTCTTCTAGCTGAACATTCATGTTCTTACGTAACTAACAATCACAAATAAAGCCATATGTTTGCCAAGAAATAGTCAAACTAGCCAAACAATGAGCACAAACACTTGCATGCTGACTGCGAAAAAAAAAAAAAATTGGCCCCGTATCTGCATGTTAATCTGCAAATGTCGTCGAAAGAGTCTTGCATGTGGAGAGAGTGAACAAAACATTTATTTGATGTTATGTGCAAGAAAATCGGTGAACAGTATTCTGGAGGCGCTGCATTAGAGTGCCTCGAGCGTGAAGCAGAGGCAAACGAGCACATCAAGTCACGTCACAAGTGAGACATGAACGCTATCTGGCAGTTTTCTTGGAAAACAAAGCGTGTGGCTCTTAGACGGGCGCGCACGCCCGTCTCAGAGCTGAAAGGTGTAGAACACAAGACCATGGGTAGGTGCCACCACTGTGTTGTCTTAGCAAAAAGTTCGAAACACTTGCCTTTTCATGCAAGCGTTACATGGTCAGCGCATAGTGATAAACGCTACAGTCCTTAGAATTACTTATGTATGCCTTTTCTAGTAAAAGACGCACATACAGAATATATACGTGTTGTTGTGGTGCCTCAGATATGCTCATTCACATGTTCGCTGAAGCGCCATGCATTGCAGCGCCCATAGACACTAGCGCTGGAGTTGCCTCTAGTGTGTATTAGGAAACTCTATGCTCTCTAGTTAATTTTAGGAAACTCTATGGCCGATATGATGAAGAATGAAGCTGGTGGAAACAAAAACACATGCATCACTTAATTTATAGAGTTTCCATCTGCGAGTGCCGTAGCTGACAACTTATCACAATAAACACCCTACTCACCTGGAAGAGCGCAGGGGCCAGCCTGCCTCCCAAGACATCTTCCTTGCGTGCTGGCGGAGTCGTCTTGAGCACAAGCGAGGTGACGCGCAGAAGAACCACCAACAGCTGCTCCCTGACAATGTATAGTCGCAGTATTTTTGTTTTAAACATGCAAACGCAGAAAAGCACACCTACTTACCACGTCGCCTTCTCCATGTGCCTTTTCATGACCATGTATCGGTAAATGTTCATGACTCGCTTGCATAGCTCCACCTGATTGAAAGAGTCATGGCATATGATTGAACATTCAGATACAGGCTCACCGATTTACTCTCTAGATTTCAAAACAGAGCGAGCTACGCAAAAGTACCAAGCAACTAGTGTTGGCTGATGAATGTGACGGTTCCTCAGTAAAAAATTTTGGACGCGGTGGCCTCTAACAGAACAGAGTTAAAGGCTCATCTTGTAATTTCGATCAAAAGTGCAACTTTGGGTGGACATGTAGAAAAAGACACAAGTTTAAATATACTTTGTCTCATAAGTGAACCCGTGCGCACATGATAAAATCAGTACATTATGACAAAATATTTATATAAAAGCCATCAATTAATAACTCTGGTTGTTTAAAACTAATAACACTGACTGTTTCAGTTTAGCAACACTGAGTGTTTCAGTTTGCACAAAGCCATATGGCTACACATGCCCTAACTAGAAAAATCGGCATCGGTCTGACAGCAACCGGCAATATGAAGGCATGGAAAGAGAGCAAGGAAAGAAATGTATTAAAAAAAAATGAAGAAGAAGGCTCGAGGGGGTTGCTCAAGGAGTACATTGGTCACTTGACTGATTGACAAAATGTCCCTCAATTATCGTCTCGATAGCACTTAAAAATGCAAAACAAAACAACGCCAGTAGCAGTTGGGAAACAATGGCTGCCAACCTGCTCATCAAGATAAGACTTCTCGTCGGGACCAACTTCGAGAAGAAACACATTTGCGGCGTTGGTGATGAACACTTGGTACATGTTCTGAACTCCAGCAAAGACGCTTTCCTTCTTCACTGGAGTTGTTCCACTTGTACTCTGGCTCATCTGGCAAAGAAGCAAAGAGAGCTATGTTAGCTTTTTATTTTCATACCTTCTTTGCTCTCATAGTGCGCTGCACAAACATGGTTCTACGGATAGTACACGTAAATTCGCTTAAGGCATTTGGCAGAACTAAGGAAGAGACTATCTGAAAAAGTAGGTGTTAGTTAAATATAAAATATAAACAAAAATGTGCCTAACTACATAAATAGCACATAAGGCACAGAGTGACTATGCGAGCACAGAAAACTACAGTTCAAAGGACACAAACAATGTTCACCACTGCACCAAACACCCAAATGCGCTAAGTAAAGCTTCGATTCTTGGTACTGCTGTTATTGGAAAGTCGCTAGCTGTCCACAAGTGCATCCACTCTGATTTGCATAACCATCATAGCTGTATATCAAACACACAAGCCAAATCCATAAGTTAGTATGTCGCTGAAGTCAGTCCTCAATGCCAACAAGGACTATGCAAATTTGACTAATTACGCTCTCTACAGAATTAGTTCAATGCATAACAAAGGTGAGAAATTCGCTCAAACATTGAATGCCGTGGACAATAGATTCACCTAGTGCATGAAAGAATCTGTAAGATCCTCAGAAGCATCAACCATGGCATCAAAATGCAGAAGTGACATTAGGCAAGACATTCATGCAGGTATGTTGCATTACATCATGTTATTGTTTCACTAGTTCAAATTTGCAAAGTTTTCAATTACCACATAATACCCGAACTACATACCGACTGCATAACCGAGCATTATCACAGTTCATGCCTACGCAAACGTGTTAAAATAATTTTTAAGCTGTGCGACAAGAGTCTTGAAAATGCATGAAATGCTCATGCTCTGCCATTTGACTTTTTTGTACATTACTGACCCCAACTAAAGCACTGTGTGGGAGTGCATATAAAGTACCTTCTAATTTTATATCCCTTTCAGGCTACTAATGTGTCAGCACACAAACCCCTTCATATTCTAGATTACATTACTGGCTCAGAGAGCAAGCTAACATTTTACTACTTTAGAAGAGGCCTGCCTCTTCAAAAATTAACTGGCAATGTCACGATAGTTCGTCTCTTCAATGCTGCCCACATTGGCTGAGAACAAGCTAGAGTGCATGTCCTACCTCTGATACTTCAGTGCGATTGTCTTCTTTGCCATTCTTCCCTTCGGGGTCGACCAGAAAAGGTGGCATGTCTGGGGACTGTAAAAAAAAAATTATAATATGAAAAAATAAAGCAAATGTCAACGTGCCCTTCAAACATGACTGCAATCGATGCGGCCAAACATGCCATGTGAGATTAGAAACACAATAAACAGAAAAACGATTTTACTTGTATAAGTAATGTATTCTTTTACAATACATTAAAGCACAACCCTTGCAGTGAAAATATATTTGATAAGAGAGAACACACTAAAAAAATACAGGTACTGAGCTTTGAAGATTACCGCACCAAGTTGCTGTGAAGTCCTAGACTTGATGCATTTGCTACAGCCTGTGTCGTAGTTTACATATTTAAAAAAAAAAATGAAATATGCAGTGTTCTAATGGAGCCACACTCTTATAGCATGGGAAGTTTCAGGAATTCTCGTAGGGCCAATATGGTCATAGTACGAAAAAAGGACTTTTGACATCAGGGACATTACGCTGACAATCACGTGCCGTAGTTACGGCATTGGAGTCAAGATCAAGACTTTGACCTTTCCTTTCTCTTTTATTAATAAATATATGACCGCAAAATCTATATAGCGCTCAAGAAATACCTTATCGCTTTAACTAACAGAGCAACTGTCCTTGTCTGCTTGATGCTTTAGCACCTATTTTATTTGCACTAACTAAACATTTTCATAATTACCATACCGTATTAGGGTCCCTTCAACAATAATCCTTAAGATTATACGTTCCAAAGCTGCCATGTGATTTTCGGAGATGCTATAGTTGAGGGCTAGGAAAATTTCAACCACAATCAGCTTTTCAGCGTGCACGACGACCACTAGACCACCACGGCGGGTACTTTGAGTTCCTTAATAAAAAGCCTAATGCAGTTTTCAAGCCATTAATTTGACCTCATCAAATGAAGCCTAATACCGCAAGGGCAGAACCGCGGCAGCCACATACAACGTACCGCCATCTGTATCCAGTCCCTGTAGGTGCAGATGACACTCTTAGTGGTATGCGCCTGTGAAAAGGGAGCCAGAAAAGCTTGTCGCAGGACCTCGTGGACCAGGTTCACATTTTCGCGCTTCGAGTAAAGCACGTTCCGAACCACTTGAACCTGAAGAAAAAACAATAAGACAAGGAATAGGCTGCTTCATTGGGCCGAGTCCACTAGAGCTACAGACGAAACACCAAATGCAGCTCGCTCAAGTTCACTCTCACACGCACAAATTTTTCGCAACCACAACCTTTTCTGTGCACTGCCAGAAAGCTTCCACGTGATAGCTCGCTTCTTGCATTGTAGCAGTGTTCATGTGCATTCTATTGTTAAAGCACCTTCTAGTTAAACCAACATGGTATGTTCTGCATGATAACATAAACTTGCACACAACATGAAACACACCACAACAGACGTCGTCTTATCACGGATTGAGAAAGTCCAGTTTTTAGGGAACTGATCCTGCAAGGCTCCCCTGACGTGAACGTTTGCCTTCTGAGCTGCTTCTTCCACGTTGTGGGAGAGCGTGCACGGACACTTGGAACTTCGTTGATCCCTCAGTCTCTCACAGAGGAACTGTGAACCTTTAAGATTTAGCTTTGGATAAGTTCTTTCTGCTTTATCACTATACCTCCGTGCGGTACGAGAAGTGGTCATACTAGTCATTTTTTTGTGTTTTTGTAACTTGACACTTGCTGGTGACACTGTATTATTCTTTGTAAGTATACCTGCCAAACTCTGAACTTCTGTATTTGTATTATATTTATGCACAAGTTAAAAAAAAACAGAGTATATGCTTCCCATTAACAATTAGGCACAATGATATTACGACTTAGGTGCAGCAGTCAAGCAGTAAAAAATATACTATTAAATAATAAAGACTGGCAATGTCATGATCGGCTGTTCTTTATTAACACCTCCTTTGGGAATTCTTCTGTACTAACGTTTTCGAAGTATGACTCACGCTTCTTTTTAACAACCAGATTAATTGATATGTGAGGTTTAACGTCCCAAAACCACCATATGATTATGAGAGACGCCGTAGCGGAGGGCTCCGGAAATTTCGACCACCCGAGGTTCTTTAACATGCACCCAAATCTGAGCACGTGGCCTACAGCATTTTTTTTACAAACAGAACACTTTCAACAAAAGATTCAGGGGCTGTGCTAAACTTATTCATGTACACAATACATTTTTCATAAATGCTGATGCAGCAATCTTTAAACAAGCTCCAGACATATACTAAGAATTATGAAAAATTTGGGTGTGTTGGCAGGTATGTGTATGCGCATCAGCTACACAAAGGTTTTCATGTTGCTAAACAGAAGCAAAAAAAATGCCGTTTTTTTTATGCGTTGACTACACCTTGCTAAGCCCCTATAACCAAGAGCACTTGAAAACCCAGATGTTTAAAGGACGAATACCCACCTGTCGCAGACTTCCGTGGCCGCTTTCCGCTGGTGACTGCTGCGTCTGCTGAAACTGGCTTTCGGAGTCTCGCTCTGCGAGACTGCCAATAGCGAGCGATGGTGCCACGGACGACCCGGAGGGCACCGAGTGGCTTTCGTGTACATTCTGCGACGTGCCGCCAGAGCCCCCAGACGGTGCCGAGGTCCTCTCCACACCAGACTCGGTGTGGTCTTGTTTTCTGGGAACGGCAAATAGTTGGGCAGAACAGCAAGTCACAAGCTGCAAGTGATTCATAGGTGTCTGTTCTGAAGTCATGGGTAATATTCATTATGAAGAAAAAAATTAGGACAGCTTCCCACTGGTGGTGCAAAGCTGGGCGGCCTTCCTTTGCACGCCAGCCAAGCCTGGTCTAAAGATAGCCAATTATGCCTGGATACGGTCGCATGAGCATAGAGACAGGCACGGTTAACCCTTTCAGATGGCACTTATGAAGAACTGCCTGTAAATACGTCAAATTGTCACAGCACAATTTCAAGGCCCTCTTAACAATAATTTTATAATAGACTGATTTATGCATTTATAGCAGTTAATTAAAATTCAGCTTTCATTAAATATCTACTTATCTTGAAGACATTCATGTTTGGTTTTTTTATATATAGAATCAAATCTCAGACTAGAAATATAGTGCAAATTGGTTTCTGGTTTTGTTGCTACAAAGAAAAAAAAAATATATATTTCAACATGGCTCTAGGAAAGCGCCACGTCGAACGACTCATCGACTATGGTAGTGCATTCAGAAAAATGATTATACATAACAGTACAGACAAAATGAAGTTAAATGAAGACCTGTTTATTAAGGAGGAGGTTCATTTCCTCTAAACCTCATTGCATCTTGCATTTTTGTAGCCCCTAGTTGACACAACTAGCAAAAACAAGTGATGTCTACAATTGTGTACAAAGCGTCTGAAAGGGTTAAGTTTAAGAATTCTAATTTCAGCCACAATTTCTTGTTCTCTCTCTTTTTTCTCTCTGACCCTTCTTTTACTATGTTTCTATCCCTCTCTCTTTTTCTCATTTTCTTATCCATAGGAACACAATCACATGGCTCCCATAAATGCTTCCCAGCATGTGCGCCTGAACAGTCAAGTGGTTACAACGCTCGCCTTTGGACCCAGGCGTGTACTGCGCCTCTCCAAAAGATCTCACTTCATTTTGTTTACTCTGCCCGCTCACCTTCCTCCTCCTTCCCGGCTCCTTGCCTCGGCACTCCTCGTTTTATAATAATATTATCTGGGGTTTAACGTTTCAAAGCCACTATATGATTATGAAGGATGCAGTAGTGGAGGGCTCTGGAAATTTCGACCGTCTGGTATTCCTTAAAGGGGCCCTGAAACACTTTTTCAAGTAACTATGGAATGAATTCTATGGAAGAGCTCATTGCTTCACGAATTCAACGCCGCAAAAATTTTAAGAATCTAAGAATCCGTCCAGTACGAGCGGAGTTACAAAGGTTTGTCACACGTTGCAGTCGCATTCTCTCTTCTCTCGCCCCGATGAAAGTGCTGGAAGCCAAGCAGGGAAGGACGGCGGGGCCACAGAAAAACATCACGCAGGCCTTGTGACTTCGAGCCCTTTTTTGTCTTTTTTTCAAATGCGGGGCTTTTTCAGTGTGATCGCGTGCGCACGCGTGGACAAGAAGCGGTCTCCCGCAGCGATCTCTGTTGACGAGCGAGCGTGCCATGTTCAAATCGGCCAATGGCTGGTAAATGGGCTTACTACGTGTGATATCTGGGTATGTGCCGTGATTTGTCAAGAGAAGAGAAAGCAATTTTCAGCTGACTTTGATAATTTATGGTGAATTCCAGGTCGCGTGCTGCGCTATGATATTTGGCTTGCGCGTTGTCGGGAGCCTCTACCACCAAATCGGCTGCGTTCTCTGAACATGCTCAAAAAGTGTTGCAGGGCCCCTTTAACGTGAACAGACATCACACATTACATGGGCCTCAACCATTTCGCCTCCATCGTAATGCAACCGCTTCCGACGAGACCAAACGCGCGACCTTCGGGTCCATAGCTCGGCATCGTGCGCTGCTACACCACCGCGGCGGACACTCCTCGTTTTTCTAGGCTTACTCTCTGGCACCCCAAGCTACCACTTCCCCCGCTGCTTTTTCTAACTCTGCTTTGCTCAGCTCTCTCTCCATCCACTGCCTTCAATTTCCCTCGCATCAGCTGTACACGATGGCGGAGCGTGCCCAATTTCTGTGGGACATACCTTAATGCCGAGTTATTGCGGACACCAAAGTTCCACCAAGCTTACTTAAACTGCTCTGCTGCCAACAAGCGAAAACATGGCCAGCATACTGGAGCTATTTGTTCACGCAAAACCATTCCCGACTCACAGGATTCAAGACATACACACAAACAGAGCTCACCAAAATGCATCCCCATTGGCTTATCCCGTAACGTCCTGGACAACCGAACATCCTAGGCAACGTAAGGTCTTTAAAGGGACACTTAAGTGAAATAATAAATTAGTTTAAACCAACCAATTATTCTCAGAAAACCTTACTGTTATTAATTTCACCCCAAGAAGTCTATGAATATATAGGCAAAATCAGCGTCAAAAGTTTCCCGTTTACTTCGGCAACCTAGGAAGACGATGTCCCAAATCTCAAAGTGTTCTCGCATATTCTGGTTACATTGGCACAAAGCAATTTTCTGAAACTTGGTACGTTGAGTCTCTTACCCTTAGAAGACAATGTACTTTATGTTCACCGATTAAGAAATACACAGGCCCTAGACGACAGCATCAAAATCTGACATCACAGTGACTAGTTCGGGAATGTAAAATTGCCATTGCCACGCGTTTTTTTCCCCCCTGTGTTTTGTCGAGAAATGCAAAAAAAAAAAAAACTTTTATCTTTCGTGCTCTTTTAACAACCTAGGCAACCTTGTTTCTTGCTGTCTCCATACCTGACTTGGTGCCCGTCAGTGTGCCGGGTGGCCGCAGCAGCATCTTCCTTGCGCAGCTTTGCCGGTTGCGTGTGACTGACCACCCACTGCACCACGACACTGCGACACAGCGCCGCAACCGCGGCAGCATTGGAATCGGCAGTGGCAGGCTTCTTGTCCTTGCGGAGCGAGGGCAGCTCTAGAGAAGTGCACACCCAGTGATAACCTTCAGACACTGGGACATCGGTGAAACACACGCGCGATTCAGGTGTTCAAGTGGGGGAGCACATGGCAGTGGGCAGAAGACGCACACAGCGGCCACATCCATGTGCGGTTGTATTCATTTGGGTGCAATCGTGTTCATTTACGTGCAGTTGCATACATATGGGTGTGGTTTTGTACATACGGGTGTAGTTGCGTACAATTGGGTGCAGGTGCGTACGTACAAGTGCATGTGCATACATATGGGTGCAGTGAGGCACATTGTGGTGCGATGTGGATTCAGGTGCAGAATGTGAACAGAGCAAGAGGAAGTTGGCACAAATGAAAGATCACAATAGCGTTGTACGAATTGTGGATGAAATCGACATTCGGTCATGCAGTGCACACACATGATTGCACAGTAAAGACATTCGTAAGCAGCATTGAGCATCAAACACACCGGTATTGCAACGTCGACATCGATTTGCAATAGAGACAAAATTTGCCGCAGAACACAAATATTCGTAGCATGACAAGTTGCGGGACATTCAAGCACATAAATGCACACAGTTGGCATAAAATATGGGACACACATGTCCATGTGCCAGAATGAAAGTGAGAGTGCCACGAAAAAAACAAAAACAAAAAAACAGCACGACAATTGGCCATGTCACACCGCAAGTGTTTATGTGCAGTGGCCAAAAACACCGTGCGCAGCGGAAGAAGTTGCGGGGTGCAGCCATTCCAGTGCCGCAACGCACATCCATTTCAGCAAGACGGGCAGGCAGTGGTGGCGAAGTTGGAGCGAGGGTGGGCACAGGAGGTGTGGTTGCATTGTGCAAGTTGCAAGTGCAGTGTGCAGGGCAAGAAAAAAAAAGGGAAGCAAAAAATGAAAAGGCAACAGAGGAGAGAATCCACACAAAGTGAGCTGTGCAGGAAAAGTCAGACCACAAAGGTCACAGAAGATTTCACATATTTTTTGCAAATGCACATTACCGTAATTACTCGAATCTAACGCCCACCTTTTTTCCGGTTAAGCGAGTTCATAAATCGCATGCGCGTTGGAATCGAGTTCGAACAAAAAAATTACGGTCAATCTATTGCCATCAGCAAATCCAAAATGGCCGCCCCCTACGTGCGTCGGAATGGCGCGTCGGCCATTTCTGCCTATGTGTTTCCCATGTGCGGCACTTCGTACGTGTGCTGAGGAGTCCGTTCCCGAAACGTGCGTGCGAGACCAGCGGAAACAAAAGCAGAAGATTGTCGACAGCAAAGCTTCACGCAAAGGTTTCAGTGGACCACAGCAGGGTCGGTTTCTGCAAATTAAAGAGCGTCTCGGCAAGTATGTGCTTGAGCTCGAGCGGCACAGCCCGTGACGACAGAACTGCTCCAAGTGCGGGCTATGCGATTAGTCTTAGAAAAAGGTCTAATGCGGAGCCAGTTTAAAGCGAGCAGGTGCTGCCTAACTAACCTTATGAAGAGGACAGGCTTTTCCCTACGAAGGGGAACATGCATATGCGAAAAGTTTTGCGGAGGAGTACGATAAAAAGCTTCACAGTTTTCAGAGGTTCGTCCTAAACTTGCGGCGCAACAACAGCTACATGCTTGGGCAAATCGGGAATGCCGATCAGACGCCTCTTTACTTCGACATGCCTGGCACCACAACCGTCAAGAAGAAGGGGTCAAAGCAAGTTCGCGTGCTGACATCGGTCCACGGTAAAACTACAGTGACGGCAATGCTCTGTTACACGTCAGATGGGCACAAGCTTCGCCCGTACCTCATATTTAAATGGAAGACGCTCCCGAAAGGAGTTGTTTTTTCGAGTGGTGTGATCGTGCGGGCCAGCGAGAAAAATGGGTGCGTGTTGCAATCGATGTCTTACGTTTTTTGTTTTTTTTTCCGCGGTGGAAATCGGGTGCGCGTTACAATCGAGGGCGCGGTAGAATCGAGTAAATACGGTACCAGTTATAGAACACCAAGTTACAGGAGATGCCCTCTAGACTGAATGGCAATGCTGTTGGTGTCACACTATGACGCCAAAAAACACGTTAATTTCGAGATGAAAAATGACTAAACTCGGAATGTCGCCGGAGCTAACTTTTCGAAAAGCGGTCTTGCCTTCTTTACTCGCAGCCTTGAAAATGACGAAATGGCTTGTCGAAACGTTGGCTTCAGCGACACCGTGTGTTCGAGCCACTAATTTCTCCTAACTTGTGCCTTGTTTGAAGACTTGGCAAGGCGGCACAACAAATGCATTTCCAAATATAAAAGGACACTGCCGTACCCTCAGAGGCGAAGTGTACAATCTATCGTGAACACAGCTATTACCCTCAAAGGCTACACTTGCAAGCAAAGTGATCCTTGAGCTGGGATCATCTCACCTAGGTTAGGCTTGTAGATGCTGTTTGAGTAGCAGAAGTCGGGAAAGATGTGCGGCAGAAAGTGCTTCTTGAACTTCTCAAAGAGAAACTCGAAGCACCGGTGGTGGTGGTCGTCCTGGGCCTCCGACCACTGAATTTTTGTCGCCTGATGCGGGATACAAAAACAATATGCATGGCTGTTAGGGTCTTGCCTTTCAAAGCCGTGATATGATTATGAGAGGCGCCGTAGTCGAGGGCTTTGAAAATTTCAACCACCTCGGGCTCCTTCAGATGCGCATAAATATATACAAATGGACCTCTAGCGTGTCGCCTCCATTGAAATGTCGTGCGGCCAGCACTTGATCTCTTGCACTTCAGAGGAGCTATTCTTGATGTATCCACCTAGCAAAAATACCCACTTCGGCAGAGAGCATTCGGTCAGTCGAAAAAGCGGCGATTCGCAACGTCACAGCGCTCTTGACCACGTCGATGCACCGAACCCACCAACCGATTCCCAGCATAAAGAGAAAGAAAGTGGACGAAATGTACAGTAACGGGACACCTAAACAAACTTGACAAGTCTGACCTTGCGCTTGAACGTATTGACATGTTTGGGAATGATGCAGGGAATACCCGGCCTCCGAGATGTGCGTTCAAAAGCAGATCTCCAAGGGCAGCCTTCGCTGCAGGGAGATGCATTCCATCCCTCTTACTTGTATCGAATGCTGTGAAAGCTTTGCGATGTTAAAATTATGTTGCGGAAAAAGGAACTGAAATTAGGTGCACTGCTCGCCGAGCTCCTGCAAATGAGTTGGGGCTGAAGTGGATAATCCACAAGGTGAATACATTGAGAATCGCGCCCTAAGTCACCAGATGAGCAACATAACCCCAAGGCCACAATGGTGGGTGTGGGAGACTAGAGGAGGCCTTGTGTCCACCCCTTCCCCTCTAAGCACTAATGATAATATTTACCTTAAAGTTTCTTAAATGCACACTAGAGGGAACTCTGGCACTAGTGTTTATGGGAGCTGCAGCGCGTGCCGCTTCAGCGAGCAGGGGAATTATGGATAGTTCACGAATTTGCCTAGTCTTCGAACTTAACCTTCCTTCTGGCTTCGAGTGGCTTGAAGCGCCTTCGTCACGAAATAACAATCAGCAAATGTTTAACAGTTGCGCTCCCTCGGCTTAATCTTTTAGGCTTACATTTAAAATCAGGTCACAAAGTTCAAAAGGGTTCGTTCTTTCCTTCAAAACAAAACCACATCAATAAACAAAGTCAAAAGTGCATTCGCCACCCTGCGAGAACGCAGACTAGGCAAATTCATGTCATACCCATAATTCTCTTGATCGCTTAAATTTCGCAGTGCCAGAGTCCCCTCTAGTTAATTTTACGAAACTCTATGGTATTTACAAAGGCTCGAGTATATGCCTACAACTGCATAGGGAAAGATTAAACAATATAATAACGCAAATAATTTAGCATTTCAAAATGACGAATAAATGTTCTTACACCTTTCTCAAAGTGCAATAGCTTGACAGTTGTGACAGATTACAAATGTGACGAATGATCGATGTGACGTTGAGAGCACTCCATAGCGTTCGAATCTGAATGTGCTAGCTGGATGGCCGTTATGTCAAGACTTCCTTCCACACATGGAATGACTGAATGATGACGCTTACCTGCGTGACCATGTACTCCATGAGAAATTCCAGAAATGTGACGGTTGGATTCTCCGGCTGCACCTCACCGCTCTGCGGAGGCATCAGGGGTCCGAAATCGTAGGGAACGATCGGGCCAGAGTCGACCTCCACCTGACGTGTAGAATGTGGAGTCCTGTTTCAAGAAAAGCAAGACAAGTGGTATACTAGCTGAACAAATGTACCACTACACCCTTTCCTCAATAAACCGCACTGGACTCATCCAAGAGAGGTATAAGGGATATTATTTGTAGTTTTCTAAGAGTAGGGTATTACAATTAAAGTCAACTGAAACATGCAAATTTTTCACAACACGAAAATGTGCTGTGGGTGGCAGGCAGTCTTTGTGCCCACTTGAATGGCGCTACATTTCCGTCATAATTACTGCACTACAGTTAGAAGATTACAATTAATTCATAGTCTGTTGGTTTTATTAGGCTTTGTCAAAAAGAAAAGAAGCCCTGGATCCATTGCCCTTCTTTCATGCATTCTAAGACTGTGCTTGCATAAATGCTACTTATAATGCAAAAATTGATTTATTTGCCCTGAAATATGACCTGGTTATCAAGTATAACAGCTCCCTTGCAGCTCAATTTGCATTTTATGGCTGTATGTTCTTGCATTTTTCCAGCACGCATAAGTAATAGCCGTTGCAACATTTCAGCCCGATTCGATACTTCTGTCTATACATGCGCTATAGAGACATGAACAAAGACAGTTGTGAGCCATTCTACTCTCAACACCAACAACAACAACAACAAAAAGACGAGCACAGCTTATAGTTAAGTTTAGTTTAGCCAAGAGCTTAAGCTTAACTTTTCGCATCCTTTTTGTTACATCAAGTATCAACCGTACACAGAAAGTAATCACTTGTATAATAAGATAAAAAAAAAAAGACCGGTATGTCCTCTTTCTAAGGTTCCTATTAGAGTTTAGCCATGGGTTTCTTCATAACGTTTTGCGTCCCTTTCTTTCACTACATAATGTATCAACAGTCTGCAAAAATAAATCATTTGTAAATAAATCTTCTATAGCTGTGCTTCCGGTCATTAACATCATACAAATACACACTGTCTTGCCTTCTTTGTTGATGCAGTTGTTGGCTTTTGCACACATAATATACAGTCGAACCAGCATATACTGAAGGTGAAAAAGATCAAAAAATGTTTTATGCATAGGTAATTCGATATATAGAATGTTTATATGTTGAAAATATTCAAGGGGATTTTACAACTCCACAATAACAGATCCACAATACAGATCCACAATAATTCCTTATATAGGGGTTCGATATATATTGGATCAATTGCACTACTTGATGTTGTTATACAACATTTGAGTTTGTACTATGAGCGCCTAAACTCCACCAGGCAGAGTACTTTTGCATGCAGTATAAAAGACATTGTTAACTGTATCGGTAGAAAGTGAAAAAATACATAAATAAATGAAAAATTGGACGTAATAACGCAATTTGATCTCACTCCCCTGTTATTCACCAACGATTACGTTAACAGTCAACGCGAAGTCAAGATGAGAATGCATCGCACGTGGGCTGCCAGTACACTTGTCAAGGTGCCAGGGTGTCGTGCCACCCTCTTGGCGGCACTTGACCTCCAAAAAATTTGCCTCCCAGGGTGCCAAGCATCTCAGCGCATGAACGCTGCAAGGGCAGGCGTTTAATAATAGCGCCCAACAGACAGCATTGTTGCAGCGTGGATGAGCCGGAGATAAACTAAGGGCGCAGAGAAAAGCATCAAACAGAGCAGAAGCTGCGACTATCAAACGACAGGACGATGAACAAAGCAACAACACGCATTTTTCATTGTCTGGGAGAGTTTTACGGTTTTTCATTTATTATTAGCATGCTACAAATAGGCTTAGACGTTAACCACTCATACACTTTCCCACCATGTGGCATCTGGTGCCAGCAAAGAATGTACATTTAGGATAAATGCCGTTAGGGCCTGTTGGTATAAGTTCATAATTGCAAAAGCACGACTAGAATGCGGAGTAAGTGAGAAAACACAGGACAGAGCACTTACTAGCCACCGAACATTTTTTTTATTCTGAAAAAGAAAAAAAAAGACATTTTGAAGAAACAAACTGCATGGAATAAGTAAACGTCAGCTGAAGCAGACCTAAAATACGATTCCACAAATAAAACCGAGAAGGAAACAATTACATAAAGCCAGAATGTGCACGCATAAATCTTGAAAATCAAAAACACTCCCTCATATCATCCAAAAGAAGCCAACCAGAAAAATTTGATAGCACTACATGTGGCTAGCTGACATATCTCAGCCCTTCTTATGGGAAGATGCAGGTCGAAAAACGCGCTTTTTCATAAAAGACCTATTTTTCATTTTCGATTGCTTTCACAACACACAAAAAAACTGATGGTTGTACATAAGCTCGAAGTAGGTTAAAATTGCTTTTAAAAAGCGCAAGGTGGCTAATGAAGACTAAAAAGAGGTCATTGTCTCATCTCTCCTGGAAATTGTCACTTGGCTGCTTGCCAATGCATTTCGCCAAAGGAGTACACTAAAGCCCCATGCTCGAAATAACAATGAGTGCCAAGCTCTCATGATGAAAGAAATCATTTTAAAAACATATCTTTTCCACATAGATGAGCTTTAACTTATACTCTCCAAAATGCATTTTTCTCAAGATACATTTTTGGGCAAGTTCTTGAGATTAGACATCATGTTATTGATACTTCCGATAGGCAGATCTGGATGAAATTCTGCCCAGATATTCCTTAACACGTAAAGAGGTGCAAGTATTTCTTTTAAAACTTGATATTCCCTGTATAATTATTACGAACCTAGAGCAAACAGCTAGTATGGGCTGAGGATTCTAAGAATTGTCATATATTTTTTCGTGTCTATTAAAGTGTCTTACACACTCTTTCTTGATTGTTATTTACATTCCACAATTAATGTGGAGCAATATGAGCCATTGACAGCTCAGAACCATAAAAGCCCAATGGCATAAAAAGTTTGTCTAAAGCCAACTATATGCTACGCATTGTCATGACATCAAACTAAAACTGCACAACTTCCATAAAATTAATTACATATTTAAAATCAGCATAACAACCTTCATATACAGCCAAAATTTCATTTTTCTAGAATACAGATTAATGCAACTTTTTTTGAAATCATGAATCTGTAAACACATGCGCAATAGTGGGAGCTAGCCAAGCTGCTCTAGAGCAGCTTTCGATTCCCATCATCCTTCGTGTACAACACATGACAGTAAAGATTCATTAAATTCTATTAGAGAAAGAAGCGCATGTGCAATATGAACCGTCACACATTCCCACCTGGTACGCTTCCGGAAACCTGCCCGAGCCAGCGACAGGCACTGGCGGTGGTGAGCCCGGAAGCAGCCCAGGCACTAGGTGCAGAAACATGGCATGGACCTCGGACGGCGCCCTCTCAGCCAGGATCTGGTACCACAGCAGGAAGAAACGCACGCCATCCCTGCGCAGCTGCCATAGGAGGCAATCATGTCAAGTTGATTGGCAGATCAGAACGGTAACGAGTATTTATTGAAGGACCTTTTTTAACAACGGAGCTTTAAGCTTGGTTTTAACAGCAAAGCTGTTTAAGCTCTGTTTCAACGGCAGGGCTGTTTAAGCTTGGTTTTAACAGTGGGGCTGTTCAAGCTCCGAAACTACGTTGGTGGTGTTCAAAAACTATCGTCGTCATGAAGGCAATAACACGGCCAGCATAGCCCTCTTCATCGTCATCATCGTCTGCTTCACTGCCAAAACGCGCTTGCCGATTTGTCCTGTGTGAGATGCATTAATAAGAATGTGTACAGAGAAAGAAAGAGAAAGAAAAAAGAGAAAGAGAGAACTCGAGATGAAGAAAGGCAATAAAGACATAGTAAGATAGAACGGGAGAGAAAGATGTAGACAGGGAGAGAAAGCTATGGAAAGAAACTCACACAGAAAAACAATGGAAAAACAAGAGAGCAAGACAGAAAAAAAGAATTAGAAAAAAATCAAAGGAACAACAAAAAAGAGATGGATAGAAAAAGAAATAAAGAGCAAGTGAGAAACGAAAAGATATAGATAGAAGAAAAGATAGGAGTGAGGAGTAGGAATAAATAGTTAGAAGAAGAAATAGAAATAAACAGATGCAAAGGAAAGATACAAGGAGAAACAAAGAGGGTTGCTCAGCTTCGCAGCTTTTTTTTTAAACTACTAGTCCGAAGCTGCCCTAAGATTCTTGTTAGTAGGCGTAACCGTATGAACTAAAGTATTCATTTGGGACAGTTTGTACAAGTCCATAGAAAACAAGAGACAGCACTAACAACAGGACCGAGGTAAACTAAACGCTGAGGATGTAAAGAGAGCACAACAGTTTAAAGTCGGCACACATCACACAGTACTTCTGTTTACGAATCTACACAAACTGAAGAATACTATGAAGAGCCATCATCCACACGAAAGACGTGCCAGTTCTTAGGTGAGAAGTGCCATCGAAGGCACGCTCACGCACGTATCACCTTCTTTGTCGGTGCAATATGGCTCGCACATTTCACATGCATGCGAGTCACCATAGCACTTTGTCTCTGTTTTGCTATCCTTTTGTTCACACTGCTTCTATGAAATGTATGAATCCAGCCCATAATGTAGCCCAGGAAACATAGGGTACCATGTTCACAGTTTAAATAAAATTTTGGAATATGAAATAATGAGAAGGGAAAGAAAATGTTCACTTTAACTTCAATTTGTGTAATCATTATCAAATTTCTATTAAAATTATAAATAACGGTCACTACGCTTTATTTGGCTTGATTATATGTTACCTTCATGACACTAGTTTATCTCAAGCATGTCTCTTGTAAGCCCAGCCCTTCCATATCTATCATCATTATCATCAGCCTGACTACGTCCACTGCAGGACAAAGGCCTCTCCCATGTTCCGCCAGTTAACCCGGTCCTGTGCTTGCTGCTGCCAATTTATACCCGCAAACTTCTTAATCTCATCTGCCCACCTAACCTTCTGTCTCCCCCTAACCCGCTTGCCTTCTCTGGGAATCCAGTTAGTTACCCTTATTGACCAGCGATTATCCTGTCTACGCGCTACATGCCCTGCCCATGTACATTTCCTCTTCTTGATTCAACTACGATATCATTAACCCCCGTTTGTTCTCTAATCCACTCTGCTCTTTTCTTGTCTTTTAAGGTTACACCTACCATTTTTCTTTCCATTGCTCGCTGAGTCGTTCTCAATTTAAGCTGAACCCTCTTTGTAAGCCTCCAGATTTCTGCTCCGTAACTAAGTGCCGGCAAGATATAGCTGTTATATAAATTCCTCTAGAAGGATAGTGGCAATCTATCTGTCATATTTTGAGAGATCTTGCCAAATGTACTCCACCCATTTTTACTTTTCTAGTTACTTCAATCTTGTGGTTCGGCTCCGCGGTTTTTACCTGCCCTACGTAGACATAGTCTATTACAACTTGAAGTGGACTATTACCTATTTAGAAGTGCTGCTCTCTTCCAGAGTTGTTGTACATTACCTTCGTTTTCTGCAGATTAATTTTAAGGCCCACCTTTCTGCTCTCCTTGTCTAACTCCGTAATCATGAGTTGCAATTCTTCCACTGAGTTACTCAGCAATGCAATGTCATCGGCGAAGCGCAGGTTACTAAAATACTTTTCATTAACTCTTATTCCTAACTGTTCCTGTTCTAGGCCTCTGAAAACCTCCTGTAAGCACGTGGTAAATAGTATTGGGGAGATTGTATCCCCCTGCTTTACACCCTTCTTGACTGGTATTATGCTGCTTTCTTTATGAAGCACCATGGTAGCAGTTGATCCCCTGTAGATTTCTTCCAGGATGTTTATATATACTTCACGACGCCCTGATTCCGCAGTGTCTGCATGACGGCTGATATTTCTACCGAATCAAACGCCTTCTCGTAGTCTATGAACGCTATGTATAGTGCTTGGCTATATTCTGAGCATTTCTCTATTACCTGATTGATAGTATGAATGTGGTCGATTGTTGAGTAGCCTGTTCGAAATTCTACTTGTTCTGCTGGTTGATTGAATTCTTATATTTTCTTAACTCTGTTAGCAATTACCTTTGTAAATAGCTTGTATACTATGGAGAGCAAGCTGATCGGCCTGTAATTCTTCAAGTCCTTGTCATCTCCTTTCTTATTTATCTATTTATTTATTACAGTACTGCCGGTATAATCTTCAGACCTTAGGCAGGAGTGGGTACAATGAGTACAAAAAAAAAAGGGTTACGATAAACACATATGAAGCATTGCGACGATAATAACAGCAAAAGAAGAAGAGTACAACGAGTTCATAGAAGCACAGCAGCAAGATATTTAAATAACTAGTGAAAACATGAATATGTAAACATATGGAAGAAAAAAAAAGCGTCAGGGTTCATGTGAAACTATGTCAGAGCTATGTCCCATGGACTGAAGGGCCTGTAGATAGGATGATAGCGACAGGCATTCCACTACAGCTGAAGGGAGGGAATTTCAATTGGTAGCAGTTCTCGGGAAAAAAGAATACTAGAAAATGTTGGTGTGACTAGAGAACTCGCTTACTTTTTTATTATGAAGGGACCGAGTAGGCCGCCGGTGGGAGTCTTTTAGATATGTATCCTTTTTTATACCTAAGTGCCGATGATAAAGAAGGTAAAATAGTTTCATTCGTTCACAGTATCGGCGATTTGCTAATTTTTCCAGCTCAGCCATTTCTAGAAGAGGTGTTACTGATGCCTCACAGCTGTATTGATTAAAGATGAACCTAACTGATTTCCGCTGTATTTTTTCCAATATTGAAATGTTTCTTTTTGTGTATGGATCCCAAACAGCGGCACAATATTCCAGGAGTGGCCGAATAAATGTTTTATAGGCTAATATTTTAACTTCTGGAGAGGACTTACTCAAGCGCTTCCTTAAGTATCAGAGTTTTTTCATTGCCTTTCTATGTATGTAGTCAATATGGTCATTGCACTTAAGATCGTTAGAAATGATAACTCCCAGATACTTATCGTTAGTCACTACTTCCAGAGGTTCACTATCAAAACAGTAAGAAAACGTTAAAGGATGCTTTTTTGCGACTAATTGTCATTGCAACAGTTTTCTTTTTGTTGATCGTCATTTGCCAGTCTGTGCACCATGTTTGAATTCGGTCCAAAGATTTATTTAATGTTATCTGGTCGTAGGGTGTGGTAATTTCATGGTATATAATACAATCATCAGCAAAGAGCCTTAATTTAACGAGTATGTTCCGAACGATGTCATTGATGTATACAAGAAAAAACAAAGGACCAAGAACAGAGCCCTGCGGGATACCCGAAAGGACTGGAATGGCACGCGAAGTTTCATTATCAATGGCCATGACTTGTCGTCTACATGAGAGGTAGGCTTCTATCCAAGCTAGTAATTTGGTGTTCTTGAATATTGGTTCTAACTTCAATAATAATTTTCTATGTGAGACTCGGTCGAATGCCTTTTCAAAGTCGAGAAATATAATGTCGACCTGGTTATGTCTGTCTAGGGCTGCTGCTAAGTCGTGGACAGTTTCGATGAGCTGGGTGACTGTAGAGTAACCACGGCAAAAGCCATGCTGGAAGGAACCAATTAAGCCTTTGTTTTCAAGGAAGCTGGATACATGTTTAAAAATTATGTGCTCTAGTACCTTCGCGCATGTACATAACAAGGAAATTGGTCTATATGATGACGGAGTTGATGGCGCATTTGTTTTAGGGATCGAAGTGATTATTGCGTACTTCCAGTCGCATGGAAGACCCGCATTAGACAGGGATTTCTTGAACAACAGACATAGATATTGTAAGCACAATATTGACAACGTTTGACCTTCATCTTCTTCATCTGTATATAATCATCATCACGAAAAACGTCGTCTTCGTTCGAAGGGTTGATCAGGCGGTTCGGCCTAATAAACGCCGTCGAGACTCCACAATAGTAACATATTGGGCGAGGCGAGCGCCAGGGGGCGTAGTGTGCTGGAGCTGTCACAGGCGCTGGTACTGGCGCTGGGACAGGCGAGTGTGGTGCAAATGCTGCTACGTTGGACGGCGCAGGAACAGGATGCGCGTGCTGAACCAAGGCAGGTGGCATGGCAGCGACTTGCGCATACGTCATGGGTGGCGTTGGTGGCGCCGTAGTGTTCGATGGAAGAGCGCCAACCATAGATGAGAGCTCCTCTTTGATGATGTCGCGCAGACCAGCAGATTGAGAGTGAGGCCGAGGGGCGGGTGCACATGACAACCCTTTCGCTTGAAGTTCCTCGCGAATCAGAGTGCGAATCAGCGCGCGCAAATCCGCATCCGAGGAAGGCCGGCTGTCACTGGCGTCTGGGTGCAATCGAATGGCTTGGAGTTCATCAAGATGCTGACATGTCGTGATGACGTCCTCAACGATGGTAGGGTTTTTAACAGCCAGAGCATTAAACTCGACATGGCCTATCCCTTCGATGATGTGG